GACTCTAATTTAATGCTATTTGAAATGATTTTAATGCCATCAACAAGAACCATGTACACAAGTTATTAGTGTACATGAAATATGAAGGAGCTGCAAGCAGAGTTCCATGACTCCTGTATGTATGTAAACACACACACACACATATATACGTATATATATATCCTCTAGCTTTTTCTCCGCCTGGAGCGATATAATATATCTGACGAAATTGTTTTTATAAGAATTTTTTATTAAAGAATTATAAATACTTCGATAAACATATTTAAATAATTTTTGTGCCAATTAAGGCCTTGATTTAAAAAAAAATTAATGATTTTTTAATTATTTTTATTGATCCGCGGAAACCCTGGTTCATCTCGCGCATGCTCTTTACGATTTCCAAGAAACTCAGAGCGTAGCTAATTGTCATTTTTACATGGGTTCCATCTCATATAGGAGTAATAGGAAATGAATTGGCAGACAGATATGCAAAACAAGCTTCAAAAAACAGTTGCATTGAGATACTGATTCCATTTAGTAAAGAGGAGATAAAATCTATTATAAAACAAAAGGTTAAGGAAAGATGGCAGAAGCAGTGGGAGGAGGAAAAAACTGGTAGATGGCTTTATAGCATTCAAAGGAAAGTTGGGGTAATGAGGGGATCAGGAAGAAGTAGAAAAGAAGATAATATCATATCCAGGTTACGTTTTGGTCATACAGGTTTAAACAGTACATTATTTATAATGGGAAGACATCCATCAGGAAATTGTGAATTTTGTTTTCAAGAAGAGACAGTAGAACATGTTTTGTTGTTTTGTCCAAAGTACTCTGAGGAGAGAAGGAAATTAGAATATCGACTTCTAAAGAATAAGTTACAATTAAAAATATCAGATATGTTGGGATATTGCTCGATTCTGAATATTTACGTCATTTATTAAGATTTCTTAAGAAAACTAAACTGATAGAAAGGATTTAGTTTTTTTTTTTTTTTTTTTTTAGTTGCGTCCTGATCCACACTCCTTACCAGTAGGTGGCGGTAATGCACACCAATAAGTTGCTTGTCAACCGCCATTAAACAAGAAGAAAGAAAGAAATAAACAGAGCGTAGCGGTCTGGTGCCACATCGGAGGATGTATGCTTTGCTTTGTGCAGGCGGTCTGGAGCGTCTGGATTTCGGGGTAAAACTCCTCTTGGACGCGATGGCGACTCTGCATCGAACAAGACGAACTCAAAGAAGAGATGCTAGCGGTAAATATATGTTCGATTACTGCCTGCTAGGCTAAAAGCAGCCTAGCCTAAGCTACGGCTAATAGCAGCCTAGCCTAAAGCTACTGCTAATAGTAGCCTTGCAAGAACAAGCTTTATTAAAGTGTATTTTTTGTGATTCACAGGAAGCAGTACGCCGTCTTCACAACTCGGAGACTAATTGCAGGCGCTATGAACCGGAGCAAGGGTAAGATTTAAAGAATATGCTTTCATTCTGCGGTAAAAGGAAATGGATACGGATGGATACCGATCATAGCTGTACATTTTGTTTTCACAGACTACTGTCGCCTCACAATGAGGCGGTGACCTCCTATTTGCTCGGAGCCATATCAGCAAGTCCAGATTTGCACGATGTTGATAAAGACGACATTGTGTGTAAGTGACTTGTTTAAATGTTTTCTCCTTCCTTGTTACTGTGACTTGCGTTTGATTTTTTATTCATATCACTCTCATTTAATTGTTTTCCAGCTGCCTGTAAGATGTATTTTCAGACGGTACGCAGGAGCTTCAGATATACGCAGCCAGCCAACACGCTGCGTGCGGAGGCTATCTGCTCGGAGTCGGGCCAGAAGAAAGAGGGTAAGACTTTATTTGGTGACTATTTTTCAGGTGCATTGATAGATGTGTTGTGTCCATACGCAGTGCGCTGATTCATTGTTTTTTTTTTCAGCTGGTGAAAGCGAGGCAGAGTGTGCTAGCAGATGAGGAAGTGGAACTCTGGAAGTCCGCCTTCGTCGGCGGTGTCTCTGGATGGATTGTACGGTCGCCGCCATTTCGTAGGCTGGATCTCACTGAACTCTGTGTTAAGCTGCAGTCCCGGTTAGAAGCGATGCCGAAGTACAGGGCCGCACACAGTAGGCGTCTGCAAATCGGACCTGCCTCGGAGGGAATGCTGCCAGTTACCTCCAACCCCGAGGAAGCAAACGGACCGTTCACGGACTTTTAATTTTTAGAAACGCATGTGTTTGGATACGCGTTGTATATAGTTGTGTGTGTTTTAATATACCTCTTTCTTTGCATAAACAGCTTCCTGGCAAATGTTCATTTCCTGTATAAATTTATTCATGTCCTTGATGGTAGCATAATAATTGTGTAGTAGTGTAGGATAACATAAATACACACCATATGAATGAATAAATATATGAATGAATATATATATATATATATATATATATGAATAAATATATATATGTAAATTTATATGTAAATATATATATATGCCAACCAATCACGAGCGACTTTACTTGTTTAAAAAGAAGTGGTTCCGTCCAATACTCAGTAAGAAAATTAAAGCCTGGCGTGGCCACGTGTGGTTTTGCTGCCAATCACGAGCAATTTCACTTGTTTGAGAATAGTGTTTTCAGCCAATACTGAGTAGGTTATTCAAGCCAGACCTGGCCAGCCGCGCGGGTTTGCTGCATTCATATTCTAATTAGGGCCATTAGTACAGCTGATCGCTCTCCACATACGTCAGAGTCCGTTTCCGACAATTTGTGGCACGACAAACGCGGACAAGCACGGGTTGCAAATTGTCGGAAACTGACGAAAATCAGGCAGATCTGCGGGAGTTTACGGGGACGAAAATCTCACTTTTCATGCAGTGAAACAATGAATTAAATGTGTAATTCATTAAATAAATAAGGAATTAATTATATAAATGTGTCATTAATTTAATAAAATATGTCTTCATTTTATAAAAAAAATATACATAATTATTTCAGTGTGCATTTAATTATTTCATGGTCCTGTGTCGCAGTGCATCGAAACCATTAAAATAATCTGTCAAACTCACCCATCAAAGTTAGGGGGCGGGGTTAACACGAATCGAGTCTCTGGCTTTGTTCGAAAACCTAGGACGGGTCCTCCAAGGACGCGGTCTACCTAGACTGGATCCTTCGAAGTCCTTGAAAATAAGAAGACCGGAAGAGTTTAGGCTGTGAATTCGACCAGGTCTACCCTTCGGCGGGTTTTACCGCCGTATGCTCTGTTGCTTAGCAACCGTAAACGTTGACACACAACGCAGGAAAAGAATGAATACAGAAGTTTTCAAAACTGTTTATTTATTTCTTTTTTATTGTGAAGTGAACAAAGACTACACTGACAAGAATCCAGCGTGGAATAAATGTTCCAACAGCCGGGAGCAGGAACAAATAAAATCAGATATAATGATAGAAACCTTAGTCAGTTAAATAACCTGCTGCTGTCATTCTGCACATCTCTGATGTTGCTGCTATTTTCAAATATCCATTACTGTACAAATGTCCATAGCTGCATATTGGTTATTAATTCCCCAGTTTTATATTGTTAAAACGCTTTAAAGTATTTTATTGTTTATGTTTTAACTCTTCCCTATTATGTTATTCTTATACATTTTTCTAAGGTCAACATTTGTGTGACCATTTTCAATAATCTTTCTGCTGCTGTAAATTTGCCCATTGTGGGACAATAAAGGGATTTTCTATTCTATAAAAGGGTTAGAAAGATATAAGTAAATCTAAACAATGTATTTATAAAAATATATCTGCAAAATCTCTAATATTCAACAACAAAAAATACGTAGTTAAGCATATTGTGCGAAACAGCAATAAAAAGATAAAAATCCTATCAGATTTATATTCCCCACCCTGCAGATATATTAGAATCTGTCCTTAAATTCCAGCCAAACCCATTTACACAGTAACAGATTAAAACCTTTAGATAAACCAAACATTACCGCCACATATCTGACTCTATAACCATTAAAACAACTATTTTTCATTAATCTCAGACGGAACTATTAAATGACTTGTATTATATTAAACTGAACTTCCAATTTTCACCACTGTTCGGCGCCAAGTAACCTTTACTCTGATCACAGCTTGCTTGGTCTCGCAATGAATCCTGGGATATCCAAGAATACCGAGGATACATCAGACCCGTCCTTCAAATCGGGCAAAAAGAAGGACGCATTTTAAGGCCGCATAATGAGGACTCTTGGAATCCGACCAGACCTCGGCGCCGCGCTATGACGTAATCGGCCTTCGAATCCGGTCTTCTAAGGATGCGTCCTAGGTTTTCGAACAGAGCCTCTGTAATCGATTTGCTTCGCCTTAATGTAAAGGGTGACCAATCAGGTGTTAGATAACCGGCCCCTAACTTTGATGGGTGAGTTTGACAGATTCTTATATATATTTTTTTTTTTAATAAAATGAAGACGTATTTTATTAAATTAATGACACATTTATATATTTACTTCCTTATTTATGTAATGAATTACACATTTAATTAATTGTTTATCGCTGTATTTATTTATTTAATTGTGGCACTTTATATTAGTGACGTAGTTTTAATTAATGAATGACACATTTATTTATTTAATTCACATTTAATTATTTATTTAATGCTGTATTTATTTATTTAATTTTGGCACTTTTTATCCTCTCTACTTCCCTGGGGGAAGTGTGTGTATTTTAGTAAAGTGGAAATGTTTGTATTTAAACCTTATTTCTTGCAAGATATGCACCTCCACCTCAGCTTCCTAACTGCACATGGTCATTTTGCAAGTCTGTTATCAAAATAGTTTATATCACTTTACGACCCAGGTGGGACTTGAACCCACAATCCCCAGCTCCGGAGGCTGATGCCTTATCCATTAGGCCACTGGGCCTGTAGTCATGATGATCTACCATAGAAAACTGATCATACAATGAGTTTGCACATCTAATAATTTCTTGTTTATTCATAATTCTGCTTGATCATTGTTCTATCTGTTGTAGGACAGGCATGTTTTAGCTGTGATGGTGATTGACAAGGTGCTGGAGAAGCTAAAAAGGTCCAACCAAATCCTGGAACGTATACACAAAGGGCTTAATAACTACCTGGAGAAGAAACGTCTCTATTTCCCTCGATTTTTCTTCCTCTCCAATGAAGAACTTCTGGAGATCCTCTCAGAGACCAAAGACCCCACAAGGTAATCTGCTGTAGGATGCATGCATCTAATGTCACCAGTTTTAGTGTGAATATGGATGAATCATGCGTGAGGCTGTAGAGGCTGTTGAGATTTTAAGTTATGACGGTGAAAGACCAAATTCCAGAAATGGTCCTTGAACAGTCTATTTATATTAATTTTATATTAGTTAATCTATTTTTATTTATTTATTTATTTTTGAACACGGCTTTATGTGTTCGCTTTTAAGCCTACTTCCAGATGTCAAACGGGCGATGAATGAGGGCTTATCATTGCACCAAGCAGATGCTGTTAACTAAAGGGCAGATAGGTCCAGATTTGTTTGAACAATATTCTGCCCCTAATAAATAACATCATAATCTAAAAAGAAGTTTTCTGTATTTAGTTTATTTATTTCTTATGTATTTTTTCTGGGGAAGAGCTGAAGTGTGACAAAAAAAGTAAAAACAGGATTGAGAGGTGAGAGGAGGAAATGGAAATAGATTTTCGCAGCCCTGTAAAGAAGCTGCTCTTTCTCCACAATGGTCCCCCATAAGTTCTCTACAGTAATCCATGCTTATCTTATTTCACAGGGGCATTCCATTTAGTAGATTGTGATTCCAAACAAAAGTTGTTTTAACCTTTCATACTCTCCCTGCCATTTCAATTTTCTCTCCGCAGTCCTTCAATCGCTCTGGGACTGCCTGGAATTTTTCATTATATTTATGCAGATACATTGATAAACACGGCCAGCAGCCCTGCCATGTGCTATTCTTCACCACTATTGGTGCTTATGTCACGCACAGATGGTGGTTAATAATACAAAGACAGTACTGGCTGTAGGTTTCAATGAAACCCATTGGTTCAGTCATTTAAAAAGAAGAGAAACCTGTCGTATTCGATTTGTATTGTCCTCATATACAGTAAAAAGCTAACAGAATTCATTGAAGGTCTGCAAAATAGTCTGTTTGCACATTATTTCACTACCAAGACACTCTTCTCTAACCTCTTACACCCTAAGGGGGTATAAATAAATTTCTGCCTGACAAAAACACACAAAAGTAAATAACTTATAGCCTCAAAGCTATTAGATTTAAGAAGAAACTTTTGGTATGTCTGTAAAGGTAAGATGTCATAGAATGGTTTTCTGGTGTCAGCACCATTGTAGCTTTGACCCTGCCTGAAATATTAGGGACAAAATACAAAATATTTTGCATTTTTTGAACCTCGCCAAAATTTTCTTTGAAATAAACATAGCAAAACACTACCAAAATATTATTTATAGCACAAAAAAGTAGTACAGACTTTCAAATCTAAATGTTGTGTAAAAATATACAAAATGTGGACTCAATCAGATGAATCATATTTATTTTAGAATGGTATTAGTGAGAAATTTCTTAGGCGGAGAGGCCATTTTGGCACATTTATCCATAAATGTCACCAACCTGTGCCAAATATGTTTTTTACATCAATACTGGGGGTTTGGTAAAATTACGAGGTCATGTAGCAGCTGGACCCGCCGGTGGGTCTGTAGGGTTCAAGGGGCTAACACGTTTTCACAGCTCTTTTTGCAGCACTCTCTGGAAGTTTTCTATTTGTTGTGATGTCTTCTTTTCTTAATGTGCTGTGAAATGCCGGAACAGTTTGCTTCCAGGTATAAGAAAATTATGTTTAGTTTTGGGGAATCTGTTATTTTTGGCATAACTGCGTACATTTTTAGTTAACTGCAGGGCAATGGTTTTTGGTACTGATGCCTCCCAGTTAGTGCCAATAGCCACTTTGCAAAAATAGACAGAGAGAGTTCTTGCAGCATTATATTTTGGGAAAGTGTTTTTACTCATACATTATATGCAGTGCCTGCAAAAAATGGCAATGTTCTGAGATATGAACGACTTTGGTTCTTATTCTATTCAGTTCAGTTTATTTATATAGCGCCATTTCACAACACATGTCACCTCAAAGCACTTTACAGTTCACCAGATTATGAAGTATGAAATGTCCTAACCTAGCCTAGTGAGACCATCCTGATCTCGCAAGCTTTTAAGGTTTCACTCGCTAATCAGTCTGGAGACTCTCCGTTAAAGAAAATTTGGAGCCGTTCACCAAACGAATTTCCAATCATTGTTGGCTTTGAGGCGGGTTGAGGTGTGACGCAACGAGAAGCGCGACAGTTCAGTCTAAAGAACATGGCGGCTTCAGCCGATGAAACTAGCGTTAGCGTGGCTATCGAGCAAGTTTTATCGGAATTACAGAGTATTTCTTCACTGAAAGAAGAGAAAAACACTGCTCTGGAGGCTTTTCTCAGAGGAAAAGATGTTTTTGCTCTTCTCCCGACTGGTTTCGGCAAGAGTAGCCTGGCTTGTGGTTGTGTTTTCGTCGTCGCTCTGTTAGTACGTCATATGCTTCGTTGATCTGATTGGTTTATTTGGCCCGTCTATCACCAACATAGGCCAATCAGCTAACCAGTATTTTCACCCCTTCCCAAAATTACTTCAACGGAAGGTTTCCAGATGGATATGCGGAGCAAATCCATCTGGCGGAGTCAGGTTAGTCCTAACCAGCACTTCTTTTTCTTGCAACCCTGGAAGAGAGACTCACTGTTCTTCTGGCTTGTACACTATATTATGAAAAGTGTTCGCTCACTTGCCTTGACTCAAAAGAGCATTAGTAACTCAAAGTTGGAAGCCTGGAATTGTCCAAAATGTCTTTGTAAATCTGAAGCATTTAGTGTTCCTTTCATTGGAATTAAGGGGCTAGGCCTCCTGAAGAACAACCCCTCACCATAACCCCCCCTCCACCAAACATTACACTTGGTACAATGGAGTCAGAGAAATACTGTTCTCCTGGCAAACCCAGACTTGTCCATCAGATTTCTAGATGGAGAGGAACGATTTGTCTCTCTAAAGAATGCTCCTTTAATGCTCCAGTCCAGTGGTGGTTTACTTTACACCACTACCACACTGCCCTTGGTGATGTAGTTTGGAGGTGCATAGTGATTGACTCTGCAGAAGGTTGGTGACCTCTTCCAGATGTGTGCACGGTACCGGCACCCCCTTTGGCCCAGTTGTTAAAGCACGCATGCTAAATTGCCCCCTTGAGATTCAAAACGGGGGCAAAGTGCCCCCCAACTAGCCTGGGTGCCATTCCGACCTTAATCCCGCCCTCAACGTTTGAGGTCGGGAAGTTCGGTCTGGCATTGCTCTGTAGTAGCGCGAGTATGCTCGCACAATATCTGGCGGGCCAATCAAATTGTCAGGGCGGGCTTTATACGATGATGGACAGATGATCAACAGTAACGTAATCAACCACGTCACCAAAGCGCGCTTGGGTGACAACAACAATGGCTGCCGCTGGAGAGTTTAGGTGTGTAGATTCTGCTATTAGGTCTGTTCTAGAAGATATCGACAGCAAATTAATTTTAAAAGAGGAACAGAGAAACGCGATCAAGGCTCATCTTCTTATTCTAGGCGTGCAACTGCACGCTTTGATTTTTGTTGACAACAACTATTCGTCGTTTAACATACATCACGCACTCCGTTGCTCTTATTGGTTGTAGATCTATCCAATTGAGTGCAGAGGCATTTATTTTCCTGGTTCATTCGAAACACGCCCCATAATCACAGCTCTATGGAGCAGTATCAGACTCATATTCTGACTAGAATTAAGTAGGACTACGTCAGGCTACCCCCCGACAGTGATGAGGACACAGTATACTGTATGTTCCTTTTTTTCCTTCACCCTTCAGCATCCTCCGACCCCGCTCCGTCAGTTTACATGGTCTACCTCTTTGTGGCTGGGATGCTGCCTTTCCCAAACATTTTCTATTTTCTTATGACATAGCTGACAGTTGACTCTGGAATATTTAGGAGCGAGAAAATTTTAGGACTGGATTTGTTGGACAGGTGGCATCCTATCAGAGTTCAACACTGGGATTTACTGAGCTTCTGTGAATGACTCATTCTTTTACAAATGTTTGTAATAGCCTGCACGTTTAGGGGCTTGATTTTATACACCTATGACCATGGAAGTGATTGGAACACTTGTTTACAATAATTAGGATCGGTGAGGAAATACTTTTGGCAATATAGTGTAAATACTGAAAAAACTGTCCATCTAACAAAGTCTTCCAATCTTAGAGCTAGTTTAAAATTCTCTTGAATCTGTGAGACTGACATAGTAATAAAGAGTAGATTCTGTCTGATTATTAAGCTTGTTTTGAGAAATTTCTACTCAAAAACAAAAGTAATATTCTTCCAGTGCAGTAAGATAATTACACTTGGTTGGGCTTTTTGTTTTAAGACTATATACCATGATTTTAAGAAGTATTAAAATCATTAGATATATTCAAAAAACAAAAGTCTTACCATCTAGGGTTTGTGTGTTTGTTGATCTCAAAACAAGATCAAAAAGACTTTTTTAGATACATATGAGATTGAAAAACTTTTTTTAAAATACCAGATGGGGGTTAAACTGCAAAAAATAAACAAGAAAATAAAAAACTCTTGAAATAAACTTATTTGCAAACGATTTGAGTAGATATTTAAAAGCACGTCAACTGAATAAAGCTTTGATCTTAGAATAAGAAAAAGTTTTCATTATCTTATGTAAATTGCAGGCGACAAAGTTGTCTTATTTGCGATGAGAAAAGTACTAATTCCCTTGTCAGATAGTTTTACCTGCTCAAGAATGTTTACGGTACTTTAGTTTTATGCTGTTTTTTTATGGAAGCAAATCGTTACCATTTTTCAAATGAAAAAGCATTTTCAGAAAGTCTTTTTCATTTTAAGAATGTGGCTGCATTGTTTGACTCATAAATTAAATTAATAATCAATAATCCTGTTTGCATTTAAATTTTCTTCTTCAACACTGCTCATCCTTTTACTTAATTAAAAAGAAAAAGACATTTGAGATTTATTTTTCAAAATGCACCCCAGCAAATACATACCAAAATTCAATTTGAAATGTAAAATTTGAAAATGAAAAAGCATTTCCAGAAATACTTTTTCATTTTAAGAACGTGGCTGCATTGTTTGACCCATAAATGAAATTAGTAATCAATCCTCCTATTTGCATTTTCATTTTCTTCTTTAACACTGCATATTTTATGCCATAATTAAAGAGAAAACACAGTGGACATTGCTTTTTCGTTTCTGGAAATGCTTTTTCATTTTCAAATTTTACATTTCAAATTGAATCTCACTTTCACAATATAAAACATGCATGTTTTAAATTGGCTTTTAACTCTAAAGGAAATTGACCTCCATTCTGAGGGTGTGTTGTTTCACTGGAAAAAATCTATATCTAGATAAGTAATTTTTTTCTTAAAATAAGTGAATTTGTTCTTGGATTGAGGAGTTAAAATAGACACTTTGCCAATGGAACAAGACAATTTACATTTAAAATAAGAAAACACAATTGCATTGTCTTATTTCAAGCCTGTTATCTAATTATCTTATCTTAGAGTTAAAATACTCATTCCATTGGCAGACTATCTCATTTTCCTACTCAAATTAAGGGTAAATACACTTAATTTAAGAACTTTTTACTTATTTCCAGTGTTGCATGGCTGTGTGTATCTGAACTGATTACCTGTTCTGGTTGTACTCCTCCTCCGACCGATTGACTGCTGGATTTAGATTTATCCTTTTCGTTTCTCCCGACCAGAGTGCAGCCTCATCTGAAGAAGTGCTTCGAAGGCATTGCAAGTGTGGTGTTCACTGACACACTGGGTATCAGCCATATGAAGAGCAGTGAAGGTGAAACAGTGCAGCTCCTGAACATCATCTCCACCTCCAAAACCAGGGGTCAGGTGGAGAAATGGCTTCTTGAACTGGAGAATAGCATGGCTGTGTCCTTAAAAAAGGTGCTGTGTGAAACTTGTTTTCTACTGCCATCAATGGTCTTACATTATTCTTAGAGTATTATGTAGAACACTTTTTTTAAAATCTTTTGTGGACTTTACTGATTAATTAGAGCCTTAAAGTTAAAATCTTCACCATGAGGCCTTAAAAAGGCTAAGTCAGAAAATAAATCTGCTGCAATGCTCCATTGCAGGTAATCAAAGATGCAATCAAGGCCTACCCAGATGAGGAGAGGAGGAACTGGGTCCGCGCCTGGCCGGGCCAGACTGTGCTGTGTGTCTCACAGGTCTACTGGACCAAGGATATCCATGAGGCTCTTGGTTCAGGACCAAAGGTGTTCTGTTCTTTTTCTGTTCTTTAACTGTCAAGACTTGCAGTTTATCAGCCTAACCTGTTTACACCATCGTCAAGCAGATCTACAGCTATAAATGTATTATATTATATAGCGATTATTTAATCTCAAGGCACTACATGACAATTAAGCTGAATTATATTTCTGAAATACAAATAATCAAACACAGTGTTGCCAGTTGAGAAATATAGGATTATCTTACTAGAGACATGAGATTATCATATTTTGGGGGAAATTATTGTACACTTGTCTTAGCCAAAATATTAGGTCTATTGATGCGTTATGGTCACTCTCATAGGCACTCACGGCTTCGTTGTGTCAGGATTGAGTGGATTCACCAGAAGCCCCACAGTTGCTTTAGGGTTATGTCTCCATAAACAATCCATAATGTCTCTGGAAAGTCTTCTCCTCTCTGGAAAACTCTTTCTCCTCACCCACCTCGGGCAGTCTCCCACCTTTTCCCTCTCCCCCGAGCTCAGGTCCTCTACCAGAGGCGTATTAGCTTGAGGGTTCTGCACATTATCTTTGCTTTTCCTACTGCACTTTTCTGGACCAAGGTGTCTGTATTTCCAGGTATCTGTTGTAGACCACTCCTCAAGTTTGGGGGTCACAGCCCCGAGGGCCCCAATGACCACCGGTACCACTGATGCCTTGACCTTCCATGTTTTCTCCAGTTCTTCTCTGAGCCCCTGGTATTTCTCTAGTTTCTCATATTCCTTTTTCCTGATGTTGCAGTCACTTAGTATTGCTGTGTCAACCACAATGGCTTTCCTTTGCCTTTTGTCCACCACCAAAATGTCCAGTTGGTTTTCCATTACCCTTTGTTTCAGTACCTTGAAGTCCTGCAGGATCTTGGCTTGGTCATTCTCTACCATCTTAGGAGGTGTTTCCCACTTTGATCTTTGGGGTTTCCAGCCTATACTCTACATAAATGTTCCTGTATACTATTCCAACCACTTGGTTATGGTGCTCTAAGTAAGCTTTCACTGCCAGCATCTTATGCCCTGCATTTATGTGCTGGATTGTCTCAGAGGCCTCTTTGCACAGTCTGCACCATATATATATATATATATATATATATATATATATATATATAAATATATATATATATATATATATATATATATATATATATATATATATATATATATATATATATATATAGACCATTCTCAAGTTATTTGCCCAGGCTGTTGATATTATTTGGCTAATGATCCTAGTATTGGTAACAGTAGTTGCCATGGTCACCAGCTGAAGTCTGTTTTTATCCTAGTCTGGATCTTTGTCATGCAGGATAAATGAGATGTTGAGCACAGACTAAAGTCATGTTTTTTTTACTCTAGAAGTTTAGATAAAGATGGAAGAGATTTCTTAAATTAAACTTTGTCTCCTGAGATGAAATGACTTCTGTTCAATATTTTTATGCTGTTCTCTGTATTAGGCCCTGGATGCCTACCTGGCACAGAACAACAGACAGATAGATGACATTGTGGCTCTGGTTCGTGGAAAGCTGTCCAAACAAAACCGGGGGACTCTTGGAGCTCTTGTGGTGCTGGACGTCCATGCCCGTGACGTTTTGGCCACATTGGTGCAAAAAGGCATCAGTGACGAAAATGACTTTGAGTGGCTGAGCCAGCTGCGCTACTACTGGGAGGTATGATACAGGGAAGTCAGCTACTGAGGTTTTTGGATCAGTGTGTTTTTTATTTCAGGGTTTATGCTCTGTGCAGGATGATAATTTGCACACAAAGATGATCAATGCTGGTTTACCTTATGGCTATGAATACCTGGGCAACACTCCAAGGCTGGTTATTACTCCCCTCACTGACCGCTGTTACCGGTAAAACCACTTCTTGAAAAATGTTTGACTGTTCTTTGCTGTGTTTAGCAAGATAACTTACTGTCCATTAAAAGCATTTCATGCCAGAGTATTGGAATAAACACCAGCATCACTTTTAATCATTTCAGTTCACTACTCTTGTATGCCTCTTTTTTTCAGTACTTTGTTTGGTGCCCTTCATCTCCATTTGGGAGGGGCCCCTGAGGGCCCAGCAGGCACAGGAAAAACGGAGACCACCAAAGACTTGGCCAAAGCAGTGGCCAAGCAGTGTGTGGTTTTTAACTGCTCAGATGGGCTGGACTACATAGCATTGGGCAAATTCTTTAAAGTGAGTACATTCTGTTCTTATATGGAATTTAATAAAGCCTCAGTGTCACAAGGAGAAGGGTTAAAACAGGAGCAAAATGTAGACAGGAATTCAGAACTGCTGAATGAATAATAAAGAATAAAAAGCAATCTTATTTGAAGAGCATCAAAAGGAGAACAGGGGACGGTGAAATGCTAATGCCATAAAGTTCACAGAACTCATGAATGGACTATGAATCTATTCTATCAATGTTTGAAGTAAATTGGGAGTGGTGGCCTAGGGATTAGAGCATAAAGCTTGGAATCCTGAAGTTATGAGTTCGAGCCCCACTCCCACTGACCCTTAACGCCACACTGCTCCCTGGGCGCCACATAATGGCAGCCAACTGTTCCCCAAGGGGGATGGGTTAAATGCAGAGAGTTCATTTCATTGCTCTGTACTTGTGACAGTGTATTGACAATTAACAAAGCTGGAAAAAGGTGGCAAGTTAAAAGAAACCACAAAACCTTAAACCGTATTGCAATCTTGACACTGAAGAACATTTAAAACCAAAAATCTGACATGTTTTACTTCTGACAGAGTGTTAAGGGGATGTGCACATGTTGCTGAATTTCTCGTTGGATATTAACTGAACAGACAGCTTTAACTAATAGCATCCTGCCAATGTAATTGTTACATGTTACTGTTAATTAAAGACGCTTATTATTTATTGAACAGTATGTAATAATTTCATATTTAAAGTACTTTCAGAGGTTTGTATTCTGAATGTGACCACACTTTCCTTTAAGAACTATATATAAACATGACTCACACTCCTTTTGTGCTGCACTGTTTAATTCTAAAGTTTTCCGATAAAATATCTCATCTGTTGATTCGTCCTACCTTAAAGCGCTGCTCAGAGGTGCTGGTCTCAGCCCCCATAAGTTAAATAAATAATGAAAAAAGATGGCTTTAGAGAAATGCAGACATTTTCTTTTTATGCTGGACTAAATCTTAATAAAGTGTGTGTGTGTTAACTCAGGGCCTTTTGTCCTGTGGAGCTTGGGCCTGCTTTGACGAGTTTAACCGCATCGACCTGGAGGTGCTGTCCGTGGTCGCCCAGCAGATTCTCACCATTCAGAGAGGTTTGTTCTCAACCTTTTGCTTTGCTTTCCTTATCAAGCTGAGGGAAACTGGCAGTGGACCAAAACAACAAGTTTTGGCAAAGCTTCACTCATAAAAAAGTGGGTTTTAATCTCTAAAGAAGGGCAACTGTAGGCAAAAGCATTTTGTGTAGTCTGGCCAAGAAAACTTCCTACAAAGCTTTGTTTCCAGCCGCCCAGCAGAGAGCTGAATGTGCTTTGGGTTATTAATGATTTCCTCGCAACATCTAAAAGGTGCATTAAATATGCCTCAGCCAAAGCTTAAAACTGCTGCTGCTTTTTAGAAATTCATGAATGTTTTTTCCAGTTAGAATTAGAATTCCTTAGGGGTTTGCTCTTTGTAAAAGTCTTAAATTATTACTTTTTTTCATTTTGGATTAAATCTAGATTTTAAAGAGCCAAACTCGTAACCTCCTAAAGTGAGTTAAAGAACATTTTTATACATATTTTGTAAGAATGGAAACATTCAACAAAGATTTTTGTAAGATTTTTTAAATAATTAAACATACTCATTACTTTATTGATTTCAGTAGCTCAGTGTAACAATTAAGGCTCATTATATAAATTAGTAACATGTGGGAAATGCAACATCTAAATTTAAAATATATAATTTAAAATATTATCAATTTTAATGAACATTTTTTTTTTTTGAATTTCAACTAATAGGTCTTAGTGTAAATCATCTGCCATTATAGTGATTATGACTGTAACACAGAATCTTAATTATTGTTCGGTGAAGGTTCGGTGTCACTGGGTTAAATGCAGTCCAGGGATAAAAATCTTGTCTCTTTATATTCATTGTTTTTAGTTTGCTGATGTCCTGAAATGTTTCAAATCATTAAATAAAGATAAAATATTTTTCAAATGATGATTGGAGCTTTTGCTGCATTTATCCAAGATAGCACAAATTGATAAAGATGGGAACAGGCCTTCACCTAAGAGCACATCCGCTCAAGAAATAATAGAAAACAAATTTGTTATTTTTTAATTCTCTCCAAGAGAGATTCACAGAGCCTCAATATGAAAATCGGGGTTCAGTTTTAGGCCAAACTGTGTTGATTAAAAACTGGATATACAGCTTTTAATGCTTTTTAAATATTACGACATGCATTTTATAACAAACCAAACTGAGCTTTATGGAACTTTAGAAGTGTCAAAAAAGTTGAAAAAAACAATCCACTGGACTTTGTTTCCTAGTTTGAAGATGTTTCGCTTCCCATCCAGGAAGCTTTTTTAATTAGAAATGTCAGAAGTAGCATTGAGTTTGAGGCATGTTCACATTTATATAATTTCAACCCAGCCTGCCAGTAAACATCAGATATGTATCTCAGAGTCCTAATCCAAGGATGCAGTGAAACTGCTTAAAATTTTAGCTTTCAAAAACCTTCAATGCAGCAATTGTGTTGCAGCCCCAACCCCTTTACAGGCAAACAGAAGACCTCGCCTGTTCAGCCAGGCCAACAATTCCCTTTAACATTCCCCCCTTTCAGAGACATAGACAGGTATCGGGCATTGCAGGCTAACAAAAGAAGCCAAATGACCCCCATTCCAGTGGTGGACCCGTTCTTACGTTTCAATTTGCATGTTTTCTAAACAAAAACAAGGCTTTGATGGGCTACTGTATAAAACCTCAAACTCAACACTATTTCTGACAGTTTGAAATGAAAAAGCTTCCTGGATGGGAAGCGAAACATCTTCAAATTTGGAAACAAAGTCCAGTGGATTGTTTTTTAACTTTTTGGAATGACTATGACCTGGATGACTGAGAATCTTCACCAGTAAATTTTGCTATGCCAATAAACTTGCCTTGCCTTGTCAGTATAGGCTAACTTCACACACGTTTGTCCAGGGATTGCTGGTCATACTAAAAAGCTGATCTTTGAGGGGACAGAACTGGAACTGGACCCCTCATGTGCTGTATTCATCACCATGAATCCTGGCTATGCTGGACGCTCAGAGCTGCCAGACAACCTCAAGGTACATCTCAGCTCCTGTCCAGATTTCAATTTGTTGAAAGGTGCTGTTAAGTTAAAGTATTTTGTTGTATTTCAGCATTAAAGTTTATTACATCAACTTATATTCTGAAGTTGTTGGATTGTGCTTCTGTGCTCCTATAACCCAACCCATATTTTCATACCAGGCTCTGTTCAGGACGGTGGCTATGATGGTGCCGGATTACGCCATGATTGCAGAGATCGTGCTTTACTCCTGTGGCTTTGTGACACCGCGGCCTCTATCAGTGAAAATCGTGGCAACATATCGCCTGTGTTCGGAGCAGCTGTCCTCACAGAGTCACTATGACTACGGCATGAGAGCCGTCAAATCTGTGCTGACCGCTGCAGGAAACCTGAAGGTTTGTTCAACAGTTCTAATCAAACTGATTTCTTATCACTCGGTCTTTTATCATTTTATTTCTCCCCGGATAAAAATCTGTGGCTGTTAGCAAATTATTCCCCAACAATTAGGCCTACCCTGTTTTAGCTTTATTATTTTTAAAAATTAATGCTTAAAAAGCAGAGGAAATACAAGCTCTTTATTTTTAATGCAGCTCTTAGACCCATCTCACTGTAGTTACAGCTTTTCTCAGATCATTTCAGGAATTTCTTCAAATTTTTCAGCTAATCTGAATTTTTCAGTGCAAATGAACTAATAACAAAATTTGATGCTTTTTATCCTCCAAGATGTTTCGGTTTCCTAGCAACTGAAAAATATCTCCTCTTTTCTGGGACTTGGAATTAGTCAGGTGTGATCCAAGAATAAACTTCTTTCATTCTGAGTGATGCTGCTGTTTATATGAGACACGTAATGCATCTCCTCCATGTAAGATTATCCTGATTATCTCATGTTAAATGCCTCCTTGTGCATCTCCTTTGACTCCCCCCACATCAAACCCCTTGTTTGTTGTACATATCTCCTTAATACTGTGGCCAAGCGGTGCAGAAGCTTTGATTTCACAGCAAATTTAAAAGTTCCTGCAAACTCCTAAGTTAGACGAGAAAACACAAAGTTGAGACCAAGAAACACATTTTTCATGAAGCTGTTGCTGAACTGGAAAGCTCCTTCAGTGACAGACTGCTGCACCTTAAATGCACCAGGGAGCGTTATCACAGATCCTTCCTCCCTGCAGCTGTAAGACATTATAACCACCACTGTTCACAACAACCTCAATAAGTTGTTGCAAATAATGTTGAATTTTGCGCAGTTTCTGTCTCAGTCAGTTACATAACATGCTGCGTTCATTTTTGCACATCTCTGGCGTTGCTGCTATTTTCAGATATACATTACCGTAAAAATGTCTACAGCCGTATAATAATGATTTATTCCTCAAATGCAGAGTATTTATTTTTGTAAAAACACTGTACAGTAAAGTATTTTTTTTAATGTTTTTTACTCTGTCACTTATTCTATTATTTTTATTTACTTTTAAGTTCCACCTTTGCCATAATTTTTTTCTGCTGTAACACCATGTGGGGCAGTAAAGGGGTTTTCTATTCCATCTAAACTCACTAAACAGATACAAAGGGAAAACAGTAGTGCTGCAGACCACAAGGGGGAGACGATCATCACCTCCTATATAACCAAAACACCGGCTGTATCAGAACGTCCGCCCTAACCTCTCAATCACTATATATAGCAGGGACTTTATAGTGAACTCAATTAACTGACCATTCAGACAGATGATCACTACTTTTGATCGCGTGACTCTGGCTCCATGCACGATGTCAGCGCCATTTTGTTCCTTCTTGACACCAAAACAAATGCTATGGTGCTTTACTCTTGCAAAGCATTCTGGGATACATCTGCTCATCTAGTGCACATGGATACACACTACTTTTCAACGTGCATTGTGGGAAATTTTGAGTCCACTTCTTTTTCATATTGCCCTGTATAACCCTATATAAATACTCTATATAAGGGTTAGGGTGGATGTTCAGAGACAGGTATAGATATTACTATGAATCAATATCTATGAACCAGACTCTTAATAAGGACGTATATGGGAGGTCTTCCATACAACATGTGGAGGTAATACAGGTATGCTAAGTCTGAACACTAATGTTCTAACACTACATGCTGTTATGTTTCTGCATAGCTGTGTGCATAAGAAGAATAAATAAATATATAGGGGTTAATCTCCAAAGGTTTAAAAAAAGCAGGAACAATGGGTTGTTATGTAGGCATCAAGGAAGAGAGCATTCCAATTTTGGCATTTTTGACACCCAAGAAGTGTTTTTTGTAAATGCACCATTTGGCTGTGTCACTTTAATTATGCAGCGCCAGTTTGCAGCTTTCCTTACCTTTCAATAGTTTTTGCTACTTGCAGAATTTTGACTTTGCATGTATTTTGCTCCATATCACTTATATCACATGTCTCTTCCAGATTACATGTGGACTCCAGTTAGATGCACCAGTTCTGTGTCAAACGCCCGGTTCATCTGACATGTTTTCTTGTTGCATATCTCTTAATGTAACAATGTCTACTTTGTGATACATGTCTATTCTTTGTTACAGACCTCTCTCTATTATGTCACACGCCTTTCTCATATAATACCTCTTTGCTTCCTCCCTCTTGTTTTTCTCCTTTCTCCTCCTGGTGGCCTCTTCCTCTGGATGTTTCTTCCCTGCAGTCGGCTTTTCCAGACGAGAACGAGGACACACTGTTGCTAAGATCCATCATCGATGTCAATCTGCCAAAGTTCCTGGCCCATGATCTGAAGCTTTTTGAGGTGTGTTGAGCTCACGTTCTCTTGATTAATGGAGCACTTCACTGTAGCTGATGTCAGTCCATGTTAATTCCTCCTGTTTCATCTTTAGTCTCTATGCACAAGGCCTATCTGTCATGATTTGGATCAAAACAGTTCCCTTTGCTTATTCATTATTTGTTTGCATACACCCCCAACCCTTTCATCTCAAGGTGAATGTGCAGTGCGTATACAGCACCCTTTTCTGGCGTTTCTCCCCATTAAATATGTTTAAATTGATTTTTTTTTTGTAGCAGTCAAAATAAGGGTTGTGTTAGATTATAGTTGTTTAGGCTGATTAGAGATTTGTAGGAACTTTTTCATGGTATTCCAAGGCCTCTTCTTCCACTATGATGTAGTAATACTACCAGATTATCTTAATCACAATTCTAAATCTAAGAGAAGATAGATTAGGTCATTGAAAAGGCAGATGATCTTAACAGCTGCTTCTGGCCTAAACCAGGCTTTATAGAGTCAAAATAATACTTGGAACCAAATTAAACTTTAGCAAAGAGGACTGAATTACAGTCCAGTTTCTACTCTAGCTGTGCCTATAGGAGGGAATTTTTGATTTTGGCCCACTCTTCCACACAGACCTTCTCTAGATCAGTCAGGTTTCTGGGCTGTTGCTGAGAAACATGGAGTTTGATCTCCTTCCAAAGATCTGGAGACTCGCTATGCCACGCCAGAACCTGGATATACTTCTTCCAGAGCCACTCCTTGGCTATCCTGGCTGTGTGCTTCAGGTCTTGTTGGAAGACCCAGCCTCGATCCATCTTCAATGCTCTAAACGAGAGAAGGAGGATTTTCCCCAAAATCTCACAATGCATGGCCTCGGTCATCCTACCATACAGTGCAGTTGCCCTGTCCCATGTACAGAAAAACAACCCTTAAGCATGATGCCACCAACCCCATGCATCACAATAGGGATGGTGTTCTTGAGATGGTACTCATCATTCTTTATCCGAACTTGGTTACTGGAATTATCACCAAAATGTTCTATTTTTGTTTCATCTGACCACATGACTCCTCTGGATCATCCAAATGGGCATTGGCAAATTTAAGACAGGCCTTGGCATGTGCTGGTTTAAGCAGGGGAAACTTCTGTGCCATACATGATTTCAAACCATGTGTTTTAGTGTATTACCAACAGTAACCTTGGAAACGGAGGTCTCAGCTCTTTTCAGGTCATTGACCAGCTCCTCCTGTGTAGTTCTGGGCTGATTTCTCATTGAGACCCCTTAAGGTGAGAGCTTCCATGGAGCCCCAGTCTGATGGAGATTGACAGTCATGTAATAGCTTCTTCCATTTTCAAATGATTGCTCCAACAGTGGACAGTTTTTCAACAAGATGCTTGGCAATTTCCCCATAGCATTTCCAGCCTTTTGGAGGTGTACAATTTTGTCTCTAGTGTCTTTGGACAGCTCTTTGTTCTTGGTCATGTCAGTAGTTGGATTCTTTTTTTTTTTTTAAGGCACTAGTGGCTCATTTTTTTTTTTTTATGGGCAGTAGGCTGACAGGAAAGGGGGTATGAGAGAGGGGGAGAGACATGCGGGGACCACAGGCCGGATTCGAACATGGGTTCGCCCACGTCGAGGACTAACGCTTCCATACATGGGTTGTGTGTGCTAACCACTGCGTCACCAAAGCATGCTCCAGTATTTGGATTCTTACCGATTGTGTGGGATGGATTGTGGTCTTTATGCAGCTAACAACCTCAAACAAGTGAATCTAATTTAGGATAAAAAATGGAGTGGAGGTGGACATTTTGAAGTAGGACTAGCAGGTCTTTGACGGTCAGAATTCTAGCTGATAAACAGGTGGTCTGGGTGAAATCGGTTCATGTGGGGTCTGCTGTGCTTGTCTGATGTTTGGAGATAACCCACTGTATGACTTAAGCCGGGCATGCACTGTGAGATATTTTCAATGGTAGCACGCATTTATAACTCAAACTGTACCACAAAACCACACGGTTTAAAAGTTCACAGGTCATGATGCATGTTCTCAACCGTACGACCTGACGCTCTGATGCGATCTACCTGCTCACACTGCATGTCTAAAAACCACCCGTCAGACTCACCGCTGAGAGATGGTGCTGGTCAAATTCATCAATCTGGAAGAAGAAGAAGGAACTCCTTTGTTTGTACACGCGCACTGTTCGAGGTTCTGGTAAATTGGCTCGTATTTCTAATTCAACAGCAGGATTTGTCCACGATCACCTCACGATGTTCGACTGAAATTCAAACATGTTTGATTTTCTCCTGACCTTATGGTTCCTGATCAGGAAGTGGTCATGAGAGGCTGATCGCCCCTCGTTACCCCCGTATACACGCGACACAGGACACACCATGAGGCTGAAAGTTGGTCCAATCGAAAAAATTCTCGCACGACTGGAAAATCGGCCTGAAAAGTGCAAGAACTCATGCAGTGTATGCCCAGCTTTAAACTCTTCTATCCCTGATTTTTTTAATCATTACATGTGGGACATTTAAAGTTTTAAAAGAGATGAAACAGCGAAAGCTCTAAAACCTGCAGGACAGCAGCCCTCGGGGGCTGATTTTAGACATGCCTGGAGGAGAGCTCTGTAATAAAATAGCTTCTCATCGATGTTTTAAGCAAGTTATCATCCAATATGATTGTGTCACCACAAAAAAAGAAATAAGAACAAGTACATTTGCCTTGAAGTAAGTTTATTTTTCCTTGATTTGTGGAGATAAGACAATTTAAAAATTAAATATTATCTGTGTTTGTATTAAGAAAAAAGAATCGTATTTTAAGGGCAAAGTACTCATTCCTGTGGCAGATCATCTTAAATTGCTCAAATTAAGGACAAATATATATATATTAAAATTTTACTTGTTCTTAGATCAGTTTTTGCAATGTGTTTGTCTAACAGCAGAGTGAGATTTAAAGAATCATTTAATGAATTATTCGATACATACAGTGCAATATATAACAAATTAAATACGTTTAATATGCTGGTTTATGATCTATTTACAATGTCTGTTAAAATATATTTAATTTAGGTCAACCTGCTGTTTTTTTTCCTCTTGGCACCATCTATCCTTTAAAACGATCAATCCAAGTGTTTTCTTTATTCCCTGCCTAAATAAAAATGTTCTGTCATAAATATCTCTTTTATCCCAGGGTATTACCTCTGATCTCTTCCCGGGTGTTAAAGTCCCAGAACGGGACTATCACATTCTCATGGAAGCCATTAAGGAAACCTGCCAGCTCATGAACCTTCAACTGAACAAGTTCTTCACTGAGAAAATCCTGCAGATCTACGAGATGATGATCGTAAGGCATGGCTTCATGATAGTTGGTGAACCATTTGGAGGGAAAACCAGTGCCTACCGTGTGTTGGCTGCAGCTCTTTGTGACATCTTTGAAAAGGTATGATGCTGTTTGAGTAGCGGGTGGAGAAAAAAGGGTGTCATTGGAATGTTTATAACTTTCTCTAAAGCTCTAAAAGATAAAATGTTGTTCATAAATGAGTTACAATAAATTTCCAGTCAAGAAGCTCCTGAATCTTTCAAACATCAAATTGTTGATTCCTAAAACTTCAGAACAAAGTCATTCCAAAAGAGTAAAAAAAAAAATCCGCTGGACTTTGTTTCCAAGTTTGATTCCAAGGCTTAGAAAACCCACACAACCATGCAGGGAACAAAAACATCTCGCCTGGTCAGCCAGACCAACAATTGCCCCTAACGACCTCCCTTTCAGAGGCATGGACCAGTATCGGGTAGTGCAGGCTAACAAAGAACCCAAACGATTCCCCATTCCTAAGGGGTGGACCCGTTCTTCTGGTTCAATTTGCATGTTTTCCAAGCCAAAACAAGTTTTTGGGCTATATAAAGCCTGGAACTCAACACTAACTCTGACATTTTGAATTGAAAAGCCTCCTGGATGGGAAGTGTTAGGTTAAAAAATGTAGGTTGGTAAAAGAGGGACTGAGTCCACACAGAAAGGAATTTTCAACAGCTTCTGCAGAAGGAGAAAGAGCTACACCCAACTCACTAACCCTCTCTAATGGACCTCCTCTGGGGAGCCTTTTTATTAACAGATCATAACACATGGGGTGGGTTACAAAACAGAATATTCTTCTGACAGGACAATTGATCAGGTCATAAGACAGAATGCTCCACTGATTGAATCACAAGACAGAGTGAAGCATCTCCTTTCTTCATATGCACACACATTAATTTTATAATCATCATTGAATAAACCTAACAGGAAGCTAAATGTTTTTATTTATTTTTTTTTTTTTTTACCTTTTTGGAATGAATATGACCTGGATGACTGGGAATCTTCACCAGAACTCAGAATAAAGTGTTACAAATAATACCTGAAGCCTGAATTTCAAATTTTTTTTTTCTCAAATGAAAACATTTGCTAAGCACAAAAGGAAGCAGATCCGGCCCATTGGACTTACATGGTTAGGTGGAGGAGACAGATAAAGGGCTGCTGAGAAACGCTACATTATTCATTACCCCTGTTGTCATGTCCAGTTCCACCTCTTCCATCTCATTACTATCTTTGTGTTCCAGACTGTGTCCTAGTCTTAGTTTCAGTTTATGCTGCTTTCCACAGCAGCATAGTGTTTTCACAGCAGAAGTTAACCAAGTAACTTGCAGATTAACAGGACTTTTATAGGAATCTGTTGTTCCTCCTTTTTCTGTCTTTTTGTTTTCAGGTTATGATGCTCTATCTATGTAAAAACATCTTTCGTTACTTTAGGGTCTGATGGATGAGAACAAGGTCCAGATTACAGTAATAAACCCCAAATCTATAACCATGGGAGAGCTGTACGGCCGCTTTGACCCTATCACTCATGAGTGGTCCGATGGCATCCTGGCTATCAGCTACAGAAACTTCGCCTTGTCCAAGGTAAAACCGGCTCATCCTTGCAATGCTGTGGGCAATGCTGGACCCTCTTATTTAAGTAACCTACTTAAACATCTCTTATGTACATAAAGCCAGGGAAACATCCCCCCAAAAATGCTTTAAAACAATATATTGTATGAATTATAATTCATTGCTGTTTCTATTTGAACTGAATGTTCTTCTAAGACAAAGACATTCTAGATAACTGGTAAATGGCCTGTACTAATTTAGCGCTTTTTCAAGTCAGGAGACTTAACCAAAGAACTTTACACTACATTCAGTCATTCACCTGTTCACGCACACACTCACGGTGGCAAGCTACATTGTAGCCACAGCTGCCCTGGGACTCACTGACAGAAGCGAGGCTGCCATAAACTGGCGCCACCGGGCCCTCTGACCACCATCAGTAGACAATGCAAGTGAAGTGGATTGCCCAAAGACACAACGACACTGAAAGCTGGGGCTTGAACCAACAATCCTTCAATTTCAGGGCAAACTCCTACACCCGACACCGCTGTCGCCCCAAATAAAGGCTGAGTTAACAAAAATATTCCTCTAAATAAACAAAAGGAGACAAATTCAGAAAGACAGTTTAAATGCAGGATTCTTTCTATGCTCACTTGTCGCAAAGTTTAAAGCAGCAAGTGTTGTGCCAGGCAGCAATCTCCCATAAAGAGATCCAAACCTATAACTTTGGTTTGCTGCTTCTCTATGCTAAAGATGGCTGATTTACTCAACACAAAGTCTTTGTAGAGTGGCACTCCACCCAGATTTGTTTTAGTATCATTTTTACATTTTCTGTGATGCCTGAAGGCCGCCAAGCTCTGATTGCAAATGTTTGCTGGCGGTAAATGATCAGCCAACGATTCTGTCAGGCAGAGTACAGCAGCTAGGGAGAATCAGTCGATGCATCACACAGTATGATTCCTTTATAATGAGCAATTCAGAACTGAATCACACCGAGCCTGAGCAGCTGCTGCTGAATTTTTACCATTTCCACCAAAGCCACCACAGCCCCACAAGGAGAATGGGCTGATCTCCAACTCCACATCAGAGCAGGATAGATTATTGTTTGAAACAGTTGACATTTTAATTAAAAAGAATCTGGGTGAAAGAACGTCTGCTATGACGGCTGAACAATAGAAACGTTTGGTTGTCTTGTTAAAATTTGATCTCTAACAACTCTTTCATTTGCCAGATCTGCAGGGTAGGCAGGCGCTTTGCAGATTGTGGTGGAGATGATGGAAAATCATTTCCTTGCTCTCTTCATGAATTGTTCTCGAATGAACTTGTCACTTAAAAAGAATTTTCTGATATTCGGTTGTCATTTTTGCAACTTGTTCTTTGTTTCAGGCAGGATGACGAGCGACGGCTCTTAACGTTGGAACAAAAACATAAAAGAAAAAATCTTTCTAAAAAATTTAATTTTCCCCTACTAAGAGAAATCTGTGTTTGCTTTCACTGACTGCAGCATCTTTTTCCTAAATTGTTTAACGTCTGTTTATCTGGAGTCAGAAGCAGCAGTGAGTTATATTCCTTATATGCAGACTTTTTGTTAGATTATCGTATCACAACATACTGTAATCACGTCTCTCTCCAGCCCCAGATGGCCCAGTGCTGCCAAGCCCATTTGTTTAAATTATAACCCATTAATTTAAGGTGCCGTTCTTGTCTGGCAGAGAATCAACCACTCCTGTCAGCTCCTATTATCTATCATTAGGTGTGCGTTTCCATCCGTCAGCAAACAGCCATCGCCTTGTTTAGAATTCACAGGAGGTAAAATGTGTGTTTGAAAGTCTGCACGGCCATTCCTGTTTGAGAAAGAGCGGGGAAGGTTTGATGGTAATGAAAGACTGGAGCCCCACCTTGTTGGATATGCATCATTCTCCAGAGCTGTAGAAGTCAAATTACACTGATAAGCTCTTTAAAAGTTGACACTTAAGCTCAAAAACTCAGTCTTTATCAGAAATAACATTGGGGTAAAAATACATAGTCCATAAAACATTTAACCTTTAATCATTGAGGCTATCATGCGGCTCCTCATTGGCTGACCCTTACTATCCGATTAGTCATAGGTCCCAATGAATATTTACTTAAGAAGTTTCTTCTCAACCAGACTTTTTATAGACATCAAAAACTTCTTCCATCATGTTGGTTGGATGTTTGACCACTCCTCTTGGCTTAATTGGAAGATCCCATTCAAATTGGTTGATTTTAATGCAACAGTACCTTCAGTTGGAGGGCGGTCCCACAGCATGATGCTACCATCTCCCTGTCTGACAGTTGTTTCTGAGCTTTGAAAGCTTCCCATTGATAAACGGACACCACATTTCACGAGAAAGAAGAAAACACAGTCGTTTAGAACTTTATCAAAGCCTTTCAAGAGCGACAGTCATTTCTTTCCTGGAGTTTTTCCACAATTTGTTGATAGTGGTGATATTTATGGGCAAAATCACCAAAGGTCTCCAAATACTTACATCTGCGAACCCTCACACGGATCCCTAGTTACTCCGTGTAGAAATTCTGTCAGAGAATTTCTTCGGAAGGGCATAAAAGCACAAAATGAGGTAATTTGGCCTTGAAAATTTGTCAAGCATAAACCAAACCTAACTCCTTGCAGATTCTAGACCAGTATGAAGGAGTCACCGTAAGTGCGTTACCTTCTTTCTTCAGCCTGCTTTATGGTTAATGCATCCGCGAGCCCCTTAATCTGGAATCTGCATGGCCAGAATTACCTCAAAACAGGAAGCCTGGGTTCTTATCCTAGCTGGGGTGAATGAGCTGCTAGTGTGAGTCCTTAGTGAGTCCCTAGTGCAAGACCCTTCATGCTAATGCCTGCTTTGGGTGATGGTGGTATTTTGGGGCATTGTGTTGGGATTCTGAGGTTTTGAGTTCCAGCCCTACTCCCACGGACTGCCACTCTGGGTCCCTGAGTAAGACCCTTAACCCCACATGGCTCCCCAGGTGCCACACAATGGCACCCCACTGCTCCCCAAGGGAATTGGTTATATGCAGAGAGTTAATTTCGGTCCTCTGTACTTGTGACCATGTAATGATGATAAATACGCTGGGGGGAAAAAATAACATACAGAGACATGTTATGATTTAGCCCATAAATGTTACCACTATCAACAGACTGATAAAAAGTATCGGAAAGAAACTATAGTCAGTCTTGGATTCTAGGAAGAGACTTTGAAAACCTTGGACACAGCTGCATTTTCTGCTTCTACGTGTAATGTTGTGTTGCAAGCTTGCAATCTGCGCTGTATATGCTCCCCTGGAGACATTGTGTTTGTCAAGAAAAACATAAGTGCATCAAGCATAACCAAGCCTTTAGTTGCAAAATTCTGGTATGGGGTGTTGAACTGGTTTCACTATGGATGTTACACTGGTATTCCAGCAGTTTCCATTTTATGGCAAGCATGTGCCTATTTTGTTCCTTTATGTTTCTGATTATCATAATTCCCTTCAGTCTTACTGAAGCAGTAACAACACACCCAAGCAAACTAGTAAGTTCAGCCAGTCAACTAAAACTCTCCTGCTAGGTCCCACATGAAGAGCCTCCAGCTGACCTCCATGTCCACCCTATGGGCTCCGAAATCAAACACATGCTCTTCATATCCTTCTGAGATCTTACCCTAGTTTCTTGAACTATCCCATTATTCTGGGCGCAACTACCTGCTGTCGCAAATTATAAAAAAAAATAAGCTGCCATAAGCTCAATCATAGTCACTGACCAGAAGTGGAACGCCTTGTCCAGTAAAATAACTTTATAGAACCCCCAGAGCAGGTATTAAAATGTTTTGGAAATGCCTTTGTTTGTATAAGTTTGACCCTTTGTGGTCTAAATAAAGCTCAGGAAGCATTCCTCTTGTTGACTCCAATAAATCACAGTGCTTATGGTGTTACAAGCTGAAGTTGAAGTCTCCTCTCTTTGCCATTAGAGCCCTGACAGGAAATGGCTGGTCTTCGATGGTCCAGTCGATGCAGTGTGGATCGAGAACATGAACACAGTGCTGGATGACAACAAGAAGTTGTGTCTGATGAGTGGGGAAATTATTCAGATGTCGCCTCAAATGAACCTCATCTTTGAGCCGATGGACCTGGAGGTGGCATCTCCAGCCACGGTGAGAATTACATTTACCGGGGATGCAGGTTTTATCTGTGTTCACTCGAAGCACATTATGCCTTGTAGTCATGCAAACTGCCGTTTTTTAAAGTTAATTTAAATAATATTTCTGTTAAGTTACAAATCGCTGTTGAAAACCTCCAGCAATTGCATAAGCTAAACAAATGTATGGTTATTTTGTAGCTTTATTAAGGCCGTTCAGGTATTTGGTTTCTCTGTAGACCTCAGTAGTTTACTGTAGGGTATATGAACTACTTTTGGTAATCTACATTTTTTTAAAAAGGATCCTTTCCCATAATGGCCATTTGTGATACTTAAAAACTCATAATTACTTCACAAATTATATATCCTTTGTTATATGTTTCACCAATGGAGGTCACCATTCTTTTCACCTGCATACCCATGCTTGCTGGGTAGATGACACGGTTAGACCTGGAAAGGCTGAATGACACGGTTAGGTCTTGAAACTACTGAATGAACACAGTAGGGCTAGCATTAACAGAGTTGTTTTCTACTGCATTACATTTGACTAGTGTAAATTTAGACAACGCCACACGGCGTCGCAGCCTCTTCTGATTGGCTTGTGATCTATGGTTTACTATATTAGCTAGAGCTAACACCATTAGGAGAAGCTAATGTAAAATAAAAATCAAATAGTGAGATAATAAATAACTGTTTAAGGTGACAGGAAAGCATCTATAAGTTGTCGTAATACATCATTCTAATATCCTGGAGTCTATTGTTACAACCTACCTTTAGATCCCTTAAAGCACTTTTCCTTTCACTCCTGTCTTTGAATTTCTTTGACACCTTGGTGTTGTATCTTCAATCATTCTTGTGTTAAGCAGGAGTACCTGGAATACCTTAAGCAAGTGGAGAACATGCCTGGTGTAGGTACCAGATCGGCTCGGGTACCCCCTCTTATGATGTCAACATATGGCAACTCCACTCGGGCAAACTGTATTGCACCCGTTTCTTGAGGATCACATCTCTTTTGTAGTCTTAACAAAATATTACCTATATTTACTATTATTTTACATTTCATTGGCGGTCTAACGTAGCCAACAGTATAAAGCGATCATTGTCAATCTTGAAGAAAGTAATGCCTTCTAAGACAGACTGAGCTCTGCCATTTAACAAGGTGACTGTTGGGTTCAAAAATGTAGGTTTGTAAAAGAAGAACTGAAATACACAGTAAGGGATTTTCAAACACAGCTTCCTGCAGGAAGGGGAGACAGAGCTGCACCCAACACTCTCTCTCCCTCGGACCTCCTCTGCAGAGCGCTTTATTAACAGAACATAACACATGGTTACAAGCAGAGTATTGTTCTGACAGGACAGTTGATCAGGTCATAAGCCAGGATGCTCCACGACTGAATCACAAGACAAAGTGAAGCATCTACTTGCTCAAATGTTTCATAAGCACACACAGACATTAATTTTAATATCATCGTTGAATAAACCTAACAGTGACAAAAAATGTCTCAGCTTATTTTCATTCTTTTGATTATGATCTGAGGACAGAGGAGGACAATTGGAACATCATAAAAATTACTTTTGTAGAGATTTTAGACAAATAAAACAGTTATTCTACTTGTAGAAAACATTGTTTTTGACACAAATTTAAAAGTAGTGAAGCTTAATGTGGCTAACTGACCAAGCTAATAGAGACTAACCTGTTAGCTACTGAACACAGCTAGCCACAGTGTTTAACAGCTCTCCCCCTTTATATCATGATCTTGTAGTTACTTTTTTGTTGTTGTTATCGATCAGGTAAAACTTAATCGGTCATGAGACACGCTAAAGCTACAGATGCTCCCGACTCCCGACTGATGCTGCGTGATGTTATTATAGTTGTCTGGGTAACCACAATGTTTTACATCATGTGGCAACATTCACCTAATCATGTAGCGTAGCGTCCCTGGCATGAAACAGGACCCAAGCAGATCTGGTACTTACACTGGCCTGCTAATCTAACCCGGATCCTAAAAGGCAACAGTGCTACACACTGTTCCACCATACAGCCCATCTTTCTAATATATCTGAATAAATGTTTTGATCTCCATGCTAAATGTAAAAAACATTGGTTGGAAACTGGAACTCTTTGTTGCATAGCTGGGTTATCATCCCTTAGCAGCAGCTGCACAAACACCAGCTTCTTCAGCCAACTCTAACCTTCTTCCACGGTTTGGTCCTCCTCATACCCGCCACCTCTGATTTCTACATTCTCATCAATTTACTAACCTGACTCCGCCAGATGGATTTGCTCCGCATATCCATCTGGAAACCTTCAGTTGAACTAATTTTGGGAAGGGGCGAAAATACTGGTTAGCTGATTGGCCTATGTTGGTGATAGACGGGCTAAATAAACCAATCAGATCAACGAAGCATATGACGTACTAACAGAGCGACGACGAAAACACAACCACAAGCCAGGCTACTCTTGCTGAAACCAGTCGGGAGAAGAGCAAAAACATCTTTTCCTCTGAGAAAAGCCTCCAGAGCAGTGTTTTGCTCTTCTTTCAGTGAAGAAATACTCTGTAATTCCGATAAAACTTGCTCGATAGCCACGCTAACGCTAGTTTCATCGGCTGAAGCCGGCATGTTCTTTAGACTGAACTGTCGCGCTTCTCGTTGCGTCACACCTCAACCCGCCTCAAAGCCAACGCTGATTGGACGTTCGTTTGGTGAACGGCTCCAAATTTTCTTAACGGAGAGTCTCCAGACTGATTTGCGAGTGAAACCTTGAAAGCTTGCGAGATCAGGATGGTCTCACAAGGCTACAATTTTACTTGGTTGAAATTAAAAAGGTTTAACGTGACTCATTGCAGTTTTGGCTGGGTGGAGCTAGTGCTACCAAAGCTAGCATGCACCATTTACTCAGAATGCATTGTAGCGTAAACAACATGGTGACGTCCATGTGTGCTTACAGTATTTTTACTGTATTGTATTTACATTGCAAATAAATATTTCTCAAATAAAGTCTATTTTTACAACATAGCTTTGGATCCCCTAAAGCTCTGAGTTCTGTTTACCTCTTGTTTTCCTTAGTTGTTGTTTTGTATCTTCAGTCTTTCTTGTGTTAAGTTGTTCTGTTTTGTGGCTAGTTTTCTGCTTTCCGTGTTTCTGCTTTTCTCTTGTCAGCAAATTCTTCTCAGTATCTCCTTTAACTTCAGCTCATTGCCTGCCCTCCTCTTGTCGTCTCTCATACCTATAAGATGTTGTCTTTTTTGGTGAATCACCTGATTCCTGTACTCTGCTGTCTGTCTGTGTATCGGCTCTCCTTTAACTCTGCAAATTATTACAAGCAAAGGCCTGATAAACTGCTTCCAGCTGTCAAAGCCTCAGAGCACAGGGGTGAAGCAGTTCTGCATTCCTCTGAAAAGCAGGCATTTCCAATACAGGTTACATAACTGTTCAGACTGTTTCTTTGAGGTGAGGCATCAGCTCAGGCTTTTGGTTGTGATACACAGATTCCTTCAAAGGATGCATCTGTGTTTTTATCAGTCATACCTGGTTGTGGCCCTTTTAAGTCTGGAATCTGTTCATTTTATTTATGACTGCAGAGGTGGGAGAATGTTTTTAATCTATAAACTCTCTGCAGTCGGTGCACAGCAGCTTTTCTCGCCTATTGATCTGTTTTTTCCTTGCTTTTCTTCTTTTACTTTATCTTAAATATTCATGTGCTTCTGCTCGTTTGTTCTGGGGCCATATTTGCATCCTCTCTTCTTCTTCATCTCTTCACCCATCTCTGTTTATTTCTGGTTATGTATGCAGCTGTGAGGTCTGGATTATTGTAATACTAAATTATTGATTATTACACTGAATGCGAGCTGCACTGTGCTGCACATCAGTAACTATAATCCAGGTTTACATAAAGACATTTTTCCTTTCTCTAATTCTCCATTTCAGTTCTGTTTTCTTTAACAAATGAATGTTTAGGAGGTATGAAGTAGTGTTGCAGAGGTGTTGTTCTTCCTAAAGTCTGTTACTGGCAGGTGTCTCGCTGCGGTATGATCTACTTGGAGCCCCACATGCTTGGCTGGAGACCCCTCATGCTTTCTTGGCTCAACACTCTGCCAGCTGCAGTCAATGATTCGCACAAAACCCTCATCACCGCCCTGTTTGACCGCACACTGCCTGCCTGCCTGCAACTCATACGAAAAGCAACCAAGGTGCTGCAGTTACAAACCCCGTGATGATTTTAGTCAAATATCTAAACTTTCTGATGGATGCCCAGGCAGGAGGAGTGTAGGAGGTTTTTAATAGTGTCGTCTCTCCTTGTCCTGCTGCAGGAGCTGTCCCCGACCTCCGACACCAATCTGGTGAAGTCCCTGATGAATCTGATGGACTGCATGATGGATGAGTTTCATGACCAAGCAACAATTAACAGCATGAGTGAAAACTATATTTGCTCCTGGTTGGAGGTTTGTATCCACAGAACCGCACTTAATAGTAATAAGACTGTGTGTCCAGTTTTCTTGAAAGAAATGCAGCCTGCCATCCTGAAACTTATCTTGTTTATGCAAAATATAGAACAAGATAAGAGAATGAAGAATATTTCTAAAACGTTCATCCTTAATTTGATGCATTCCCTTTCATTGAAGTAACTTTTTATCGTTTTTTATTACTACAAAACATGAACTTAAGAGAACAAACTAATAATGCTTGTTCTACAAGACTAAATACTCAATATTACAAAAACAAAGTAGTAATATCATGAAAGTGTAAAATATTGAAGAATATAGTAATAAAATTATGAACATAAAGTTATTACAGTACAAGAATAAAGTTGTTATAACATGAAAATAAAGTCATAAAATTACTTAGTAAACACATAGTAGTTAGTAAAATGTTTAAATAGTTTGTATTCGTACTGCTTTTCTTCTCTGATGCGGTACGGGTCGCATTCACAGCAGTCATAGTGAAAACACTCCTTTTTCCCGTCGAGATCCGATACCTCGGACTTATTCTCATCCTGGTTGCTTCACACTCAGCTGAGAACTGCCTCAGTCATGCTATAGGTCTTTGGCAGGTGGGAGCCAGCAGAACCATGATTTCCACAAAAAAGCAGGAATGAGATCCACTGGTCCGCAAACTAGACCCCCTCCAGACCTTGGCTACGCCTAGAAATCCTGACCATAAAGGTTATTGGAGGTACAGACAGAAGCAAAGCTGCTGAACTAAGATGCATCATAGCAACAAGCAATCACTCACTGAAACATCAAAACTGTTGATATGGTAGGGTGACCAGACGTCCTCTTTTTCCCGGACATGTCCTACTTTTCATAAAAAGATTTCTCGGGGGGAATTTCAAAATCGTCCGGGATTTTTTCTTCGACTACAGTGCAGCAGGTAGTCGAAACACACCGCGCATTTGAACTGAGGCATAAGCTCCGGGGCTGGTCCAGGAACCCCGGCGGACGGGCGCAGGGAGCCAGCGGGAGAAACCAAACCTGACCCGGTGATGGTCCAGTTAGCGGCCCAGCAGTCGACACTTCATACCCCCCCTCCCTTGGGCCAGTGAACCAGTGGACTAGTCTGTATGCTTCAGGGTGTTACAAAAGTACAGGCCAGAACCAAATAAGGACACATCCATGAGTTTACATCAACTCTGGGCTTCATTTGGATTTGCCCGTTTTATGATGGAAGTTGAGAATTGTGAGATTAGCAGAGAAAGGAGGCGTCGATGGGGTTTGAACTTCTCTGTACGTCCGTTTCACCCACTGAACTATGGTTATTCATCTATGACAATGAAACACAGTTTTGTATTCTATGACCCCTTTAAAGTACTTTCAAAATTTTGAATTCTGAATATGACCGGACTTCTCCTTTAATTTAGAAATAAGAAAAAACACCCTTGTCACAGGAAGATACTAAAAAACAACAGAAAAGGGGAATTGTAGTATTTAGATTTCAACAATAAAACATGACACTAAATTATTTATAGTTTGACTCTTAGCTGCAGTTAGTTTGGACTCAATATTAGAAAAATCCAACATATAGTTTTTATTTTATGACCTAAAAAGCATTCATGCTATTCTATATTCCTACCTAAATAACATCCAAATACTCGTCTTCATCATTGTTTTTTTTTTCTCTCTTGCAAAGGTTCTGGTGTTACAGTGCTATTATCTCCCTGTGAAACACTGCACTGATGAATGCCTTTCAACCTTCTCTGCGATGTTTCTCAGCCATTCATTATCAAAGCGCTGAATTAATCAGCTTTTTAGCCACAGGATGCACTGTAGCGCCGCTAAACCTAATTCACAATCTACAGAATCCCTGCTGATTTTTTGTTGTTTTAATTTTTCTTTTTGGGATTGCATCAAACATATCCCTTTGTTGGGATTTTTGTTTCATGTCTTATGCAATAATCTGCTCACCAACAAAGATGTTTTATTAGTGAAGATTTGGCTCCCACTACTTATGAGAAGCATTTATTTTTATTTTTTTTACAGTGGAATGTTTGACAGCATAACCTTTATTAGCAGAACTGTAGCTATCTTTCTGCTTATTAGGGAGAGGTATGCCGCCCTTTAGAGGTTGAGTCAATTTGCAGATCCTAAAACGATCTTTGTGACATGCCAACCAAACATAGAAACACAGCTTTATTTTCAGGCATCGATACATCTCTGCATTATATAACCACTCATCTCCAATTTTAATGCATGGTTTAGCTTCTTTTCATTTCATTTTATACTTAAACTACTTTTTTTTTTTTACCATTTTGTATACACAGAGTGTAAAATTTTTATTTTGTACAGCTTTAAGATCTCTCTGTCGCTGTGCTTACTTATCTATGCCTGCCTGCCTCTTGCTCTGGTTCTCCTCTTAGAAAGACAAGTGTAGTCTGTAATTTCCCCAATAGGTACACTTCAACTCCGAGGAAAAAAGAAGAAAATAGAAACTGTGAAATTACAACATATTTGTATTCTGGAAAATATTCATCTTGTCTCACACAAACAGGAAGATGTGTGACCAAAATCCTTTTTTCCAAAATAATTCACAAGTAAATTCTTTAAAAACTCTACAAACCTGATCTTTCTAAGTTGGAGAACTTGTACAATTGCCTAGAGTTCCCTGAGAAAACACTGTGGACGGAAAATTTAGATTTCTCTTTGTTCATATATTAATTTATGCTATTTACTCACTATAAAAGTTTTCAGTCAGTCTGTGTCCCCTGCATGGCCACACTATTCTCCTTTGTGAAGGTGTTTGTAGCCAGATTCTTTCCCAAGGATTATACACAACATGTTGCTGTTTAACCAAAGCGTCTGTAATTTGTTTTGACTCTGACTGCTTTGCATTATTGTAAGTAAAGGAAACAGACTCTGCCCAGGCAGAACAGGGCTGAATACCAACCAGTAAGGGCTATCCCGTATTTGCAAAGATATGAAAATACTGTAAAGCGCAGAATGAGTGAAATCCATCAATCAAAACGTTTATTTAACTGGGGTGAATAGTTGAACACTTTTTTCCCACTACAACGCACATACACATTATTATATTCCACCATTTTCTCAGTTCTTATTGAAATGTGCAAATGTACGTAAACATCTGTCGCAGACAAATACAGACGAATATACTCAAATTATTTCTACAATAATAATATCTGGGAGCTGCGTTACTGTAGTTATTCATCGTTTTAACCATAATAAGTTATTAGAACCTCAGTAAAGCTAACATAACAATTATTCCAGCTTTGTTTGCTGGTGTTCTGTTAGATGAGCATACCCGGTCAGACCAGCATACCCATGGTCAATACCCGTTTTGTACGAAAAATACACCTTAAACTACTTCAACGGGTGTGTATCCCATTAGTCATTTACAAAAAAACAATTTAATTACTTAGTTTTTGGTAGTTGTTTTTTAAGCGTATGGCAATCTGACCTTATTTTTCTTTTTTTGTACCTAATTAAAGGGATACACGCATGTTGAGGTAGTTTGAAGTCTATTTTTAGTACAAAACTAAAGGGATAAACACAAATCTGACATATTGTGCATGTGCATTGACTGTAAGTATGCTCGACCGACCATGTATGCTGATCTGACAGAACACCGGCTCTAATGTGATTTATCCACTGAAAGCGTTGGTGGTCTATGGTGATTAAAATGCTTTTTATAGGAGTGAATCCTTTTTGAATTAACCTCCCACGCAGGTGAATTAGTAAGAACGAGTTTGAAATGGGAAGTACTCCCTCACCCTGTCTGCGCTGCTGCCGTTTGCATCAGATTATAACAGGAAGGGATTTAGATGTGTTTTAAGATTTAAAATAATATCTCTGACCCCTAAATGATTATTGAAATTATAAGATATGTGTCTGACAATGGTGCTTTTCTTCTCCAAAGGGTATCTTTGTGTTCTGCCTGGTGTGGTCAGTGGGGGGCAGCTGTGACGATTTGGGCCGAGTGAAGTTCGACTCTGTGCTGAAAGAGATGCTGAGGGGCCCTTTGAGCAAAGAGACGATGACCCGACATGGCATTTTGAGCAGTGCTGATGCTCCGGCCAAACCGCTGAGAGTTCGTCTCCCCGCCAAGGGTACACTCTACCAGTATCGCTTCATTAAGGAGGTATGACTGCTTATAATACTTAGGAACTCCACAGATTCCTTATTAACGGTTTCCCACATTATTAGAGATAAAGATTAAACAGGTTTTTAAGCTGCCTGATATTAAATTGAACAAAGTTTTACAGTTTTATTTAGATTATTTTCATACTTTTTCAAAAGTTTGAATTTGTATTTACTACAATTGCCTTTCCAGCTGTTTGAATTGAAACATTCTGGATATGATGTCTCACATTGGATTGATTTTCATATTAATTCCTAAAGATTGATTGATATACCCTAAATTTCAGAGTCCGCTACAAGTTGACTGACATCAGGGCCCCTCCCCCATGGATCCGTCAAGCGCATTTCAGCACAATCACACCAAAATTTGCCCATTAGGCAGAATTTTAATCAGTGTAATTGCAATGGAAATACTGTTTTTAAACATATGTTAGGATAATTATCATTGATGATGTGTGAGTTTATTACACTTTAAAGTCATAGGGAAGCAGCTGTTCCAAATGTTGTATTTTCTAATTCTCCCGAGTGGTGCCCGACTTTACACGAGTGAATAAAGTGAATGTGATTGGTCATTCATCAAGGGGGCGGGATTGTTGTGGCCAAAGGTTCGCAAGCACGTTTGGTTGTGGCCAGTGTCTCAGAAGCATCTTGCTAACCAGTTAGCAACTTATTGCTAGTAGGTTCCCAATGTGACCTACTTAGGACTAAGTAGCACTAAATTGGTGACTTAGAAACAACGCTGTCAAGGAATGCTTTGGACAGCGGAAACATGCAAGAGGAGGACAGTTTAGTGTCGTGGATGAGTCTCCTCCGTCATCCATTTTTATTTAGAGGAGGAAAGTGGGGACAAGGTTGTTGTACTGTAGAAGAGGACGCCAGGGCAGCAGAAGCTTGGTTTGGTGTAGAAGGCTTACGCTTTAACGCTGCCAGTTCTGTTAGCTCTACGCCTGCCGAAGACACAGACGTCCATCCCCGTGAACACTGGGACGGAACTCAATGGGAAAGGAAATTATTCTTATTTCAACCATTGCGTATATTAGCTGCGACATATGAATCAAGATGCTATGACCGAAAAAATTTGATTGACAGATGACCGTTGATATATAATTGGCCGAATTTAGGTGTACAAGCTGACATATAACTAACGAGCCTGTATAGATAACAGAAAAAACCCCCACAGATTTTAAGACAGTATTTTTTTTTTATAGAAATTTTCTAACTTTTTGGACAATATGGTCTGATAAAGAGTACATTTATTAACATGTTTAAGCCAGAAACCTTATAATCTATTCAGTTAAAGCAACCATATAAAACCATGTCCATGCAACCATTAAAAAACATGTCCTGTTTGTAGCTATCTCCATGTTCAGGATAGATCTGACTCGATCCTGTAGAGCAAAGCTGTCCTTTAACCTAAGCATCTGATGACTGGTTCTTCAGGGCCCAGGCAGATGGGAGCTTTGGACTGACCAGCTACAGACTGCACCCCCCATACGCAGAGACATGCAGTTCAACGAGATCATCGTGCCCACCGAGAACACCGTACGCTACATGGCGCTGATGGAGCTCCTCGTTACTCACCAGAGGCCGACTATTTTCATCGGCCCCACTGGCACCGGGAAGAGTGTCTACATCACTGTGAGTCATGCAAACATTGGTGTTTTATCTGTGAGCAGCTTGAAAAGCGTGTGAGGATTTATGTGAAACCAAACATGAACATGCATGAAATGACTTTGTGGTACAGGGTTAATCTACACAGCAAATAGTAAAACGTAAAAATGTTTTACATTTTGGTCATTCAACCTTAATTTGACGAGGTAAATACAATGATTTGCCAATGGAGTTAGTATTTTTATCCTTACAATAAGATAATTCGACAATATGCACTTGAATTAAGACAAAGCAGTTGTTTTGTCTTATTTCAAATGTAAATTGTCTTGTTCCATGGGCACTTATCTCCTCAGTTCAAGAAAAAATGCACTTATTTTAAGAATATATGACTTATTTAGGGTTCATTTTTAACAGTGTACAGCAGCAGGTTTCTGTCAGACTTTGTCTCTAACATTGTTTTGAATAAACGTTGGCCCACTCCTCTGTAGACATTCCTACATGGCTCTCTGAAGATCCCAGGTGAGCATTTCATCAGGTTGAGATCTGGTCTTTCACTGGACCTCTGCCACAGCTTGAGCCGTCTCTTTTTCTGCTATTCTGTTGTCGACTTTCCAACAGATTTTCTATCAATCTGCTACAGTTGTTGGACAGATGGTCTGACATTTAACCAAAGAATATTTTAGTTAACGATAAGTTCCTGGTCCGTTCACATTCACTCAGCCCCTATCAGCAAGCTCATAAAAGCAAAAGTCCGGTCAGCAAGGAATAATCAATGGATCATCATCTATACCTAAAATTAATACATTTGAGGTGATTTAATTAACTTAGCGTTAATCAGTAAAAAAAAGAAAATAATAATTTTCGTTGCGAGTCCAGGAGCGGCCATTTTTGCCCAAATATAGTAACACCTCACTCCTGATATCTTCCAGCAGTGACGTCACGGTGCAGTAAGCCTAGCGCCATTTTTTTTTTTCATTTTTTAAAACCTTTTTTTACAGATTTAATATTTTCAAATTTTTTTTCAAATTTATATTTTTCAGATTAGGTTTTATGAATTGCATTCTTTTAAACTATAATGTACAGATCAAATTCTCTCAGAAAATGATTTACAAAATATGGAACATATTAGGACAAAAATCTAATTATTAAAAAAAAAAAAAAACATCAAACTTACTCAAACTTTTTTTTATTAAATTTTCAGAATTTTATTTCTGGATTGCAGTTTTTCACATTTTTGTTTACTTTTTTAAATATACATTAATGTAGAAAAGGTTATCTTGCAGCAATAATGGAAGAAAAAATTCACTCCACAGTCTTATTGCTTTTAGAAAGAAGAGATGCTCCAGCCTTTGTAATGCCGACTCTGTCTGTTGAGCTGAGCCAAGGTGAAGGTTTTAATTTAACAGTTCCTACCTTCACCTACGGTAATAAAATCTGTTTAATGACCAGAAGAACAAGATCCAGTGACTGTCTAAGTGATAAAACGAGGAACTTGTTCATCTGGGAGACGCTCAGAGTAGAGCTGCGTCTTCTCCACATGGAGAGGAGTCAGCAGAGGTGGCTGGAACATCTGTTTCTGATGGCAAACCACCAGGAGGAGGCCCAGGGGACGACTGGCTGGCCCTGGCAGCGCCTCGGGCTTCTTCCAGAGGAGTTGGAGGAGACGTGTGAGGAGAGGGAGTTCCTAGGTTCTCTGCTAAGACCGGTGCCTCCATGACCCGGTCCAGGATAAGCAGAAGGAACAACAGGACCATTTAACATCCTGATCTCGCGAGCTTTCAAGGTTTCACTCGCAGATCAGTCTGGAGACTCTCCGTTAAAGAAAATTTGGAGCCGTTCACCAAACGAACGTCCAATCAGCGTTGGCTTTGAGGCGGGTTGAGGTGTGACGCAACGAGAAGCGCGACAGTTCAGTCTAAAGAACATGGCGGCTTCAGCCGATGAAACTAACGTTAGCGGGGCTATCGAGCAAGTTTTATCGGAATTACAGAGTATTTCTTCACTGAAAGAAGAGCAAAACACTGCTCTGGAGGCTTTTCTCAGAGGAAAAGATGTTTTTGCTCTTCTCCCGACTGGTTTCGGCAAGAGTAGCCTGGCTGTTAGCACTTCATATGCTTCGTTGATCTGATTGGTTTATTTGGCCCGTCTATCACCAACATAGGCCAATCAGCTAACCAGTATTTTCGCCCCTTCCCAAAATTACTTCAACGGAAGGTTTCCAGATGGATATGTGGAGCAAATCCATCTGGCGGAGTCGGGTTACCATTTAACCCCTCCAAACAAATTACTCTCTAGTCTATTGTTATGAGTTAAGAATTGATTTCTCTGAATGAGATGCAACTTTTGTTTTTTGTTTTTTTTATTTACACTCTGATTTTGGGCTAAATTTTCTAACAATTTCTGGGAGGATTAGAAGTTGTATAAATGTTTTTCACCATAGAATAACTCTTCTCTCCGTAAAATGGGGGCTTTAAGATGGTTTATATTCCTCCCTAGATCAAAGGGAAGCTACAGTAACCATATTTCTGATAAGAAAACTATTTATTTGTACCATCCTGGAATAAATCAGTCTTCTTCTCTCATATAATTGGGAAGCAGCAACGTTAAGAGTTGCTGGGTGTGACTTGAAAGAATACAGAACTTTGCATTTAGGGCTAATCCTCCTCCTTTAGTTTGCTCAAACTTTGGACTCTGGGGTAAATGGAGATCATCTCACCGGGGAGCTGAGCTTGGCTCTCTACTTCCTGTCTGTCGGGAGTCCCATGCAGCAGGCAGCAGACCGTGGCAGAAGCACAAATCTGGCCCAAGTGATAAAAGAGGACAGTGCATGTGATTATAAAAGGCATGATGTCCTTACTGCTACCTTCAGTCAGCTCCTTCCCTTTCTCTGCCCTAATTCAGAGTTTGACAGGGAGGAGCTGAACTCTCTCTAAAGTTTTATACAATAGCATCTAAGTAGATGCAGTTTGTTCTCCACCCTGTGATCCTTTTATTCTTTAATTATGTTGCTCTTATCAGCTGACTGTACAGGAATGGATGGTGAATTTTCTTTCAAGTGATAGTACCAAAGTGAGGTTCTGCTATTTGACCTCACAATCACTTTGATGCAATCCGTGGGATATATGGAGTAGAAATAGATGGATATATCACAGGTGTCAAGTAACGAAGTACAAATACTTTGTTACTGTACTTAAATACACCTTTTAGGTATCTATACTTTACTCCATTACTTATTTTTCTGCCACTTCTGACTTCTACTCATCACATTTTCACACAAGTATCTGTACTTTCTATTCCTTACATTTTTAAAACAAACATTACTCATTACTCTTGGCTTCGGTTTAATGTTTATAAATATTTATTTCCCGTCATGTGCTCCATCCAATGCAGATCATTGGCTCCATCCACTTCTAGTGAAAACTAGTGTAATTGGATGAGTCATATAACGCAAACACTCATTGGTTAGCTAAAGGAAATCATCAGAAGCAAGCAGGTGTTCTTCAAACTGCTAACATGAATTGTCTATGCCATGCTATAATGTCGGATTCAGAAAAAGATGTTGAAATGTCTGAAAGGTCGGACACAGGCGAGAGCGTATCGGAAGATGGAGACCAACAAGACCTCCCTCATCCTTGGCCCTATCTCAAAGAATCTTTTAAAATTGTCGAATAATTGAGCTTTCAATTCATATAGTGGCATCTGGCTGTTTTTTTTAAAGGTTACTTTTTCACTTTTACTTGAGTAAAGAGGTCAAGTTGATACTTTAACTTTTACAAGGGTGTTTTTAAACTGCAGTATCTATACTTCTACTTAAGTAACAAATGTGTGAACTTTTGACACCACTGGTGTCAAAATTCAAATGTTTGCTCCAGTTAAGTAAACGGAGATAGATGGATTTCACTCAGTCGCCACATTGTTTTTATCTTTGCAAAGAGAGAACAGTTCATCATACGGCCCTTATTGCACGGTAATCAGCCCTGTTCTGCCTGAGCGGCGTTCGTTCCCCTTTACTTACAATAATGGAAAGTTGTCAGAGTCATAACAAATTACAGACACTTAAACAGTAACATGTTATGAATAAAACTTGAGAAAGAATCTGGTTTGTTATGGAAATAAGGTAGGTCTTGTCCACAAACACCCTCACACAGGGGAATTGTGTGGCCTTGCAGGTGAAACGGACTGAGTGAAATCAATAAATTAATATATGAAAGAAGAGAAACTCAATTTTCCCACCACAGTTCCTTTCTTCTCTCAGTATCAGCCACTTTGTGCTTACGTTTGCAGATTCATTAGTGCATTCAGCAGCCATGCCTTGAGATCACGTGAAGTACATTTATTGGTCATCGTTTACTCTCTTCATAAGTTGTTAGTGTTTTGCTTGATTTGTTAATTAATGTTTCGTTATGTTTTAAAAAGACGTGTAAAATTTGTCACCATGTTGTCATTTTGATTATGTAAATGGAGGAAGAGAAAGCAAAAACTCTGAAAAATCTACCTGTCAAGGTTTGGTTGTAGTTTGGAGCAGAGATGGCAAAAGTACTCACTTGCCGTACTTGAGTAAAAGTACAGATACTTGTGTTAAAAAATACTCTGGTAAAAGTGGAAGTACTGATTCAAACTTCTTTACTCAAGTAAAAGTAACAAAGTACAGGCTTGTAAATTTACTTAAAGTATAAAAGTAAAAGTAGAAACCACTTTTTTCATGCCGTTGCCTACATTTTAAATGGATGTCTGCCAATAGGACTAGATCTCCGTTGTGTTCATTTTCAATCATCTCGTCGTCCATACTACTATGCTAACGCCACCGGCATCAAGCTGCAATGATTTGCCGCAAATGAATACCGCCGAATCTGTCGATTCATCTTGTAGTGGTGCATCAAATGCAACGTAGATTCCCATCCAATTAGATTGAATTTGGTATTGATGACGTGAAAAATAATAACGGTAACTCCATTGAAATGATTCAAAACTAAAGTAACGAGCCAATTTTTTAAAATGTAAGGAGTAGAAAGCACAGATATTTTTGTAAAAATGTAAGGAATAGAAGTAAAAAGTCGACATAAAAATAAGTAGTAAAGTAAAGTAAAAATATCAGAAAAATCTACTTGAGTACAGTAACGAAGTATTTGTACTTCGTTACTTCCCATCTCTGGTTTGGAGGACCCAAATGCAGAGGCAGAGAGGCTGAGGAGATTTCTTGGAGTTTAATGGGGCAAAAACAGTAAACAAAGGCAGGGATCCAAAAATCCAACTAATAATGAAAAGCAAACCAGAACTATGGAGACATCTGGGGAAACCAAACACGAGGAGCCAGGGAGAGACGAGGTAGGTGGACAACAGCATGGGAAGACAGCAAAGACAAGGAACCAACAAGGAGTGAGAGCAGAGGGAGAGAATATATAGCTGACTGAGACAAAGGCAGGGCTAACGAGCTGACAAGGAGCAGGTGTGAGAGACAACGAGGAAGCCAAGGGGAAAGGAACACACACGAGGGCAACAAAGGACAACAGAAAACATGAGAACTAACATAAATCTAGAAATAACAACAAAACAGGAATTAAACCAATAAAACTAGGAAACATGGAGCAAAGTAAAGCACAACAGAAACAAGACCATGACACGACCCCACAAAATATCAGCAGCACATTTTGGGGATTATCTTATAGATTGATATCAACATAAGGTTTAAAAAAAAACTGTATTGTTCAGTCTTCAATATGGAGAACCTAAATACATCAACTGGAATTTTCTATGAAATTAATAGATGAAACATTTAATTATTTATCCATCCATCCATCCATCCATCCATCCATCCATCCATCCATCCATCCATCCATCCATCCATCCATCCATCCATCATGTGTATTTTCAGAGGGTTGCCAGATGGTTTTATTAATGTTTTTAGGGTCAGAGGCTGAAATGTTTTAGAACCCTTGATTTAAACTAATTTAAACATTCTGTGTTAATGTCCTATTGGTGTACTTTGGCTGTATTAATATTTAATGTTATAAAACATAGAGATGTAGTTGCTTTTTATGTACTTTCTCCCATTTAAAACCCTGTGATGATCTTTGTTTGTGTTTCATATCTGCATTTAAAGGACTTCCTGTTGAATAAGCTGCAGAAAGATGAGTACAGCCCTTTATTTATTAGCTTCTCAGCTCAGACCACAGCAGCCCAGACTCAAAACCTCATCATATCCAAGTTAGATAAGCGACGCAAGGGAGTGTTCGGACCACCACCGGGAAAGAAAATGGTACGACCTCCTATTAGACCCTGTTGTCTCTCTGTTTTCGTTCTCCTCTGGGGGAGCCTGTTAGAGCTCTTTATTTAATCTACTGTGTTGGATTCTGCTCAGGTGGTGTTTGTAGATGATGTCAACATGCCAGCCAGGGGGGATTACGGTGCTCAGCCCCCTGTGGAGCTCCTGCGTCAGTGGCTGGACTGCCAGAACTGGTATGATCTCAAAGACTGCTCCCCGATCAGCCTGATGGACACCCAGATCATATGTGCCATGGGGCCTCCAGGTGAGCTGTAGCTTTGTAGGGAGTGGCTCTTCTTTGATGATCTTTAGTCTTTTATAAAGATAACTCAGTTTCAGAGGAAGGAGCTTTTGGGGGAGGATGAGAGAGAGACAGACCGCCGCGGGCTTCCTTCCTGCCTCTCTGTTCTTACAGATACACTTCCTCTTCATCAAATGGGTTTTAAGAGAAATGCAGTCGTTATCTGCTGGCAGCCACAGTGAACGGGTTGGATTTTGCTCTCAGGCGGCCCCTCTGCCTCACTGTTTGCTCCCAGGCAGTGAGCTGATTGGGGTTCTGATTATCTGAGCTCTGCATGATTGTGGGCAACCCTCCAACTAATTCAGGGACTAAGTAGTAATAGACATGGAGTTTCATCATATTTCTGCTTGCTCTCTGTAAACCTGTAAATATCCAGCTGAAACCGCCGCTGGTCCTCACAGTCCTGATCCAGTTTGGAAACAAACAGCTCCAGTTTAAATGGTTTACACAGGAAATTACTCCCCAAAATTCATCTACACAATGCATAGAAGATTATAGAAAATTAGCACATTAAATATATTAAAAGGGCAAAATAAAATTGACATGAATCTGGTAATTCTTCAAAATAGAATTCAACTCAAATGTTTTTTTACTTTTTGCAACATATCTATTTATTTATTCTGCACTGCTCTGAACCTTCCACATCAATGCCTATTTTCACCATGTCACTCCCACACTGTTTAAATTTTGAGCACCGCTGCACTTTATTGTTCTTTTCACTGATAAGCTGCTGCTGCTGCTAAAAATAAAAATACACCGTCGAAAAGCTGTATAAACAAAAACATTTCATTTTGTATAGACTCTGTGTACACATAATAACATTTAATAATAATAATAATAATACATTTTATTTGTATTGCACTTTACATTTAAAAAAAATCTCAAAGTGCTACAAAATTCATAGTTAAAACAAAACCGTATAATAAAAACGGTATACATAGTTAAAATGAGACATTACAGTAAAATAACATACGTAGTAAAAACAAAACAGTAAAATAACCGTAAAACCACACAGATAAAATACTAACTAATGTTCATAGGCTTTTTTAAATAAAAATGTCTTGAGGCCTTTCTTGAAGGCCTCCACACTCTGTGGGACCCTAAGGGACTCTGGGAGGCCATTCCAGAGTTGTGGGGCAACTGCCTGGAAGGCCCTATCTCCCATTGTGCAGAGCTTGACTCTTGGCTGGTGCAGTCGGTGGGTCATTTGTCTATGTCATTTCTACACAGAAATCTTCATCTATTGATAAAACATATATTAAAATACAGTTAAGTTCATCATATGTCAGTTAAGATAAAAAAACAAAAACAAACAAACATCGATTTCTTTCAGGTGGGGGAAGGAATCCTGTCACCCCTCGTTTCCTGCGCCATTTCAACCTGATCAGCATCAATGAATTTGATGAGCAGACCATGCATACGATCTTCTCCAGGATCACTAGGTGGCATTTTACCACACGGTAACTGAGATTTTGATCTTCCATCTTGTTTCAGGCAACAGTGTCAAAAATCAAATCAAATTCGTGCAAAGCTGGACAGTTCCAGATGATGCAGACTAGGTTTGAATCTGTTTTTCCCACAAATAGAAAGGACTCTGGGATTTCAGTGAAGTTAATGCTTCTTTAGTAGATGTTGGTGAAGATTCTCTGTCATCCAGGTCAAGGTCATTCCAAAGAAAGTTAAAAACAATCGACTGGACTTTATTTTCAAGTTTGAAGACGTTTCACCTCTAAGTACTTAGTACCTGTCTAAGTACTTAGCACTTACAAGGGTATGGGGCATTACTGGCTAAGAAAAGAAGCCTAACAACCCCTATTTCAATGGTGTGGACCCGTTCATCTGTTCCAATTTGCATGTTTTCAGAACAAAAAACAGCCTTTGTTTGGCTACTGTATAAAACCTCGAACTCAACGCTATTCCTGACATTTTGAATAGAAAAAGCTTCCTGGATGAGAAGTGAAATGTCTTCAAACATGGAAACTAAGTCCAGTGGATTGTTTTTAACTTTTTTTGTTAGTCTTTAGTAGACCTTTATCGGGACAGACCTTTTTCCAGGTCCTCCAAGGCTCTATTGACAGATAAATGCTCTTATTCTAACCATTCAGTTGTAATGCTAATTGCATGAAACCTCCTGCAGAATCGATTTTGGTTCTCCTGGAGGTTTCTTCCTGTAAAAGGGAGTTTTCCTCTCCACTGTCGTTAGAAAGCATGCTTGGTGTGAGGGAAGCAATCAACTGGTTTCCCTTATATGGAAAACTTTGAACCAATCTGACGATATGATCTGGTTTAATTGTCTCCGTAAAGTGTCTTGAGATGGCTTGGTGTTATAAAAATAAACTAATAGAATTTAATTGCATTAAATAATTTTGAAAACTAAATTTCATTCTTCTTCTATTTTACTTAGTTCAATACTTTGTGTTAGTGTATAACATGAAACCTCTGTTGTCAAGTTTAAAAGTATTTTAGGAACAACTTTCTTTGGATCCTTAGTCTTCTTAATCTGTTACAGGTGTGATTTAGCTGTTTCTTATTCTCTATATTTCATCATGTCCTTAAGATACTGAAAAAAAAAATATGTTTTGAAATAATGATTTTCCGACATTAGTTTAAGTTTATTAAAAAAAACATAAATTTTAGTGTTGTGCCGACACAATTTTTTTGGCCCCGATACCTGGCTGTGCAGTATTGGCCGATACCGATACCATCTGTGAGAAATTGATGTGTGTATATATGAAGAACTGCATACCACTTGGATGTAAAATAATTGCCATCATGGCTTTGTCAAGCTGCTACCTACCTTTGTGAAGAAGGAAAAAGACTAATACAAAGTGAATCCAGTAGAACTTCTTATTGCCTACCTGGAATGGGTGACAATAGTTGAATAGACTTTTGACTCTCAAAATGGTATCATTGCCCTATTTGTTGGTACTTGCCGATACCCATACCCCCATTTTAGTGCAGTATCTGGGCCCTGTACGAAACTGTATCGGTATCGGTGCAACACTAATTAATATGTTTCAATCTTGCCTGCCTGTCAGATTAGGCTCTAAAGAGCAACATGTTCTGTCACTAGGTTTTCCTTCCCAAAGCCATTTGCATCCTTGATCCCTGAGATAGTCGGCAGTACTCTGTCCATGTACCAGGAGGTGACCAACAACCTGCTACCAACGCCCAAAAAATCCCATTATTTGTTTAATCTGCGTGATGTTTCCCGAGTCATCCAGGGTATCTGCCTGTCAAGGCCAGAAACAGCAGAGAAGCCTTCTGTCATCAGAAGACTTTGGGTCCATGAGGTAACACTAAACCCACTAGGGGGTAGGGGATCATTAGCAACCATAAAATATGCCTCCATGTCTGTTCCATCTGTCTGACTCTTCTTTGGGACCGATGTTCCTCAGGTTCTCAGGGTGTACTGTGATCGGTTGGTTGACGATGCTGATCGCTCCTGGCTTGTCAGCCATCTGCAGACTGTGTTTCAGAATCACATGAAGGAAGACTTTCACCAGCTCTTCCAGCACCTGGATCAGGACCAGGATGGAGTGGTGACCGAAGACGACCTGCGCAGCCTCATGTTTTGTGATTTCCATGACCCCAAGGGTGAAGACCAGAACTACCGTGAGGTCCACGACCTGGAGCAGCTGCGTCAGGTGGTGGAGTCACACCTGGAAGAATACAACACCATCTTCAAAGCACCCATGAAATTGGTGCTGTTCCGCTTCGCTATCGAGCATATCTGCCGCATTTCTCGCATCATCAAGCAGCCGTGCGGGCACGCCCTGCTGGTGGGAATGGGTGGCAGCGGGCGGCAGTCGCTCACCCGGCTGTCGGCCTACATGGCAGAGGCAGAGCTGTTTCAGGTGGAAATCACAAAAACCTATGGGATCAATGAATGGCACGATGACCTTAAGAAGATTCTCAGGAAGTCTACCGAGGGCGAAGCTCATGGCGTGCTCCTCTTCACCGACTCTCAGATCAAGATGGAGTCCTTCCTGGAGGATATTGGCAACCTGCTCAACACTGGAGAGGTGAGCTTAAAAAGTAAAAAAGAAAAACAAAAAAAGGGATTGATCAGTTTTGAGATGTTGGATTTACTGTCAAATAGACAAAAGTTTAACTGGGAGGCAGACCCATCTAGGGTTACGCAGAGAACAGAAGCAGCACGTGTGATCACTGTTTGGTTCCCAGGTCCCCAACCTGTTTGCTGTGGATGAGAAGCAGGAAATCTGTGAAAGGATGCGTGTGCTGGACCGCCAACGCGATCGAGCCAAGCAGACAGATGGCAGCCCATTGTCCCTGTTCAACATGTTCTTAGAGCGCTGCCGCACACAGCTGCACGTAGTGCTGGCCATGAGCCCAATCGGAGACGCCTTCAGGGACCGCTTAAGACGATTTCCCGCCCTCATTAACTGCTGCACCATTAACTGGTTTCAGGTGGGTGAATTAACAGTGATCTGCTGCAGCAGATAAATATTCTCATTTGGAGTCCTGGGCTTTGGAACACTGAAAGCAGACACTTTGAACCTTGGATAGGCAGTTTCTGTTTGGTTCGGTGAATGTTTGGGACTCTTTGAATCTCTGGTAAGGTCTGGTCAGACCTTTTGTCCTTCAAGTGCTCCTAAAAGTGACACATTAAAATGGTATGCTTTGACACCCCATAGATGTGTAAAAGCAATTAGGTAATTTGAATTGCACAATTATAATTTTAATTTTGTTTGATTGTGGGTCATTAGTCATCAAGGAAAGAGAGTGTATATATTTTATTATTAAAAAACATCTTAATAAGAATTGTATGTAATATTAAAATTATATTTTATTGAAAAGTAAGAGTATTTTTAAAATGTCAGAATAGAATTTAGACTTTTTCTTTTAAAAAGCCCTTAATAACCAAACTTCCTCTTATATCAGAGATGATCTGATTGTTCCTTATGTTCCTAACAGAGCACTTCGCACTTCATCTGCAGGTTTACTTGTGGTTCCTAGAATTTCTGTTGAATGAGAGGCAGATCTTTAGTTTATCAGGCTCCTCTCCTGTGGAACAGACTACCAGTTTTAGTCCATGAGGCAGACACCCTGTCAACTTTTAAGACTAGGTTTAAACTTAGTAAGAGTGGCTCAAGTTATTCTGAGCTATCGCTATACTTATACTGCTATAAGCTTATGCTGCTGGAGGACGTAGGGACCACTTTTCATCTTTCTTCATTATTCTTTCTAATCTCCAATTTTGCAGTATTTTCAGTTCAACCCCTACTTTTTATGTTCTCTTTGCTTTCCTTTTCATAGTAGCATCATCTAGCCTAGTTCTGTTTAGCTGTAAGACAATCATGGAGGGAGGCATCAGTGGGGCTGCTCCTGTTTTTCAGAGCTCAGTCCTGTTTCTCTTCTAGACACTATGGGCTCCGCTTAGACGTCAGCCCTGACTTGCTTGAATGTTTCTTTACTTGACAGGGACACCTATGGAGGTAGTTTACTGTTACATTTTCTGCTTTAGAGAGTATTTATCAGCTTGTTTTCCTTAGATAGAAACCTTTTAACCAATCAGAATCTATGACTTAATTGAATTGAATTACATGTGTTGTGTATATGTGCTTTATAACAAAATAAATAATTGAATTGAAAAAATTCTGCCTCTAATAGTCTTGGCCTGAGGATGCCCTGCATGCCGTGGCTGATCGCTTCCTGGAGGACATTGAGATGGCTGATCGGACCCGAGAAGGCTGCATCCACATGTGCAAAATATTTCATACATCTGCTATTGATGTGTCGGCTCGCTTTTTAGATGAACTACAGCGCTACAACTATGTCACTCCAACTTCTTACCTGGAGTTTATTTCTAACTTCAAAGCACTGCTGGGGACAAAAAGAGAGTAAGCTCATCACATTTGTAATTTTAGTGTGAGAGGTGATTTTAGGTTTTTAGGGTGTACCTTACAGTCATGTGTCATTCCTTGTCTTCTTTCGCTGTCCAGAGAAGTGTTGAAACTAAAACATTGCTATGCAGTTGGTCTTGAAAAGCTGCAGTCAGCTGCAGACCAAGTGGCGACCATGCAGGTCGAACTGGAAGCCCTGCAGCCAGACCTACTGGTGGCCAGCAAACAGGTAGACGAGATGATGGAGTTGATCAAACTTGAGTCCAAGGAGGTAGCTGAGACAGAGAAGGTGGTGAAGGAAGACGAGGCTGTGTCCAACCAACAAGCCATGGCTGCCAAGGTCATAAAGGATGAGTGCAACGCCGAGCTGGCTAAAGTACAGCCTCAACTGGATAAAGCCCGGGAATCATTGAATACTCTAACTCCTCAGGTACAGGATGACTCCTCTTGAACTATACCTCTTTATTACATTTTAACCGTAACCCTGGATCTATTTCTCTGGGATTTTATGTGATAGACCAATGCATAGCAGTGCAACATTTTCAAGCCTACTTGTTTTTAAACATTTTTATAATCAAGAAAGTGGGATTCACATTTGTATTTAGGGTTCCTGGGGTTTTACTTTACACATGTTCTAATAAGTAATACCATCTAGCACATCTATTGGTATTCTATTGTAGCATTAACTGTCTCACCTAAGGCGAACCACTTTTTACCTTTAAGCATGATGTTCCCATATTTAGCTTCATCCATCTGTTCATCAACTCTGAACATCTTCTGTGTAGTTTTGTTATCATCAGACAGTCATCTACCAAATGTTTTAACGACATAGCTTAAAGGAATAGTACACCCAAAACATGATTAGCCTTCATTTTCTACTCACCCCCATGCTGAACAACACTCTGGAGTACTTTTTTGATATCTCAAATGCATCTGGAGATCTGGGAGGCTTCTTGCTGTCTGCTGACATTCAAATAATGGAGGTCTATGGTGCCCGAGGCAGAAAGGTCCATAAAAGTCCACAAAAAACGTGTCAATATTCCTCCACACTGCTCGTCCAATGTATTCCAAGTGTCCTGAGTGGGTAGCATCCAGAATTTACTCGAAACGAAGTCATTTAGAATGTTTTTAGACAGTAGTGTATAGGATTTCCTAAAAGCGCGTTCACGAGTCTACGGAAACCGCGGCAGACCAAACCAGATGAAAGTGCGCATTCAGCGTCTGCTCTGCCGATAATGCAAGCATAGAAGAAGAAATGTGCTGTTTACCTGTGCAAAGAAAGAAACAACGAAAGAAAAATGTCTGAGGACTTCATTGTTGAGGAAGAGCATGAGTTCTTTTCAAGCTGAATGCGCACTTTCGTCTGGTTTGGTCTGCCACGGTTTCCGTAGACTCGTGAACGCGCAGGCAAAAATGCTGGATTTACATTGCCATGAAAATAAGACAGTACTTTGTTTACCAATCAGGGGGCTACTAGAGGTAACAATTTTTTGGAGGTGTTTGTTTTACAAATATGCACAGCTTTTCTAGGGGCCTATCATGAATACACATAAAAAAAACAAAGAAAATATTCATGAAATCTTACAAAAAGAGAAACGTTCAAAAGACAAACCTTGCTGGAACAGTGCAGTGATTAGTGTGGTTTAATCTGCAGGATATGACGCTGTTGAAGTCCATGAAAAATCCTCCCCCAGCTGTCAAGCTGGTTATGGAGGCGATTTGCATTCTTAAAGGTGTCAAGCCAGATCGAGTGCCGGATTCCTCAGGTTCTGGTAGAATGGTGGAGGACTACTGGGGTCCGGCCAAAAAGCTTTTGGGAGATATAAGGTTTCTACAGAGCCTCCATGAATACAATAAGGACAACATTCCAGCAAACCTAATGGCCATCATCAACCAGAAGTACATCGATAACAAAGACTTTAAGCCAGAAAAGATCAGAGTTGCTTCTGCTGCAGCGGAGGGAATCTGTAGCTGGATCATCGCCATTTCCCATTATGACGTGTAAGTGTTTTTCTTTACCTTGGTTGATCTTTGGAAAATAAAACCATGCACCAAAAATATGTTCTTTATAACTTAAAGGTCATAGTTACGGCTTTTCATCAAAAGATATATTTAAAAAAAATATCACATCCACAGAACAGGAGTGGTGCAGAACAAAAGTATACATTTTATTAAAAAATAATAAAAAAACAATTGCTTTTAAAATTTCAACTGGTCCAAAATACATAAATATTCACTTCAGGTTACAATGACAACACCAGTGCCACGAGATTGTGCATCAATGAGTATGGTCATGTCAGATAGCACTTAGGCATTGCCAGATCCTTGTAGATCCATAATAGGCCTGAGGAATGTCTTCTTTTTGGTGTCCAATTTCTTAAATTCAAGACAAAAAACAAACCAAAAATAATCCAAACAAGGGTGACTATCATGTAACTTTTTGGGCATTGCTGCCAACTTAATGGACGACAGTGGCGTCAGATGTAAGAGTTTACCCTGAAATTGAAAGGTTTACAGTTAAACCCCCGGCTCTGGCTTTCAGTGTTGTATTGTCCTTGGGCAAGACACGTCACTTGCATTGTCTACCGATGGTGGTCAGAGGGCCCGGAGGCGAAATTTGCTCCTTTGTAATTATTAATAGGAATTTCTAAGGCAACGCAACACAAACTTTCAGTTCTTAGATGATAACAAATAAGATAATTATGCATTATATATTTCATTTCTGTAAGAAAATCCCCTTAAATTATTATACAATGGAGCTTTAAGGAAGGAAAGGGGCTCAGAAGCCAAGCCCAGTGTCACCACCTAATCCGTACTTGTAACACGATAATTTGCGCATACACAACAAGAATACATTCTGGTCACCATCTATTGCTCTTCATGAAGCATGCCAATGCAACTAATGCTCAAAACTACAATATATGGCTGGGGTGTTAGTGACACTAAGACTCAAAACAGTAAACAATATTTTCAAACTCAACATGTTGATTGTTTTATAGATTTTGCTAAAGCCATAGAGTCACAACATATAATTTTGTATAGCCTTTCAAATGGAAATGGATCCACCCATACCATCATCTGTGACATTTTTTTACATAATGTGTATAATTTCTGCTATATATTATGAGTAATGCCCTTTCAACATTTGGACTGTGAGCTTACGAGTAGCCTGAACAAAATAAATAAAAAATAAAACCAAAGAAGTGTCCTACCATGACTATGAAGCTGATCCCAGTGGGAAATTTGTCCCTAACTATATAGGGACAATGATAGCCATGCCAGTCAGGGACTGACTGCAGTTCTACTGTAAGGTGCCTCGGTCAAGGTCAATGACCGACGTACCTGACATGTAGCAACCATACCATGCATACTGCTTTAGGTCAGGCATCCCCAAACTCGGTTCTCAAGGCCCCCTGTCCTGCAGGTTTTAGAGGTTTCCTTGCTCCAGCACAGCTGATTTTAATTGAAAGCTGACTAACAGGCTTTCGGTGTTCTGCAATCATTATAACTAGCTGGCATTCCCAAACTGAGTTTGCTTTAGGTTAATAAACTTTATTAATTAGACTATGTATGCTAAAAAAAAGTGAATAAAAATCCACCATCCTCCTTCGTTTTTTTAAACAACTAGACTACTGGTTATTGCACTGAGAGTGAAGAATATTGCACATGAGTGATAATAGGTAATATATTGGTGTTATATGTCCGCTGCTGTGATGTTGTGATGCAGTTTTTACCTCTACTATATGAATAGTAAAAATACCTAAAGGATTTAGACAGTAGAAAATTTGAGAACTGTTTTAGTAACATGTTTAAACTGTAATGTTGCTGTTTATATCCAACTTAAATGGAATTCTGTAAATTCTCTCTTTTAAATGTACAAACAGTGCAATCAAGAAAGTGGCTCCAAAAAGGGCAAAGCTTAAAGTGGCTGAAGAAGAGCTGCGGGTTGCCATGGACGCCCTCTACATTAAGCAGGCTGCCCTCAAAGAAGTCCAAGAAAAGCTTGCAAAGCTCCAAGATACTTTAGAGAAAAATAAAATAAAAAAAGCTGATCTGGAGCAGCAGGTTTGTGATCTCTCAGATTTTCAGCCAACTGATGGTGAGAAAGTTCTTTGAGAGTGTGATAATTAGTAACAAAATCACATTCGACTGTTCCTGTTGTGTTAAATACTAAAACAGGAAAACAAGTATTCATCTGAAGTTATTTCTATGAGCTACAAAACTTTTACTTTGCGTTTATTTCCTGGCTTAAAGGTGGATCTGTGCAGTAAAAAACTAGAGAGAGCTGAGCAGCTGATTGGAGGCTTGAGTGGAGAGAAGATCCGCTGGAGTGAGATGGCCCTCAGTCTGGAACAGCTCTTTGACAACCTGACTGGGGACATCCTCATATCAGCGGGCATCATGACTTACCTGGGAACCTTCACCTCCAAATACAGACAGGTAGAGGCAGCTTAGGTGTCCCTCTGATCGAGATCAACTCTAAAGATAAACACTTAAAATGTACGTCTAGGTACTTTTTACTATTAGAGTTGAATGTTGTCTCCAGGATCAGGTGGAGAAATGGATCGATCTGTGCAGAAGCATAGAGATACCGTGTTCTTCCAACATGTCTCTCGTGAACTCGCTGGGTGACCCAGTAAAGATCCGGGAATGGACCGCCGCTGGCCTCCCTTCAGACAGCCTCTCTATAGACAACGCTATAATCATATCGTAAGTCCAGGAGATTCATTTTTTTCTTCAGTAAAACAACTAATTACAAGTGGATTGAAATCCTTTTCACCCCTTAAAGTTTTTTTCAAATTTTGTCAGATTCCACCAACAAATTTCAGTGTATTTAATTAGCATTTTATGTCCTAGTGTAAAGGATCCCAAATATTTTAGTAACTCTCTAAAATACATTTATTTAATTATCTCTATGTTTATTGATGAAATTCAAAAGACATACATAAAAAGACACATATAGAACATTTATTTTTGAATTAATCTTTTTTTTAAAAGGTTAACATAGTTATTTAAGCTATAATTTATGTATTTATTTTTATTTATTTCATTTTTTTTTATTTTAAAATTTGTTTTTTTTATTTTAGCTATAATTTAAAAGAAAAATCAAATAATTTTAGGTGCCATTCAATCATTATTACGGAAGAGGATTAGGGCCGCTGGAAAAAAAAAAAAGTTAACTGATTTTTAATTTTTATTTCAGTTTAACATGGGGAAAAAGTCAGAATTCTGACTTTTTTCTCAGAATTCTGACTTTTTTATTGTCAGAATTCTGAGATTAAAGTCAGAATTTTGAGAAAAAAGTCAGAATTCTGACTTTTTTCTTAGAATTCTGACTTTAATCTTAGAATCCTGATATTTTTCTCAGAATTCTGAATTTAATCTCAGAATTCAAACTTTTTTTATTGTCAGAATTCAGTCAGAACTCTGAGATTAAAGTCAGAATTCTGAGATTAAAGTCAGAATTCTGAGAAAAAAGTCAGAATTCTGAGAAAAAAGTCAGAATTCTGTTAAACTGAAATACATTTTAAAAATCAGTTCTTTTTTTTCCAGTGGCCCTAATCCTCTTCCATACATTATTGATAATTGTTTAATGGTAATTTAAATTATTTGATTATTTGTTAAATAAATAAATGATACATTTATTTTTCAGTGGGACATTTAGTGCTATTTTATTTTTGCACTTTTTAATATCTATCCATTCATCCACTTTTTACTATATCTAATAATTAATTTTTTCCCATTTTGGAACTGAACACATCAGAGGTCACTCAACTAAATTAATGCAGAATTAAGATATAGAAGCAGATTTTACATTAAAATATACAGGGTTTTACATGTAAAACTTTAATCGTAAATATTTCTAAACCTTGTTCTACATGTTCGTTTCTCTCACTTGTAACTAGACACTATTTGACTTGATCTGTCATTAAATTCTAGCACAACACTTTGGTTGATTTGCAGAAATGCCAGGCGATGGCCCCTGATGATTGACCCGCAAGGCCAGGCCAACAAGTGGGTGAAAAACATGGAGAAAGCCAACAGCCTGCATATCATCAAACTGAGTGACTCAGACTTTGTGCGAAGTCTGGAAAACTGCATCCAATTTGGAACTCCAGGTAAAAGATGTTTCATCTGGGATCACTCTGCTTTATCAGTCTGATGTTTAGCCATGTTGTTGCAGTTCCAGTTAAAGCCTCATGGTGCCACTCTTTACCACAGAGATCAATCAGGGATCACTACTCTGTTTTGTTCTGTATTCTGCATGGGAGGACTAAAATAACCACTTTAGTGGGAGAGGCATTCGCATGAGCTTTGATGGAGGCCTCCTGCACCCAGACAATGTTAAAAACTGCAGAGAATCACATAAAAACTGCAGAGGAATCAGTTGGATTTGGTACGTTTGCATGTCCTGAACAGTAATGGAACCAAATTGAAATGTGTGGGCAGATTGTGTTGTTTTTTTTTTTTAAAGTTTACTTGCACTGAAGCGCTGAAGTAGAAAAGCTTTCAATTCACAGACCCCCTTAGTAGATGTGGCCTAATGACCCACCAGCTGGTTTCACAATAAATTTCAACAGTTTCAGCTCTGCAGCCCAGCAAAGCGAGCTACTAGGAGAGAAAAAAAAAATCCATCTGATTAGATTGGAGGGTGCATGAGAGGCAACATATTTAAAGTTAGAAACACAGAGAGTTATAGAACCATTAAAAAGACATCTAAATAATGACCTGACTCAGCCAGACACCAACTCTTTGCTCACCAGCAGACTGTGAGAGCATCTCACAGAGTTACTTGTCCTTGCAGAGTGTAAAATTGTCCCTGGAGGCTACAGTCTCTTCCCTGATGGCCTGTTTTCTTATTTCACACTTCTACCCTTTTTTTTGCTGTTTGTGTTGCAGTCTCTAACGATGCACTTTTGTCCTTTCTGTTAGCGCGACTGAACTGTAGTTTCTCTTATGCACTCATTAACTTTCTCATGCAGCACAAAGTGCAACTTATCACTGATTTGCGTTTGCTCTGATGGATTCAGAAAAGACTTAAAGCATCTCGTCGGGGAAAAGGTTATCAGCTCCTGTTGCCTCTGGGAGCAAAGTCGCCTCCCTACTGAACAACATCAATTATAGAAGGGCCACTGTTGTGAACATGAGAACAGCATTATCATACTTAATGTGAAATCACATTACCAGTGATAGTAGGGGAGTCAGCCATTTGTAACTTGTAATGTTTTATGTGTCAGTGATTCTCCTCTACATGCACAAGAGAGTTTCTGTTCAGGCGCCAGAAGGTTAGCGCTGGTTTCCGCAGTCTAAAGGAACAGAAAGGTTTTAATTCTTCCTGAAAGATAGAATAAGATACTTTTAGAGCTGTTTCAACCATTGAATCTATGGCTGCCTTAAAACTACCTGAAAATTCCCTTAGAAATATCACTACTTTTTTCAAAGTCCAGACTCAGTGAAATCTATCCAGAAATTGAAGACAAATGTGATAAGTGTCGGGATTCTCCGTGTCATCTTAGTCATATGTTTGTTTTTTTTTACCCTGTCCTGGCTGCTTTTTGGTCTGGTTACTTCACAGTTATGTCTGCTATTCTCAAAGTTAATCAGCAGCCTTGTCCACTGACTGCCATATTCAGAATTTCTGATTCCTCATTGGTATTAAATTCAGTGCAAAAAGATAAATATAGCCTTTACATCCTTAATTGCAAGACATTCATTATTATTACACTGGAAGTCTGCTAGATGTCCCTCCATCACCCAGTGGCTTAAGGACATGGTGTTTTTCCTCAAACTTGAGAAAATTAAATATACAATGAGAGGATGTACAGACAATTTTTTCCAAAGATGGCAGAGTTTTCTTCTTCTTTCTTCTGGGAAGATTTTGAAATGCCGTTTTCGCGTTTCCATCTTTAAGCTCTAACCGCATTTTTTTTTTTACACGCATGCGTCATAGCGTTGCCTCTAAACACGCATGCGCGACACAGTATCACAACAACAATGGCGCCGTACTGTGTTGAATGGCTGCTGCTAATGCTACTCACCCTGCTGTCGGGCTTACAACAGAATCTTCTTCTTCTGGAATATCTCCAGGAAGAACAGAGCAATATCAACCACATAGTTCAGCACCTGAATTTGACTGAACCACGAAAATGGACCCGCAGGGCAACCATGTATAAATATTAGTGCGCATGCCCAATATTTCGTCGCCTATTTTTGCTTTGGCACCACAGCGCCACTTACAGGCCTGGCATACATTTTGCAGCGTTTTCATGCATTCGTGTGGACGCTCACATTTATTTTACGTCTCCGTCTTTACGACAAACGTTCTGGAAAATATTAGCGTTTCGTGTTCGTTTTGACTCCGTGTGGACGGGGCCTTAGAAGTTATACCTGCATAAATATGTTTATCCAAAAAAAAAAAGTGAATTGTATTCCTTATTGTGATTGTCTTACCATTTGCTTCAATAAAAAAAAAAAAAAAAAAAAAAAAAAGAAATATCATTACTTCTTATGCAATAAATGTAACTTCTCTGCATTTTAAATTTGATTGGAATACCTTAGTAGCTGCTGAAATCAGCTTAATGTTATGGTTCATCTTAAAAATTGGAAATTTCTCCAATATGAGATCAATAAAGTTCAATTATTATTATTATTTTAAAGTCAGTCGCAAAATTGCACGTTAACGGTTCTGTTGTCATTGCGGCCATAAAGGAGGCATTGATTTAATAACAGATGATGAAAGGGAAGTCTGTGTCCATGTGAACATATCTGGAGATAACCCACAACCTGCCCACTGAGTTAGGGTTCCTAGTTTGGATTCTTTAAATTATGCCCTTTGTCTAATAAAACTATTTAATACATCAGTCTCACTGCCTGTAGTGATTGAAAAATATCAAACTTTTTCAAAATATTCTTGATTCGCTTTTTTAGATTGAACTGAATTTCAAAAGCTGTGGCAGCAACATAAATCCTGGACTCATACTGTTTAAAAATTATTTTGGTAACCAGTAAAATAATGAGATGATGGGAAAGCAGGCTGTTGTTACCTGCCGTCTGACTGCACAGGCTGGAACAATTTGAAATTGTGCAACGGCACCATTTTGGGGGTGGCAGCCCCTGACAACTGTGAACATAAAGGAATCTTTGTCTTTCAGTGCTGCTGGAGAACGTCGGTGAAGAACTGGACCCCATCCTGGAGCCTCTCCTGCTCAAAAAGACCTTCAAACAGGGCGGGACTCTGTGCATCCGACTGGGAGATAAAACTATAGAGTATGCAGCTGATTTCCGCTTCTATATCACCACAAAGTTACGCAACCCTCACTATTTACCTGAGATCTCAGTGAAGGTAGGACTCCTCAAATATTGACACACATAGGAAACATTTGTACAGCTGGTTTGATGTTGATGCGCTGCTGCAAAACGTCCCTCCACACTTCACCTCAAAATGCCCAACGATGTTTTCTAAAAGGAAAATGGAAAGATGTTTTTCTCCAAAAACATTTTTGAGAAGAACTTTGTTCTTTTTTAACAAATTTTAGCTTTCTTCAAAGTCTATTTCTTCATCCAGTTCACAGTTGTTCCAAACGAAGAAAATTAAAAACAATCCACTGGACTTTGTTTCCAAGTTTGAAGACGTTTCGCTTCCCATCCAGGAAGCTTTTTCAATTCAAAATGTCAGGAATAGCGTTGAGTTCAAGGTTTTTTTTTCCAGTAGCCCAACAAGGCCTTGTTTTTGTTTTGCAAACATTCAAATTCTATTTCTCCAAATTGTATTTTTTCAAAAACGTTTTCCTGATTTTATATAATCATTTTGTTTCTGCTTTTCAGGTTAAATTTTACGAATTGTATTCTTTTGAAATAGCATTTTACAGATCAAATCCCCTTCATTTCTGGGGGCTTGCTTTCCTCTGGAGGGAGGAACAAAGATGCATTTCAATTGGTCTGCATCGACATTAGCCAACAATCATTGGATAAGAGCAAGCATTTATATTGGGCATGAAGAGAAGAGCATCCATCCATCAATCCATTTTCCATCACACTTATCCCAAGCGGTCGCGAGGGGTGCTGGTGCCTATCTCCATGCAGGATACACCCTGGACAGGTGGCCAGTCCATCACAGGGCAACACAGAGACAAATAACCATTCACACTCACAGCTAAGGAGAATTTAGAGAATCTAATTAAGTTAACAGTCATGTTTTTGGACTTTGAGAGGAAGCTAGAGTACCCAGAGAGAACCCACACACACACACGGGGAGAACATGCAAACTGAAGGCAGAAAGACCCTGGGCCGGGAATCAAACACACAGCCTTCTTGCTGCAAGGCAGCAGTGCTACAGACTGCGCCACTGAGCAGAGCATGTGATGTGTAAAATGCAATTTGAAAATAATCTCACGTCTAAAAGCAGAAATGTAAAACAATTAAGATATATAACTTGTTAAATTATTTAAAAATAAAATTAAACAAATTAATTTTTAAAATATAAAATCTGTACTACAAAATTTTTGAAAATGTAATTATGAAAAAAATAAAAATAAAGTTTATCTCAAAACTTGTTCTTGGCTTTCAGCAACATGAGACAAATTTCCCTCCGCCTACACGCGCCATAAAAGAACACTGCGGCATTTCCTGATGCCAGCGGCACATGGGTGCTGTTAGCAGCATGTGTGAGCGCTGCAGTAATGAGCCCTTTGCAGCACTTCATGCTTTGCATTAGTCCTGCAGGAACTATGGATTGATGTTCCACCACAAAAACCTTTTATCTAACACAAAGTAAGGAGTGAAAAATAGACGCTGAGAGGTTCCATTGCAGACCACTGCATTCCATAATATGTTTCCTCCCGCTGTAAGGAAAACAATAATGCAGTCTGAAGCTCTGCTCAATGTTTTTTTATAAATCATAAGCCTCATGTTAGCAAGTGGTTTTGGTGAAAAATTCAGAATGTCTCTTTTCTCTTGACTTTGTCTATTATTTGATTCCACTGACTGAAAAGACAGCCCATTTTTAGCCAAGTCAAACAGTTAATCATCATCCCCCCTCCCCCCTGTAATCTACAAAATTATTCTAGGAAAAGAAGCATTAGGGAAATTACATTATAGAGACGAAAGAGGTTGAAAAGCATTACGGAAGATCACATATCAAGCATCTATTTGCAGGAGCTTGCCTCTTTATGGCCGGCTGTTAGATATTCAGCTCATTTTTCATAACTGTCTCAGTCCCTTTCTTTTCCATTTTTGTCTAAATCTTTTTTTGGCCCACAGTGCATTAGAGTTTCAGGGGTGCTATTACTCCCATTAAACCCTATTGGAAAGCAATAGCTGCAAACACATGAGGCCTGAGCCTCCGGAGAAGCTTCTATTAGGATCAGGGGTGCAGGAACGCAAGGGAAGGTGGTGCATGTGTTAAAAGGATGAACGGGAGATTTATAGAAGATCCTTGTTGTTACCACCAGCAGAGTGGGTCTCACTGCATCGATAGAAATGGAATTAAATCCCAAAGAAGCACACTTGTTATTTAGGTTAGAGAGGAGTTATAAGCTTTTAACCTCCAGGTAAGTGCTGAGAAACACTGCTTCAACTCGAGCTGCAACACATTTAAAGGCTTAAAAAAAAAAGTGCATCATGGGTCTTCTTTGTTAGAACTGCTTTGATCATCACAGCTGATTTAGTTTGAAGAAAAACAACAAAATTTGGTCATTAGGGAGGAAAAAAGGTCACATCATGGAAGGTTAAGTCCTTTACAAAAAGATGAAGAAATGTGGAACTTCCTTTTGTTGTGCATGTCTAGTTTATACCAAAGTATATTTTTCTAAATGGACCAGTAGTTTTAGAGAACCAGAGGTGGGTGGGATACTCACAAAATTTGCACTTCCTCATAAAGACGATATTTTTATTTTATGAACAACAAAGTATTTGAGGAAAGGCTTTTCAAATACTGAATAGCTCATTATAGCATCTGATTTACCATTTAAAATTATATAGTAAACCAGACCAACATGCTTAATGATCATTATGTGCAAATTCTGTTATTTAAACAATGTAATTGCTAGTAAAAATTCAGACAGCGGAATTTCTGTATCATTAATTCAATTTTTTACATGAAACTAACAATTAAAATACAAGCATTGATCGCTTTGTATCTAACTCTATTAAATAATATAGAAAAAAAGAGCAGTTTCTTTTTAAATTTAACATTTCCCTACAATATTTTAACATCGATTTGAGCTTGGAGGGAACAATAGTTTAGTAAACGTAAACAACTCAGGTTGACAAAAACTTAGTTTGACTCAGCAAAACTCAGCTTGGCTAGAGTACCTAAAACTGGCAAACACTCTGGCGTCGAGGTAGTGGCAGTCAGCAGCTTAAAGCTACAGTGTGTAATTTTTAGCGACATCTAACATCCAGACTGCAGACCGCAGCAACATGAACATCTCCCCCCCCACCGCTTCTCCCCCCCAACAGTACGGCGAGCGTTACGGGACAAAATGTCTTCCACGACGTCCGCATCACCTACCTTCTCAAGTGACGAGGTTTGTTTACATAGATAATTTTAATACTGCCATCCATTGTTCAGTACCGTCTCAGTTCATCTCTCTCAACTTGCCGTAGTTACTTTCGAGCGTTATGGGCGATCTCGCAATCGCTAGTTTGTTGGCTCTGCGCTGCCGTAGCGCAAAGATGTCTGCCTCCATGGCTGCAAGACCCGCTCCTATGTAATTATAAATAACGAATTCTAAGGCAACGCAAATATTAAGGTTAAGAGGCTGAGCTCGTAGATGATGATAAATAACATAGTTATGTATAATATATTACATTTCTGACTGTATATCCCTGTAATTATTACACACTGTAGCTTTAAGAGCACTCCGTTAACGAGGAAACCCCTTGCAGGTGTGTGAGGAGGCGAATCAGAACCAGACGCCGCATGGTGGAGGAAGGAAGACAAACACACAAAAACACAGACCACACAGACTGGAGTCCTAACACTAATAAAAAGATAGCCAAATAAATGTTATGTTATCACGTCAATTTTAAACATGAGAAATATGATGATTCATACTTTATGCAATATAAATACAAGTTGTATAAAAGTACTAATTGATTTGCCCGATGTGAGAACCATTTGTAAAACTAAATAGTACAAACTTGCTCCACAGGTTCAGAATGGTGCTGCGGCTGCCCTGCAAAAAAAATAAAATAAATGAAATAAAATTAGTTTGGATTTCTGAATCAGAAATCATAAGTCCTGTCTACACCAATCAGAGCAAACCTCTCTGATCATAGCAAAAACCCAACTTCACATGGAGTATCAAGCTGCATGGTGAACAGGTTAGTTTAGCTCTAATGATGACAGGATTGTCACAGAAGTTTCATCCTTCTACTATGGATTGAAATAATTTCCCCCATACATATTATTTCTTTTGTTAGGTTATTTCTTTTTAAACCTGTTTGTTTATAGAATAGTCTGCTTAGTGAGGTTTCATGATATTGCTCATAAGCAGACCTGCTAAAAGAGCCCAAAAGGGGAAAAATATGACATAAACGCTCTTCATATATATATATATATATATATATATATATATATATATATATATATATATATATATATATATATATATATATATATATATATATATATATATATATATATATATATATATATATATATATATATATATATATCATAAAACCTCACTAAGCAGACTTTATTCTATGAAAACACTTGTTTCTCACTTTTTGATTGTTTCAATATTTTATAAACAAATTATACAATGATTCAAAACAATCAATCTTCCTAATCCATTTTCTTTTGGGGTTTTTTTTACATAAAACTTATGAAAACATTTCTGACAGTAGATCATTTATACGTTTGACCATTTTATACATGACCTCAAAATCTTACGGTTTCTTATGCTGGTGAAGATTCTCAGAAATCCAGGTCATGTGATCATATGATCATTTGGTACAAAAGCTTACTTTATATCTGATGAAGCAACCAAAACTTCCAAAAAAGTTTAAAAAAAAAACAATCCACTGGACTTTGCTTCCAAGTTTGGAGACAGGGGAAAAGAAGAAGGGAAGCGAAACGTCTTCAGACTTGGAAACAAAGTGGATTATTTTTTAACTTTTTTGGGAGTTATGGTTGCTTCAACAGTACCAAAAAGGAGCACTAATTTTAATATAATACTTTTACTTTAGCTCTCATGTAAAAGTAAAACATATAGAGAAAAAAAAAATCTTTTTTTTACAGTACATTTTTGTCAAAAATGTACTCAAGTTACCTCAAGTTACCAAGTAACTAGTTAGTACCCATATTTGTACGGAGCAAACATAGACAGGAAACTATTCAAATCAACACTAAAACATGGGAGGAGGCACGTTCATCCCTTCAATCCCCACTTTAAATAATATACTTTCTATTATCTGATGGTTCCTCAACTTATCAATGTTGTTTTCTCATAATAAAGATGAGAGAGAGAAAATATGAGCAACTGTGTTGGATTTAACCTGCAGTCAGGTTAGAACCTGCTTATTATGGCTTCTTGGTAGTGTGTAAAACTCTCTGTCTTCTGAATGTGATGCAGGTGACACTGCTGAACTTCATGATTACCCCTGAGGGCATCCAGGACCAGCTGCTGGGAATCGTGGTGGCTCAGGAAAGGCCAGATCTGGAGGAGGAGAAACAAGCCCTCATCCTCCAGGGAGCAGAAAACAAAAGGTTCAGTTTCCCTCCATGTCCGACCGACTTCACATACCAACCACACAGTTCCCCTGAAAGCACCAAGCCAAATTAAATCCTGATTCTTTATTCAGACAGCTGAAGGAGATAGAGGATAAGATCCTGGAGGTGCTCTCCTCCTCAGAGGGCAACATTCTAGAGGACGAAAAAGCCATTAATGTCCTGTCCAGCTCCAAGCTTTTATCCAATGAAATCACAGAAAAACAGGCCGTGGCTGAGAAGACCGAGCTGAAGATTGATAAGACCCGCATGGACTACAAACCCATCGCCGTTCACTCTTCCATCCTGTTCTTCTCTATTGCTGACCTGGCTAACATCGAGCCCATGTACCAGTACTCCCTGACCTGGTTTATTAACCTCTTCATCAGCTCCATCGACGGCTCAGAGAAGACCCAAGACGTTGGACAGAGGTAAGCAGGTCGGACTGTGGTTTCCTGTTAAAAACGCTGCTTTGGTTTCAGCACATGAAGATGACCCGTAGGCTCTGCCTGGTTTGGTTCCTGAAGATGATTAAAACTGTTCCTTCCACAGACTGCAGATCCTCAGAGACCATTTTACCTACGCGCTGTACGTCAACGTGTGCCGCTCTCTGTTTGAGAAGGACAAGCTGCTTTTTTCCTTCTGCCTCAGTGTCAATCAGCTCATGCACAACAAGCTGGTGAGTGCATACTTCCATGTGCATACATGTGTGACACCAGCACATGTCTCAGATGTCATGTTTTTCGCTGTACGATTAGGTTACCTGATGAACAAGTTAAAGTAATTTTATGGACCATAATCTCATTTAAAGTAACAAGATCCCCAACATTTCCAACCTTTAAATCCCATAACCCTGGATTATTCCCTCTGTGTTAAAACCTCCTTTATATTGCTGTTTCAGGTGGAGGAGGTGGAGTGGCGCTTCCTTCTTACAGGCGGCGTAGGCCTGGACAACCCTCACACCAATCCCTGCAGCTGGCTTCCTCAAAAGTCTTGGGATGAAATCTGTCGTCTAGATGAGATTGAAAGCTTCAGAAACCTCCGTCAGGATTTTAATGAACACCTCAGTGATTGGAAAGAGGTTTATGAGAACCCGGTGAGTTCCAGCAAGCCATCACACTGGAAAAAATCTAAATCTAGATAAGTCATTTTTCCTTAAAATAAGTGCATTTTTTCTTGAATTGAGGGGGTAACTCAGACACTTTGCCAATGGAACAAGACACTTTACATTTAACATAAGAATTATTTCAAGTCTATGCTATCTAATTACCTTATTTTAAAAGTTGAAAATCCTCATTCCATTCCAATCATCTTATTTACCGAATCAAATTAAGGGTAAATACATAAATAGACATTTTGACTTATTTCTACGTTGTTTTTGCAGTATATTTGCTGTAAACATAGTCTGTATTGATTCAGGACATGGTGGAGATGACCTCAGACAGGGTGCATGCAGCAAATGTGTTGAAATCAACAATATGCAGAAGAAATGTTGAAAAAAAAAAAAATTCCCAGGTTTACACATGGATATATCCAATTACTACAAAATATACTCCCAAAAGAAAAGACTGACTTGTTAATTAGTAATAAATCTAATAACATGATTCTATGAAAAGGGACCATCTTTTAATGAGGTCCAATTCATTACAAATCAATTAAATTCAGTTTATTTCTATTGCGCCAATTTTAAACACAAGTCATCTCAAGGCACTTTACAGTTCATCAGATCATCCAATCAGATTGATTCAAAGTTTTCTATCTAAGGAAAACCAGTTCATTGCATCGACTCTTTATTGACTCGAAAGCAATCCCTCACATTAAGCATGCTTGGAGCGACAGTGGAGAGCAAAAACTCCCTTTTAACAGGAAGAAGCCTCCAGCAGAACCAGGCTCAGTGTGAGCGGCCATCTGCTGAGGCCGACTGGGGTTCAAGGAGACAGAAGCAGAGATACAAAAGGAAACTGTAAAAGGCGGCCCCGCCCAGGAAACACACAGCCAGGCAGACGAGCTCCGAGCCAGCTCCCATGTCAGAGGATGAAGAGAGCACATCCAGCCAGTCACAGTCAGAGAAACAGGGCTACACTGAAAAACAGGATGGTGTCACAGCCAAACAGGAACAGACCAGATGAAGCTACTATGAGAAGCAAAGAGAGCAGAGCGTTAGACATTGAACTAATAGATTCTGCAGAGTGGGAGAATAGAGATAGAATGAAGCAGAATGATGAAAAAATATAATATTCTAATTGTTGGAGTGTGGTGTTTATTGATCAATGTCTCACTATTGTTCAGACTGTAGTGCTCCTGTCTCTTGTGCTAAAGCTGCCTTTGCTTTCAGTTAGCCTGAGTTACAGATCTTGTTTTTTTTCCACCGGACCCCATCACAGTTGCTGTAACTTATCTTCATTTCCTAATTCTTTTAAAAAATCTCCCTCATTGTTTGGTCGTCTTTTTCTCTCCTCTTTGCTGTCCTCCACTGCTGTCTTTTCCCTGGTTCATCTTTCAGGTTTTCTTCCACCTGCCTGCAGTTTCCTCCCCCTACAAACCTTTCACAGTTTCAGACATATTTGTTTCTTACAGCGTTATTTACTAAATTTAATTGCGTATGCTGTGTTAAAATACAAATTATAAATTTCTGATTTCAATGAATAAAAGGAGACAGGGGTGTGAAATATGGAGGATAAAAAGTGCCAAAATTAAATAAATACAGCATTAAATAAATAATTAAATGTGTCAATAATTAATTAAATGTGGAATTAAATAAATAAATGTGTCAATAATTAATTAAAACCATGTCACTAATATAAAGTGCCACAATTAAATAAATAAATACAGCGATAAACAATTAATTAAATGTGTAATTCAATAAGGAATTAAATATATAAATGTGTCATTAACTTAATAAAATACGTCTTAATTTTATTTAAAAAATATATATAATTATTTCAGTGTGCATTTAATTATTTCATGGTCCTGTGTCGCAGTGCATCGAACCCATTAAAAGAATCTGTCAAACTCACCCATCAAAGTTAGGGGGCGGTTATCTAACACCTGATTGGTCACTCTGCACATTAAGGCGAAGCAAATCGATTACAGAGACTCGATTCGCGTTAACCCCACCCCCTAACTTTGATGGGTCAGTTTGACAGATTCTTTTAATGGTTTCGATGCACTGCGACACAGTACCATGAAATAATTATATATTTTTTTTAATAAAATGAAGACATATTTTATTAAATTAATGACACATTTATATATTTAATTTCTTATTTATTTAATGAATTACACATTTAATTAATTGTTTATCGCTGTATTTATTTATTTAATTGTGGCACATTATATTAGTGACGTGGTTTTAATTAATGAATGACACATTTGTTTATTTAATTCCACATTTAATTAATTATTGACTCATTTAATTATTTATTTAATGCTGTATTTATTTATTTAATTTTGGCACTTTTTATCCTCCATAGTGAGACAGTGGAATGGGAATGATCTACCGGTTTTATTCAGAGGACACAATGCTCGTAGACAAGCCTCTGAATGACAAAGCACCTAAAATTGACGGGTTTTTTTCATTAAATGCCCCCCCCCCCCTCGCATATGCCAGTCACATCTATGCTGTTTGGACAAAGGAACATCTGGTGAATCACTGTGTGGTGCTTACATTTCAGCTGCTGCACACACCCCTTTACACACACCCAGTCTGATCTACAGTATAATCAACACAACCATCCACAACACTTCTGTCTAATTAGGTCTACTTTGTTCCAGTTGTAAAATTCACATCAATTCAATCTGGAATATGAGAGCAGCTGTTCAACGTGCGCACACATTTACCACCACCCACCCACACACACACAGATGTTTTAACAGAAATTTTACAAGGTTGAATTAAAGGTAAACGTGTTAATGATCCTCCTGTGTCTAAGAAACGTCGGTGCATCTTCATGTGTGAAAAAGTGATATCCGTCTTACGTTCCGTTCTCCCCAGCCAGTCCATACGACATGAACGATATTTAGAGGCATAAAAACACCAAAGCTGAATGTTTTGTTTGGTGAATGTTTGCAGAACCCCCATCAGACTCCGTTCCCGGGTATGTGGCAGGAGAAGCTGAGCCGCTTTCAGAAGATGATGGTGATCCGTTGTCTCAGACCCGACAAGGTCGGTCACTCTTGTGAATAACACAATCAAATTCAGTTTGTTTATATGGCAACAAGTCGCAACAGATCTCATATCAAGACACTTTATAGAGATAGTTCAACCAGATCATTCAGGCAGATTGGTTCAATGTTTCTATCAGGGAGATGAGTTTAGGCCAAATGTTTGAGGTTCTGATGATCTTCCCCCAGATTGTCCCCATGGTGCAGGAGTTTGTATCAGACAATTTGGGCCAACCCTTCGTCGAACCTCCGCCCTTTAACCTGAGCACGGCCTTCACTGACAGCCAATGCTGCTCTCCCCTCATCTTCCTCCTATCTCCCGGCTCAGACCCAATGGCGGCTCTGCTTAAATTCGGAGATGAGAAGGTATGGACCAGTCTTAAGTCAGTTGTTTGTATGCAGGATGGAACCACATCTTCTGCAGCGGAGCTATAAAATGCATTACTGTTTGATCTCTCAGGGCTTCTCTGGTAACAAGCTGACGTCCCTGTCTCTGGGCCAAGGACAGGGGCCCATCGCCATGAAAATGATTCAGACAGGCATTAATGATGGCACCTGGGTGGTTCTGCAGAACTGCCACTTAGCTACTTCATGGATGTCAACACTAGAGAGCGTTTGTGAGGTAAAAAAACACATATCCCCTCATTCTATTAAACCTGCTCTTTGTGCATTCTTTGATTCATGTTGTGTGACTCTGCTCAGGGACTGGGACCAGACACCACCCACCCAGACTTCAGACTGTGGCTGACTAGCTACCCCTCCTCCACCTTTCCTGTGACCGTTCTCCAGAACGGAGTTAAGATGACCAACGAGGCTCCGAAGGGCCTCCGCTCCAACATCGCCCGCTCCTTTTTGATGGACCCTATCTCCGATCCAGAGTTCTTCAACAGCTCCAACAAGCCGGTCGGTTTGTGGGCACGGTTTCTTCCACCCTCAGCGTGGTGTTTCTCTTAGAAGAAGCCTCATGTTCGTGTTTGTCCCACGTTCAGGCTGTGTTCAAGAAACTGCTGTACGGCTTGTGTTTCTTCCACGCCCTGACCCAGGAAAGAAGGAAGTTTGGACCTTTAGGATGGAACATCCCTTATGAGTTCAATGAGACGGACCTGAGGATCTCTGTGCAGCAGCTGCACATGTTCCTGGAACAGTATCAGGTAGCTACAGTTATGCTACATTCAGACCGCACACAGCAGAGGCAGCAAAAATGCTTCATTTTTGATGGTTGCACAAGTTTAGTTGTGCCGCGCGGCTGAAGCATCTTTGCTGCTCCAGCTGCTCAGGCTAAAAGTGGGTCCGATGCGTGTTGGACGGAGCTACCCTATCCTCTCTTTGCCTATAACAATGGCAGCTAGTTTTAATATGTGTTTAAGTGAGATGGGTTGACCTGAATACTTCATCTGTTCCAGTCACTTCGCTAAGATTACCATCCTGCCTTCAAATGTTATTTCGCTGTCGGAGCCGCTCAGACCCCAGTGATCTGTCACTAGGAACTAGGGGTGTAAATCACATCCATCATTGCGATTCGATTCAGTATCGATTTCCTGACCCAACGATTCGATTATTATCGATACTAAAGAATACACTACGATACGATTCGATTAATCGGTTAATTTTTTATTTTTTTTAAGAAACAACAGCAAATAACAGAAGTAGAAAAGTTGCATCAAAAAATACTGCAGAAAATGAGGTCAATGAGTGCAATTCAATATCTCGGCTCCAGACGTCCCGCCCCCTCCACAGACGCTCCGCTGCTCCTCTCCCAGATTGTAGCTCACCGCAAACAGTGCCGCAGACAGGAGGCCGGCTTGTTTTGTTTTTATGACCGAAATTGCGGAAAACAACTCGTGAAGTTTGACCCGCTAGAAGAGCGAGGTGCGTGAGAACGCTGGGACCCTTTTTCCACCTGGATCTCCGCTCTTTTTGGCCCTCATGTCCCTCCGTCGTCGGACTAAACTCGCCCCCACTTCCTCTCCGCCTCGGCAGTATCTAGACCCACAGCGTGTAGCGCAGACCACGCTTCAATATTGAGCATAAATCAAAAATGTCTGCGTCAAGCTCACTGCAACACACTGCTGTAAGAGTATAACCAGGAAGCGAGGTAGGAGGGCAAAATATGTTTAGTGCCACCGCAGCACGGGAGGGAGATTTACGTCCAGGAGCAAATGGATAAAAATAGACCGGAGAAAAAAAAAAACATGAATCTATTCTCTTGCGGACGAGTCGATGCTTCCGATCGTCAGCTGTTGGATCGATGCATCGATACAAAACGATTATTATTTACACCCCATTCAACAGCAGCCTATGGCCTGGTTGCCTCTTCACGGTTTGCTGCTACTGTTCGCGGCGGCTGGAAGGCATAATCCAAGCTACAGGCACCATAATAATAAAATCGACCATATTTGCCGGCAGGTTTCGACATTTTAAGTTAATTTAGGCATTAATAAAATGTTTCAGAGGAGTGATCATAGCGCTCTGCATCAGCAGTGCTGTGTCTGTCTCCCTGCCAGCTCCCAGATCAGCTTCTCTGATTGGTTGATGTAGGATGTCAAGCAGCAAAAGTTCAATTTTTCCAACTCAAACAGCTGCTTTTGAAACGCATTGCGAGCCTCAGATGCTAGGAAGCCAGTGAGGCGCCGCTTCAGCTGCTCAGACGCGCTGCAGGACCTTTGCTGCGCCAAGATGCGCGTCAGCCATTGACTTTGCATGTAAACTAGCTGCTTCTGCTGCCTCTGCTGCATGCGGTGTGAAAGTATTAGAGATATAAGAGGGGTGTTAATATATAGAAGGTGCTGCTTGACTCAAGTATTCTCTTTCATTTGACATTTTTCAAGCCCCTCTTGACATTTTCCTACAAACACTCAAGCACTTGCACTTCTGCAGCTGTTTTAAAAAATGAAGTGTTAATGAGCTCTTTTTTGTTGCTGGTGACATTTCCATGCTGTAAGTGAAAGCTCCTCACTGACACCTCCCCTAGAAAATGCCACATTGGTTACTGCCTCGCCGTTCGCTGGGATGTCACGGCTCTCTGAACCAGACATTCTGTCCTTTGGATCTGCTTCTGAACAGAGTATTTGCAAAATGAGATTTGAAGTGATGGAGTGATGTTTGCATGCGTTGAAGTCAGCCATGCTGCTTGTTTTCCTGCTGTGGTTAGTGAGTAAATGATGTCCTGTCATCTTCAGGAAGTCCCGTTTGATGCCCTGCGCTACATGACTGGAGAGTGTAACTACGGAGGACGGGTGACTGATGACTGGGACAGACGAACTCTGCGCACTATCCTCTCCATCTTCTACAATTCGCACATAATAGAGGACCCTGACTATAAGTTTGATGCCAGCGGGCTTTACGGAGCACCACCAGAGGGCGATGTAAGTCAGAACAATCAGCTGATATCAGAATAAGTCCCTGAACAACTCACTCCAATCTCCCAAGGGTCACTGCTCATCGTTTAAGGAGGTAGCGGGTGTCAATGCCATGCAGTACCTCCCTGTTGTCAAAGGAGGGGGCCACTGAGTTCTAACTTACTTTTTTGGAATGATTATTGAAATAATCGTCAACTAATTTAATGAACGATGAATCGTTAACTGGAGTATAGAGACTCTAAAACATGCCTTTACCTGACAGAGCAACTCACCTAGAGCAGTAATTATACCAAGATTGTAAAAAAAAAAAATTTAAACATTTTGCATTTAAGATAAAAAACATTTTTGTATGTGTAACGCTTGTTAAAGGCTAATGATAAGGAACTGACTATATAGATGTAGAAAGGTGTTACCAGAAGAGGGTTCGTTGAGGAGCCCGAGGTGTGAATAATCACAGAGACAAAAATAAGGTTTAACTAGTTTTGTATTAAAGTGGCCAAAGACAAAAAACAAAAAAGCAAACACACAAACATTAATAACAAAACAGTATTTGATTAATTGTCCCCAAGGTTCAGTTAGGTTAGATTGTTTAGTGTTCATAAGCGCAAAGTCCATACGCTATGGTAATCCAGGGTTGAATATAGAATAGTTTTTATCCTTATAGGAAAGAGAGTCTGTATCCTACTGCACGGGTAGAGGTCTTAGCTCGCCATCTTCAGTTGAATTAGAAAAAAAGAAAAAGTTGTTGTGAACCAGGTTGTAGTGAGGGTGATGTCCTTTTTCTGGCATAAAAAAAACCTGACCTAGAATGGTCAAAAAAACAACAAATGAGCAGTTGTTCTTAACCAATGAGATCTGCATGTATAAAATATGTGTGCATTAAATTTTGGAACACATTTACACATGCAGATAGTTTTCCATATTTACACATTTTACCAATATATATACAAACATATATATATATATATATATATATATATATATATATATATATATATATATATATATATATATATATATATATATAGCTATAACAAATAACTATATAAATAAATAAATAAATCGTTTAACAGATTATCACAAAAGTTTTAGATACTCAAAAACACATTGTAATCAAGTGCACTTTTTCCCATAAATCATGAATATTCAATGTATCAAAAAAAAAAACTTTTCCAATTAAATTACTTGAGCAGAGAAAAATACTCAAGCAGATCTTAAGTTCTTAAGTTGCGCAACAAATTCCACAAGTACGTAGCTACATTCAATTATTTACTTAATTTTCAATGAGGTAAGAGGAAGGAAAAAAAAAACTAAACCTCATTGCTTTTCTAATGATCCAGTCAAAAGCTGGGAAAAAAAAGTGCAAAATGAAGCAAAAGTGCAAACAAAAGGGGCGCTTCTGCTAAACTAAAATGTAAAGCACAATTCGGCTTGAATGTAAATTAAAAATAATTTATATTAAACAAGTAGAAGCGATATTTTACACACTACAAACGTAGTTCAAAATTCATAATAACGCTGGGACTCAGCGCGGCAAGGAATTAAGTGGAGGCAGCGGTACAAACAAAAGACGCAAATCGCGGAATATAAACTTAAATCTAGCCGCTGCAAACAAAATAAATGACCCGAATCGGAGTTAACAACTCACCGTTGAAGGGATGACAAGTTGATCTCCGTCTGTGTAGTGGTATTATTGCAAGACAACATGAGCGGTTTGGCCCAAGTTGTGAGAGAGAAGCGAGTCTGTAAAAAGTTACGCTTGGTGAGTAATTACACGATGTTAGTAAACATTAGGAGATTGGTTTTGTAGCGTTAAAACACTCACCCGAAAGACAGGTTATAATATTAGATCTTTAGGAAGATCCAGTAACTTTTTTTGAGACGAGACGCCAACAGAGCATGCAACAGCCACAGGTGGGGAATGGAGGAGGGAGTGGCACTCTGACTCCGCAGGTAAATAGAGTTGGGGTGATGTCGCACAGGGCGTGGCCCGTCAAATTAAAAGGACTTAGGAGCTGAGGGCTACATATGTCAAAATTTTCAGAATCCAGAACTCCTCAAGTGGAAGAATTTTAGTTTCGCCTGGTTTAATGGTTGCAAAAAGTCTTCTTTAAGGACCCTTTATCTAACCAGTTATTTATCAAGTAATCAAAAAATATTTGATAGATCAATCGATATGCAGAATAACCGTTAGTTGCAGCCCTACTATTAACTTCACCTTCACATCATATGTTACTTTGACTCTGACCAGAAGCAGATTTAGGAAATCTAGGGCCCTAAGCAAAGACAGGCATTGGGCCCTCTGAATTGAGAACACAACACATAAAACAAACCCCTTATACAGATAGAGAAATGTTAATAGAAAAGACATTCTACGTTTTGTCCCTCTCTTCTTGTCCCTTTTCTTCTTGTTTTCCTCTCTATGTTTTGTACTCAGATGACTTTTCATGCTGTCTCTAAAGGAATGAAAGATTTTTTTCCAAGCACTAAGCTCACTTAGCTGATTGCTCCTTCCTGTGTTTCCAAAAAGGCGAAGGCAAAAGTAAATAACCCAGTCCTTCTTTTCACTGTAGACAAGCCATGATCAGCTTCTCTGTTCTCCATTTTTCATTTGGATGAAATAATAGCTGCATGAATCATGACAGCAGACAAGATAGAGGAGAGCAGGAGGCGGGGTTACCAATCTACTTGCTCTGGAGAGCAGAGTTCGCTGCTTTTATATGTTGTTTCCAAAGTCTCCACTAGCAGGAAAAATTCGCTGGATTTGGCACTAGGTGCTTTTCTGTAATCAAAGCACTAGAGGGGTCTGAAAAGTCGCTAAATATAGCAACAAAAGCACTAAGTTGGCAACACTGCTCTTCACATCATTTGTTTTCAAATGGTTTGCTGCTGTCTGTTTGGACCTTTCTGAACATAATGGACTGATCCAATATGGTGGACACTGAAGGGGTTTGATCACCACATTGATCACATGTGGTGATCAAAAGCAACCAGAGAGCCTCAGTATCCGATAGTGTTGACAACACTGGGAGTGTGTTTCATCCTTTATACGGGAACCGGCCTCCAAAAGTCTTCAAAGTTCTGGTAAAACACCAGCTTTTTTTTGTGTGTTGAGGCAATAGTGCATTCTTTTATAAAATGTGCCGATCTCCAGTGCATTCAACTGAAAAACAACTACATCTGAATGAGTGAATATAAAGATGAGCAAACAGCCCCGCTGCATAAATGTGAACACCATTAACTGATACTAGTTTAAGGTGACGTTCACACAGCAAACAATTTGACATAAATCTCAGTTTTACCCATATCTGGCTTTTATCTGCCTTTTTTTTACAGCAGTCTGAAAGGAACTATTTCAATCTTTCCTTCCTGTTAAAATCAAATCACTATGAAGACCCCTAGGGGACATGAGGAATTTTTTTTTTCTTTTGTGTTCCCTCGCAAAATTTTGCGTTACCTCACAAAACCTTTTGTGTGAGAACGCAAAACCTTACTTCGGTTTTCACAGATTCACAGATTCGGACTTCCGAGATCAATAATAGGGATGTAACGATATTGACATTATCACGCTATCGCGTTGGTAAACGTGTCTCGATATCGTCGTGGTTGGGTTACAATAATAAAAGGACAGGTGTCCGTTAAAAAGCAAGAGGATTAAACACAGTCCCGCAGAACAAATCATTGTTAACTACATAGACCATGATCCTTTGCGCTGCGTCGTCATACCAACCGTTCCTAAGCCAATAGGATTGCACGCGGATTGCACGCTGTCCTCACAAGCTCAAAGCGAGCTAGCATGGCCGACCGCGATAGTTTTAAGAATGAAAACAACAACCCCAAAGTTGAGATTGTGCCAGCCCCTGCAGCTTTTAGGTCAGATGTCTGGAAACATTTTGGTTTTGCTGTGTCAAAAAACGCAAAAGGAGAGAAGGTGGTGGACAGACAATGGACTATATGCAAGCACTGCCACAGTAAACTGCGATACAACACGGGAAACAAAAGCAATATGCAAAGTCATCTGACGACTCATAATCCAGAAAAGTTTGCAGATTCTCTCACAAAGAATGTCCTGTCCGGTCAAAAAACTCTGAAGGAGGCTTTTTTTTTCTTGAAATGTAGCTCTTTTGATCTTTCTGATGAAAAATGTGAACATAAGCTAAATGATAGGTCAGTGTTTTAAAAAAAAGGCTTTTTGACTATTTTATTTAAGTTATGTTCCTAAATACCAGTTTAAAAAGGCTGCTTTTACTTGCCTTGCACATTTAAACCTGACTTAACTTGATATTTGTTTGCACTTAAAGGGATTTCCCTATTGTTTACAATTGTTCTGGTTGCTTCTTAACTTGAACATTATTCACAGAATCAACAGAATATTGATGTTCCTGACTACAACTTGCACTTTAAAAGCACTATGTGATCAGCGTTTTATGTTGTAATGATCCATAAACACAACAATAAATTACCTGTTGACTGAAAAGCAGAAAAAATGTCTTTTTCTTTGCTACTATGATCACAAACACTATCGTGAGCTATTTAACAGTACCGTGAGCTTTTCCACAATATCGAAATTGTATCGTACCGTGAGATTTTGATATCGTTACATCCCTAATCAATAACTCTCGTTGTTGAAACACAAATGGCGCCTCTTTCATGTCCTGATAGCACAGACTACGTATTACAAGAATCAAAAAGCGTCATTTTCGAGAAAAACGAGCCGTTCTCCGAGCTGGATGTATTACATTGATCTCTATGCACAGGCAGCGGCCAGGCGAGTGGTTAGGGACCGTCTGCAAATGGTAAAACAACAGAAAAACGTTGCAAATAAAAATCGATAACTCCACTGCCATAAAGTGCAGAGACTCCAAAATCACCACACACACCAAGGGGCTCCTGGTGATCGCATTACAACAGCTGGTTCGGAAAAATACACCTTTTTTTTAGTATTTTTTTTGTTATTATTAAGCATTAATATCATCCTATTTTAATCAATAGCTCTGTGATTATACAGTGCAGACACTCAAAAATCATCAGACCGAGAGACTCCTGATGATCATACTACAACCGCTGTTTTTGAAAAAGACACCTTTACTTATTTTTTTTAGAATTCTTTTGTTATTATTAAGCATTAATATCATCCTATTTTGATCTATAACTCTAAGACTACAGTGCAGATACTCCAAAATCGCCACAAAAACCAAAGGACTTCTGGTGATCATACTACAACAGCTGTTTATGAAAAAGAGAACTTTGCTTATTTTTTAGATTTTTTTATTGTTATTAAGCATTAATATCATCCTATTTCAATCAATAGCAGACACTCAAAAATCGCCACACACACCAAGGGGCTCTTGGTGATCGCACTACAACAGCTGGTTTGGAAAAATACACCTTTACTTATGCTTAAACAGAGGAGTGTAGAGCCACAGTAGACATGTTAGATAATCAGCTAATGACCATCAGGTAAACTAAGCTCTGCCTGAGCTTTAAAAAACTCAATAAAAGTCTGGAGTTTTTCAAACAGCCGTAGTCCCTGACCCAGAGTTCGCCCAAACTGTTGATGAGCCACCTTTAAAAAGTCATCAGCAGATAAAATGTGTGTAATAAGGCACAGCAGGCAGCCTCTGTCACTGAGGGCTGATGGATCTGTTAACACAGCGCAGTCTACGGCGAGCACCATTTTATTTGGCATTTTGTTCTGCGGCGCTTCACCCCCCTCCAATCCCATCTTTTATTCATGAAGTCACATTTACATATTCATTAAAACAAATGTCAGCAATCTTAGGAGCGCAGTTGTTTTTCAGAGAGGGTTATTACTGCAGATGTTTTCTGATGTTGCATTAAAATGTCTCCTCTTAGTTAACCCCCTGCCCCGCCTCCCGTCTCTGTTGCAGTACAACAGCTACTTAGAGTTTACAAAGTCACTTCCTCTCAACCCGTCACCGGAGATCTTTGGCATGAACGCCAACGTAGACATCGCCAAGGACCAGGCCGAGACGCAGCATCTGTTTGACAGCATCCTGCTCACACAGGTAACGACACACCCAAAGCTGAACCATCAGGGCTTGATGAACGTTTCATCACCCACCAAGTATGCAAAGCAGCATTATTAAATCTAAGGTTTGTGAGTTCAACACCTGAGCATGAGCTGGAAATCTAATGCAGTTTATATAAAATGTATCATCACATCCTTTTGATAGATGGAAAAAAGCATCTGGCAGTGGAGTTTTGTACAGGACATGGCCAGTTTAGCTTTTAGTCTTAGTTTATGAGTTTTTTTACTTCTTGAACATGTTTTTAACATGTTTGAAATTAAAGCTTTAGTATTCCAGAGGCAGACTTTACCAATTTCAAACAAGAAGTATGAATGTTTACATTTGATCACTGCTGCACTTTAAGAAAATGGAAATGTCATGAGAGCTGTACGTTTTGTATAAACTCTGTGGGTACAAAATGACAATAAATGTTGTCTAACTCTGAGTCACTACTATGGTGGAAACTTGAATTCAGTTTTTAGTTTGTTGCAGTTTCCATTGGTATGAAAGCCTTAAAGGAATAGTGCACCCAAAACATGATTAGCCTTCATTTTCTACTCACCCCCATGCTGAACAACACTCTGGAGTACTTTTTTGATATCTCAAATGCATCTGGAGATCTGGGAGGCTTCTTGCTGTGTGCTGACATTCAAATAATGGAGGTCTATGGCGCCCGAGGCAGAAAGGTCCACAAAAGTCCACAAAAAACGTGTCAATATTCCTCCATACTGCTCGTCCAATGTATTCCAAGTGTCCTGAGTGGGTAGCGTCCAGAATTTACTCGAAACGAAGTCATTTAGAATGTTTTTAGAGCATAAACAGTAGTGTATAGGATTTCCTGAAAGCACGTTCACGACGCTACGGAAACCGCGGCAGACCAAACCAGATGAAAGTGCGCATTCAGCGTCTGCTCTGCCGATAATGCAAGCGTAGAAGAAGAAATGTGCTGTTTACCTGTTCAAAGAAAGAAACAACGAAAGAAAAATGTCTGAGGACTTCAGTGTTGAGGAAGAGCATGAGTTCTTTGCCGAGCTGAATGCGCACTTTCATCTGGTTTGGTCTGCCGCGGTTTCCGTAGACTCGTGAACGCGCTTTTAGGAAATCCTATACACTACTGTTTATGCTCTAAGAACATTCTAAATGACTTCGTTTCGAGTAAATTATGGACGCTACCCACTCAGGACACTTGGAATACATTGGACGAGCAGTATGGAGGAATATTGACACGTTTTTTGTGGACTTTTATGGACCTTTCTGCCTCGGGCACCATAGACCTCCATTATTTGAATGTCAGCAGACAGCAAGAAGCCTCCCAGATCTCCAGATGCATTTGAGATATCAAAAAAGTACTCCAGAGTGTTGTTCAGCATGGGGGTGAGTAGAAAATGAAGGCTAATCATGTTTTGGGTGTACTATTCCTTTAACTTGAGTCGAAACATTCTTCCATTCATTTTTTCCACCATTTTTTGTTGTTTATATTAGGGGTGTGGGAAATAATCGTTTTGGTGCCCATTATAATATCGATCTTTCACTTCTTAGTATCGATTTAAAAAAGAAAAAAAATGGTTACATGAAACATTGATGGGAAAATGGGCTACCTCTGCACCCCCACTCTGGCAGAAAGCGCTGTGGAGCCCTTTAACTGTGCGTGCAGCACCAAATCTGTATTTGAGGCAGTCACAGTGGAAGAAAACCCCAAACAACATGGATAATAATACCTAATCAATATTTTCTGATGAAAATACACAGCACTTGCTGTTTTATCTCATCATTTGATTTTGACAGCTGGGGAAAATATGACAATATATAGTGATACTGCAATATCGTGATAATATCGTATCGTGACCCAAGTATCGCGACATGTATCGAATCGCAACACTCATGCCAATACTCACCTCTAGTTTATATAGGAGCTGGCACTCCTTTATTGATCTCTATCCTAATGTATCTTAATGGTGATGCTAGGCTGGTTTCACAATGATGCTGATGTTCCAGCAGTTTCTAATTCATCAGAGTCTCCATCTAAACTATAGCCTGGAACAGCAGACTGAAATACATGGAACATAAATCCGTCTGGTAAACAGAGGTTGACACCGGCCAATAACAGCGAGAGTGGCAGGTTTGACGCGTCCCTCTCAGCGCCTTTCTGCTTCCCTGCTTGCATAAACCAGATCATCAGCACTCCTTTTCCCTCCAAAAAAGACATTTCAATCCAGCGCTGCGTGGTCCGAGCCCGTGACATCATCAATGACCCCTCACACCCCCACCATGGACTGTTCTCCCTGCTTCCCTCTGGGAAGAGGCTTCGTAGCATCTGAAGCAGGGCCAGCAGTTTCTGCAACAGCTTCTTCCCCATTGCCATTAGACTGCTGAATGTTGAATAAAATGAAGGTAAAAAAATAATAAGAAGAAAAAGCGCTAAATGTTGGGAAACTGTAAATCATATCTCAGTCTTATGTTTACATTTGATCATCATGTTTACTTTTTATCCCTTTAAGAAATGGAAATGATAGCCGTACTGAACGAAATTTCGTTTTGTATACACCCTGTGTGTACAAAAATAACAATTAAGTCTAAGTCTAAACACCAAGATGGCAACTGCAATCCTTTTCTGATGTCCTAAGTGAGATTCATCTAGTGTTAAATCATTTCTGTGTTATTTCTTTTAAAAAGGACGTAGTTTTATTTTTTAATTATTATTTTTTTATTATTATTATTATTATTATTATTATTATTTTTCTTTTATAAAATAAAAAAAATAAATAAAGAAAAAGAAAGTAGTTGCTATTTACGGCTTGACAAAATGTAAAAAAACAGAGCATGTCACATTGAGTTTTTGCATCACATCTGTAGTTATCTGATTGGTTCTAACCTGATCAGGCCGACCTTTTAGTCCCGCCTTTGAAATCGAGCTCTAACAGTTCTTTACCAGACAGAAATGGCATATACACTCACCGGCCACTTTATTAGGTACACCTGTCCAACTGCTCGTTAACACTTAATTTCTAAGCAGCCAATCACATGGCGGCAACTCAGTGCATTTAGGCATGTAGACATGGTCAAGACAATCTCCTGCAGTTCAAAGCGAGCATCAGTATGGGGAAGAAAGGTGATTTGAGAGACTTTGAACGTGGCATGATTGTTGGTGCCAGAAGGGCTGGTCTGAGTATTTCAGAAACTGCTGATCAACTGGGATTTTCACGCACAACCATCTCTAGGGTTTACAGAGAATGGTCCGAAAAAGAAAAAAACATCCAGTGAGCGGCAGTTCTGTGGGCGGAAATGCCTTGTTGATGCCAGAGGTCAGAGGAGAATGGCCAGACTGGTTCGAGCTGATAGAAGGGCAACAGTGACTCAAATAACCACCCGTTACAACCAAGGTGGGCAGAAGAGCATCTCTGAACGCACAGTACGTCGAACTTTGAGGCAGATGGGCTACAGCAGCAGAAGACCACACCGGGTGCCACTCCTTTCAGCTAAGAACAGGAAACTGAGGCTACAATTTGCACAAGCTCATCGAAATTGGACGATAGAAGATTGGAAAAACGTTGCCCGGTCTGATGAGTCTCGATTTCTGCTGCGACATTTGGATGGTAGGGTCAGAATTTGGCGTCTACAACATGAAAGCATGGATCCATCCTGCCTTGTATCAACGGTTCAGGCTGGTGGTGGTGGTGTCATGGTGTGGGGAATATTTTCTTGGCACTCTTTGGGCCCCTTGGTACCAATTGAGCATCGTTACAACGCCACAGCCTACCTGAGTATTGTTGCTGACCATGTCCATCCCTTTATGACCACAATGTACCCAACTTCTGATGGCTACTTTCAGCAGGATAATGCGCCATGTCATAAAGCTGGAATCATCTCAGACTGGTTTCTTGAACATGACAATGAGTTCACTGTACTGAAATGGCCTCCACAGTCACCAGATCTCAATCCAATAGAGCATCTTTGGGATGTGGTGGAACGGGAGATTCGCATCATGGATGTGCAGCCGACAAATCTGCGGCAACTGTGTGATGCCATCATGTCAATATGGACCAAACTCCCTGAGGAATGCTTCCAGCACCTTGTTGAATCTATGCCACCAAGAATTGAGGCAGTTCTGAAGGCAAAAGGGGGTCCAACCCGTTACTAGCATGGGGTACCTAATAAAGTGGCCAGTGAGTGTATACATCATATCAGTCTGGCTGGCCATGCTATCTAAACTGTGCAAAGTTCAGCTACTCGTTCCTCACCTTCGATGGAATCAACAGTAAGAATCGTTCTGTTGAAAGAAAAGGAACTCCAGAGTGCTGTGCTGAATCAGGGCAGATCAACGCTTATTGTCCTCAGGAGACAGAAAAGCAGATGTATACCTTATAAAGGTGAATAGATTTGCATGTGTCACTCGATAACCCAAGAAATAATGATGTAGGATCGGAATTTTCAGTTTTACCTTCTTATATTCTTTCTCTGTGAAATAAAGGAGAGGAGACTGTTTTTACATGTTATGATGACTTTTCTGCAACGCCAACAGTAAAACAACCGTAAAGCTCCGCCATTGCTCCTTTTTATTCTCATATTTTTTCCAAAAGCAACAGAACTTCCTGCCGACCCTACGGAAGCCTAAACAGTTGGCAAAGTGTGTCTAAATCAAATCTGACTCATATCCAACAAATGAAAACAGAAATATGTTCTAAACTCAGAAAATCTAATTTCACATATATTTTCTATAAATGAGGCTTAGAAACGTGTTTTTGTTAAGCTCTGTGAGGCTGGCTATACCTAAACAGCCTGTAAGGCAAAGGATGGAGGGAGGCTGGAAGGCCTCTAAGCTCCAGATAGGAATGTCAGGATGTCCCTTTGCTAAATTAATAATCAATAGACGCATCCTGCTTCCTTTTCCTACCTCCTTCCTCACTGCCAACACTACTCGGACAGCGCTTATCATGGTGACCACTGACGCACCTCTGCTTTAGCTTAAGAGACCTTATTGATTTGCCCTATTCAGATGGACTCAGACAGACCCAGAGTCCTTCTGGGAAGGCCATCCAAACCTCTGATGTCAAACTAAATTTAAATTTATGGACTTTGACTAAAGCTGCTCACTTTATCAAATTACAGTCCTCATCACATCATAAATGTGTGCAACATTTTGAAGGACAGAAAATTTAGTAGGGACATGCTTGCCAATTCTCAACATCAGTAATAAATTGTGCTTATTAGACGGATTAACATAACATTCAATGCCAGCTCTTGCTCTATAATTTTATTGGCGGGGATTCTAGAGCCATTGAATGTTGGACACATTGTGATAGAGCGGGAAGAAATGAGTCCACAGCAGATTAATCATCATCCTTATCACGTTATTCAACGCTATTATCTTACATACGTGTTTTACTTAAATAACGGAGCCCTAAATATGAAGTTAGAACGATTCCAGAGGCTTAAATTATAAGCAAAAAATATAAATTTGACTAAAGTGCTATAAAATTAGAAAAGTTTCACCATATTATGTAATAATATAATACATTCTGACTTCAAAATGTAATAAAACATGACTACAACCTTTCTTTTAATGATTACCTTAAAATGTATTATAATCCAAGTTGCATCATATGATAACATTTTTTTACATTTTGCACTGTTATTAAAAAAATGTGTCAGTCCTCTTTCAAAAAAAAAAAAAAAAACATTCAAACACAGAGGAGAATTTAGAAAACAAATTAACCTAACGGTCATGTTTCTGGACTGTGGGAGGAAGCAGGAGTACCCGGAGAGAACCCACACATGCTCAGGGAGAACATGCAAACTCCATGCAGAAAGACCCAAAGCCGAAACCTTCTTGCTGCAAGGCAGCAGTGCTACCCACTGCCACTGAGCAGCCAGTTTTTGAGCTAATCCCAATTAATATATATATATATTATAAATATGGTGTTTTGGATTCTAAACATTCAAACTGTTGTAATTTTGTTAAACTGCTATGCTTTGGTAATTTAGTTTCTCATTTAGTTTAATTTCCTAAGTAAGAACATCAGTGAACAGTTTTTTTCAATGCATGGAGCAGTAGAAACAACTGATTTCCACTTTATTTTAATCAACTGGGCACAAACTGTTTTTGGCCTAATCCAGCAATCAGTGCTGGGAGAGACTTTGTGATGTTAGCAGAGCTTTACATTTTTTTGTTCTCAGGGCAGCATTAAAACTTGGCTCTATGATGTGCATTAACTCGCAAAAACTTTCCCATCTACCATTTCTATTACCAGCATGTCTTTATTTACCAAGCTCTAATTTGTTTGCTTAATGTCCTCTTCTTTCCTATCAACACATGCTTGCTTTCTAAGCACAGCAAGGAAGTGGATGCTGCTCCGTCATGCAGCGCAGCTAAATAAACGCTATTTAGGTGATAACACAAGGAGTTAATCCACTGTTAATATTCATGAGATAACAGTAAGGTCATTCTACATTATTGTTACAATTAATCAGTGTAAACCTTTTTTTTTTTTTTTTTTACAGTGTCCTGTCTGGCAATGTGGCAATAAGAATAATTGTCTTGATGCCAAAAAGAGCCCAACAGATTTTACTTTCACAAGTGGAGCAATATGGCAATTGCCATATTGCTCCACTTGTTTCATGCATATAAATTGCTTTATTATAATTAAGCAGGGAGTTTTACAGTTTATACGGACACTGCAATGTAAATAGAGCAGAAAAACAGAAGAAGAAAAGGAAAAAAGAAAAAAAAGAGAAAAGATAAAAGAAAGAAGAGAAAGGAGACAATGACAAAACATTTTCAGTCTGCTTCATCACCTGTAACGAGATGAAAAAAGAACAGCACAACCGAAAGACATGGTACGAGACATACAATAAAGCAACACCTTGAAACTATCGCTAAAGTAATATTATTAAGTCTGACATGTACTCTGTGTTACCTGAAGATATGAATGTGGGGTTTCTGTATGGAAGTGAATCTTTTTTTCTACTTTTATTTTCAGTATACAGTCACAAGTGCAGAGCAACAAAACAAACTCTGCATTAAACCCATCCCCTTGGGGAGCAGTGGGCTTTTCATCACTTGCATACCCTTTATAGATCAAAGTATTTCACTGAGTGCCCTATAAATGGTTAAGGGTCTTGCTCAGGGACCCAAAGTGGCAGTCTGTGGGTCTTTAACTCACAACCCCTGAGACCCAAGCTCAATGCTCTAACCACTAGGCCATCAATCCCCGAAACTTAAAGTTTCTGCTACAATTTATGTCCAGTGAGACTGTTTAAGAAGGAGCAGCACCCTCCAGTGGACGATGGCAGCATTGCAACACTAACCCAAAGTTATTAATTAATTAGAGGGAAAAACTATCTTTTAATAAAATGATGAATGATAAAGATTCATCCTAACAATCCATAAATTTCACATTAATATTTCAGCTTTAAATAAAGAGTTTTGTTCTAGAACTAAAATATTTTCCTCCCCCAGGATGTAGCCTTCCCCTGAGATCTCGTTGGACCTGTGTGATCCCACATCATGATACCACAGCTCTGAACAGTAACTCTGGCTTGGCTTGTCCTACATCTTACCTTTCATTGCTGCTGCAAATCACATTTAAAGGATTTCACATTAACACCTGCTTGAAGATGAAAGAGGCGCTGCTGCTCCTCCTGCACAGTTCTATCCCATTTATTTCTACATTCACATATTTCCAGTCCAAAGCTGCTAGTGTTTGTTTCTCAGCTCTGCACATACTGTCAACAGTTTATTTCCAAAGCTACAGACATTTGGTGCAACAGATAAATAGACAATTATCTCCGCACGCTTGGTGACTTCTACATTTAAAGTTAAATTTAGAGCTCCACAGACTCTGGGATTTATCCCTGTTAATTCCATTCAACAAGATTAATATCGACGTCAGTCATGTGTGGACTTCATTAGCATCTAATACGCTCTCATCAGTCTCAATGATCGATAAACAGGGACACACTTAAACTGGAATGAGACAGCTATTTATCATTCTCCTACTGTAACCTGGCACCATTAGCCAATGATTATCCATTACCGCTGGCTGAACATGGTGTAGGTGAATGGTGCAAGTCAGAGTGAGAGGAAAGCGGAAGAATCAGAGATAGGAGTGAATAATTATCAGCATGAATGAGCCTCAGAATCGTTGATGAGAGTGTGTCAAATTGGCGTGTGGGAAGAAATTGGACGAAAAATGTTGTGAAGCTCTTCAGCTTCTGGTGTATGATTAGATTCTAACATTTTATTCCTGCCGGAGCTGCAGCTCCAGCTGCAAATAAAGAAAAATAAAGTTAGAATTACTGTCACCCTGTTCCTTTTTAGCTAAGTTTAAATCACTCATCAACACGATGAAAGAACTTTGACCTTTTTTAACATCAGATACTCTGAAAAGGAATTCACGATTTGACACGGGAGAGGCATCAAATGATGGTTTTCTCCAAAAAGCCACGAGCTGTCACTTTAATGAGAAGCCACCATCTTCTGATAAGGCGCTCTGTGTCTCTGATCAGTCCCGCTCTGCAGGCAGAGACGCCAAATCCTCCGACGACATGGTGTTTGAAGTGGCGGCCGATATCCTGAGCAAGCTGCCTGCAGACTTTGACTTGGAAGCTGTGCTGAGGCGCTTTCCCACCAGCTACCAGCAGAGCATGAACACAGTGCTGGTGCAGGAGATGGGCCGCTTCAACAACCTGCTCTGCACCATCCGGGAGTCCTGCATCAACATTCAGAAGGCCATAAAGGTAAACAGAACGTTTCTGCAGAGGGAAGCTGTGTTATACATTTTTTCAATGAGGGTTTTGATTGTTAAACTTTGTGCTTCTGCACTGATCAGGAATCTCTACTTCTAAGCAATTAATATAAGACTAAATATTCCCTGATTCTATTAAAGGCCTCTTATATAAACAAGTGGGTCCAAATCATTAAGACTTATGGATTTTAAATTTCTGAAGCACAGAACCAATATTTTCTCATTATTTCCTCCCACCTGCTGACAAATTACAGAAAAACTGCTGGAAACAAACTCAAAAATCCAATACTGTAAATTAATTTACTAGTCAATGATTCATTTCCTGTGGATTAAATAACATTAGGGTTGGGGGGGGTGTATTCATGATAATTCATGATAAAATTCATTCATTTTCCTGGGATCATAGAGGGGCTGTTGCTGGAAGATTCAGTGTGTAAACTGACTCATGAGACAACCAAGAAATGGTGATGAAACAGTTATCAGCAGGTACTTCAACCATACTGTTATTACGGTAATAAATCGAATACAGTGAAGTTTAAGGAACTTAGAATTTTGCTGCAGTTTTATTCATAATACAGATGTTTTAATGTATAAAGATCTGTTGTCCACTAGTCTGAACATGTTGGCATGACGTTAGAGATTGAACTAAATACTGCAGAATGGAGATAGAATGAAGCAGAGTGATGAAAAGGAGTCCCTATGTCCTCCAGCAGTCTAAGGCCGTTTCTCAATTCGTTCTTAGGGAGAACGCAGGAAGATCGGACTTGACGAGAACGCGAGCACGCAAGCACGTATGTGTATTGGAGCAGAAGCCTACTCGTGACGTCATCACAGGCAACGTTGTTTAGCATTTCTTTAACAGTCAAAACTATTTATTCCCTACACAAAACATTTTGAAAACAATATTTTTAATTTCTAAAGCTTAAAAAACAGTAAAAAAAATTACCGAACCGCAAAAAACCGCCATCAGAACGAGCGGTAGTTCACACGTAACTAGACCGAGAGAAGTGCACTACAGACGGGGTAAATTTAGCCCTGGCTGGTCTGCTGGTCACTCTGGTCCGCTCAACGTCTGACTTTTTTTTAAAATTTCGCACTAACTCTGTAAACAGGCCACACAGGGAGGCTTCAATGTATAATGTTATCGCCTCAAACGATTTCAAAACGTACTTTTGAAGAACAACAGCAGCAGAAAAGGGAATGTTTAACTTAACACTGTGAGCGCTGTCTCCAATCAAGCTGCGGCCGCGGGGCATTCTGGGGAAGCGGTCAGTCTGAAGAACGCACAAGTCTGCTCTGATGCATGCTCGATAAAGAGGGCGGGGTGAGAACAACATCCGGGGATTTGATGCATGCTCGATAAAGAGGGCGGGGCGAGAACAACATCCGGGGATTTGATGCGTTCTCGATCTGGCGTTCTTGAGAATTGGAACGGTACTCGGGCTGAGACTGATGACGTGTCACGAGTACACGAGAACGCTCAAGAACGCATATTGAGAAACGCCCTAAGCCTATAGCAGCATAACTATAGTAGCCTCGTGAGACCATCCTGATCTCGCAAGCTTTCAAGGTTTCACTCGCAGATCAGTCTGGCTACTTTCCGTTAAAGAAAATTTGGAGCCGTTCATCAAACGAATGTCCAATCAGCGTTGGCTTTGAGGCGGGTTGAGGTGTGACGCAACGAGAAGCGCGACAGTTCACTCTAAAGAACATGGCGGCTTCAGCCGATGAAACTAGCGTTAGCGTGGCTATCGAGCAAGTTTTGTCAGAATTACAGAGTATTTCTTCCCTGAAAGAAGAGCAAAACACTGCTCTGGAGGCTTTTCTCAGAGGAAAAGATGTTTTTGCTCTTCTCCCGACTGGTTTGGGCAAGAGTTTGATCTATCAATTGGCTCCTCTTCGTCATCGCTCTGTTAGTACGTCATATGCTTCGTTGATCTGATTGGTTTATTTGGCCCGTCTATCACCAACATAGGCCAATCAGCTAACCAGTATTTTCGCCCCTTCCCAAAATTACTTCTACGGAAGGTTTCCAGATGGATATGCGGAGCAAATCCATCTGGCGGAGTCAGGTTATAAGTATAGAGCCAGTTCAGGATAACTATAAGCTTTTTCAAAAAGGAAAGTTTTAAGCCTAGCCTTAAACTGGTAGTTTTTTCCACAGGAGAGGAGCCTTATAACTAAAATATCTGCCTCCCATTCTACTTTTAAAAACCACTAGTACCGGTAAATCTGCAGGTTAAGATATGAGTTCTGCAACAGCTTCATGCATGGGGTGGGAAACATTATCCTACAGATAGAGTCTCCACCCCTCTGCTACCAAAGTCAGCCTTGCAGTAAATATGATCAGTGGAATGATAATTATATTAGTCAAAGTATAATTTTTGGCTCTGCTTAAAAAAAGGACCAATGTTAAAAACAGATACGATTATTATAAAAAGCCTATTAATATTTGTTGAACAGAAAGCAAAGTCAGCCTGCTGCTCACCATGACCGTCTCTCTGCAAACAACAAGCAAAATCTGAAAGGTGAACAGTCCTCATCAGGTTTTGCTTGTTTTTTTTATGCTGTTATTATGCACCCATTTTGTTTAGACTGCATCACTTATTATTGTGTGAATATTTCAACATCTGTGATTATAATCAGCATATTATTCAAAAATCTCTCAGAACTGACAGCTGCACATATGCTTAGCTAATTTAACGTGATTCCAATCATATTAATCAGGCCTTTTGTTTGTCTTTTTTCTGACGATCCAAGTGTTTGAAAGCCAAGCTACGAAATCAAGATTTCAAGCTTCCACAACAAACGATGCATAAAACACTATTTGATTTGTGCGTTTTATGAATTAAAAAGAGCCAGCAGAATGTCATTTTTTCTGTAATCATAATGTTTACTTATGTCTTGTTAATTACACTGCATTTAAACATGAAAAGTGCTTTAGTGTGTTAATGAAGGGGAAATATGAAAAATCTCCAACAGATTACAGTTAAGAGTCACAATCAGAGTCAGGAAGTCAGATTCACTGAGCTGCCAACAAAATCTCACCTGATAAAAACCAACTTCATCTTCCTCAAATTGAACCTATAAAACAGACATCGAGGTCGTTAACGACTTAATTTAATTGGTTTCTTTTTTCTTCAACATATCAACCTTTTAAAAGCATTCAAGTTTATAAAATGACTCTTTTTGATCCATCAGTAGCTAAACACTAAAATATTTATTGTGCTTTGTGAAAACGAAGGACAAAGTAAAGCTTTCAGTTTTCAATTGAATGAATAGAAGAACTGAGCACTTGTTGATTCCTGGGAAGAGCCAAGAAGTCTGGAGTTTGTGACTCGGTAACCTTCAGGCCAGAGTCAAAGTTCATCCTGTTTTTGGTCTTTAGCTCAACCAGAGCTGAAAGCCAAAGACTCATAAGACCAGGTTATCGGCTCATCACATGCAGCACCAGAGCCAAGAGAGGCTAACCTCAGCAACTTAACAATACATAACAGAATTTGGTTAAATCACATGAAATTAACTTTTTTTTATCAAAAAGTTTTATTTACTGCTCTTAATTCAAAGTTTTTTTTTGGTTTGTTTTTTACATAAAATACCCTACCTGCTGTTTCAGATGTTTAAAAAATGTTTTCATTTACTTGATCTCCTTTATTTTCTGCAATAAAGTTTTTTCAAACTTAAAAAAGGAGAAAAAAAACTAAACCTAATTTAATACCTTAAGTTTGTTTCTCCACTATGGGATAATATTGAATCTAACACTGAAGGATGTGAGATCCTAAGGTAAGCGGATTTAATATAACTTCACTACGTGCCTTTTTCTATTATGTTGATTGTTTCTGTATGCAAACCCCTCTGCCCCCCCCCCCCCACCTGCAGAACGGTATTGTTGCAATAAAAACAATGTGCATCAATTAAAAATATTTTTCTTGTAAACACAAAAAATGAGGATTGGAAGTAAACTCCTGTGTCTACATGCAGGGCCTGGTGGTGATGTCAGCAGAGCTGGAGGAAGTAGTCAGCAGCATCCTAAATGGTCGTGTCCCCAGCATGTGGATGAAGAAGTCGTACCCCAGCCTGAAGCCGCTGGGAAGCTACGTCAACGACTTCCTCCAGAGACTCAAGTTCTTACAGGTGTCTGAACACTCGGTGAACACATCCAGGCTGTTAACATTAAGGCTGATCTTTTGGATGTTTTCAGCTTAAACAGACGACCTGAGGACGGCTGCAGGAAAAGTCCGGTCATATTCAGAAGTCAAACTTCTGAAAGTAATTTAAATATTCAATTATTACATACTGTTCAATAAGTGTTTTTAATTAAGAGTAATTATCATTTGAATGTGCTTTACTGGAGGCATCCATGTTTGTCAAAGAACACTACTGCCACCTACTGGTTTGTGACGTCACGGTGCGGTATCGGCTGTTGATCAAGTCCCAGTGCTGTATCTGGTGTTTGTCACAACGCGCTATTATCCAAGTCATCTTGAAAACATTCTTCTTCCAAATGTTGGCTACATATTACGGGTTTTTTCTCTGGCCAGAAGTTCGATGGCAAATCCTCCCTCTTCAAGTTGGCGATCCAACGACGAACGCGTCCGTGGAGGATCAGGAATCGGAAAGGTTGAATTACAAGTTATTTTTTCACTTTTACCCGATGTATTCCAACATCCAGCTGCCATGCACGTGGGCATTGTCAGTTTCACTATAGCTCTGGTGAATTTCAATGGTGAAGTCCTCTGGAAATGTTCAATAATTGTTGCTGATTGCAGATGTGTCTAGTAGTTCCCATTGATTTAGCTTGTAAAGTGGGGAGAATAGCGCTAGGCTTAAGGCTGGTTTAAGGTGAGCGCAGAGAGTGCCGCAGACAGGAGGCCTCTGATTGGTCAAATCAAAATCCGCTCTACACTATACGCATTTCCTGTTTGGTACCTTACAGGCTTGTTTTGTTTGTATGACCGCCATTGTGGAAAACGACTCTTGAAGATGGACCGTCTAGAACAGCGAGGTGCCCAAGAATGCTGGGACCCTTTTTCCACCTGGATCCCCGCTCTTTCTCTCCCTCCACTGTCGCACAAACTGTCCCCTTGCGTTTTTCCACTTTCTCACCGCCTCGGCCGTATCTAGACCCACAGCTATTTCCTGATTGTCCCTCTTGCGTTGTGGCATGGAATAACATAGCGCAGACCACGCTTCACTGTTGGGTAGAAATCAAAAATATCTGCATCATACCTGCGACAAGCTAACTATGAAACACTGCTGCGGGAGGATAACCAGCCCTTAACCGCACCGTGACGTCACTGCCAGAAGATGTCAGGAGTGAGGTGTTACTTATATTTGGACAAAAATGGCCGCTCCCAGACTCAGTGATAGTGATGAAAATTATTGTTTTTGTTTTTACTGATTAACATTAAATTTATTAAACCACAGTAAACGTATTAGTTTTAGGTATAAATAATGATCCATTGATTATTCCGCGCTGACCGGACTTTTCCTTTGATAATAAATGAAGAACAGCGGTGCTGTGGGAGGAGCCAGTGGATAACTCTGGAAACAATCTTTGATATTTACAGCAGATATTCCTCTAAGAAGAGGTTTCATCACACAAACCGAGCTTCAGGGTTCACCACATGAGCCCTTCTAAAACAGCTTTGTTTCCTGGGGCTGGGGAATGCACTGCACCGCCCACAGCCATCCTAAAACTGGGCACAATAACAGGGAGCCACATGACTGGGAGTGAACTGGTTCACCAGGCAGCTGGGTTTATTCCCACAGCAGGAGCCTCCTTGTTTCCATCAGAGCTGGTTACAGTGAAAGGAATCCAGTCTTTGAGCAGAATGTCTGCGTGATTCCTGACCGCCTGAACTGTAGAGTCACATGTTCCTAACCTCAGACAGAACATGAAGAAGGATCAGAGCTGCAGGTTTCCTCTGCCTCGACTGTGAGCTATAAAGCTGGTTTACAAACCAGTTTGTGTCCCTGAGCTCTGGAGCAAGGCGGCATTAATAGTCCTAAACTTGGACTTTGACAAACTTTATTGTGATTTTGTACACAGAGTGTATACAAAACTAAATTTCGTTCAGTACAGCTCTCATGACAATTCCATTTCGTAAAGTTCAGCAGTGATAAAATGTAAAGATGGTGATCAAATGTAAACTTAAAGGAATAGTACACCCAAAACATGATTAGCCTTCATTTTCTACTCACCCCCATGCTGAACAACACTCTGGAGTACTTTTTTGATATCTCAAATGCATCTGGAGATCTGGGAGGCTTCTTGCTGTCTGCTGACATTCAAATAATGGAGGTCTGTGGTGCCCGAGGCAGAAAGGTCCATAAAAGTCCACAAAAAACGTGTCAATATTCCTCCATACTGCTCGTCCAATGTATTCCAAGTGTCCTGAGTGGGTAGCATCCAGAATTTACTCGAAACGAAGTCATTTAGAATGTTTTTAGAGCATAAACAGTAGTGTATAGGATTTCCTAAAAGCGCGTTCACGAGTCTACGGAAACCGCGGCAGACCAAACCAGATGAAAGTGCGCATTCAGCGTCTGCTCTGCCGATAATGCAAGCGTAGAAGAAGAAATGTGCTGTTTACCTGTGCAAAGAAAGAAACAACGAAATGTCTGAGGACTTCAGTGTTGAGGAAGAGCATGAGTTCTTTGCCGAGCTGAATGCGCTGGTTTGGTCTGCCGGCTTCCGTAGCGTCGTGATCGCGCATGTGGGCGCTTTCAGGAAATCCTATACACTACTGTTTATGCTCTAAAAACATTCTAAATGACTTTGTTTCGAGTAAATTCTGGACGCTACCCACTCAGGACACTTGGAATACATTGGACGAGCAGTATGGAGGAATATTGACACGTTTTTTGTGGACTTTTATGGACCTTTCTGCCTCGGGCGCCATAGACCTCCATTATTTGAATGTCAGCAGACAGCAAGAAGCCTCCCAGATCTCCAGATGCATTTGAGATATTAAAAAAGTACTCCAGAGTGTTGTTCAGCATGGGGGTGAGTAGAAAATGAAGGCTAATCATGTTTTGGGTGTACTATTCCTTTAAACTGGTTCCTTAAAGAGTTTCTGATCAGGGAGATTAAAAACAGTCAGATTAGGTTTGGATCGAGGTTTAAGGCCCTAAAACTAGTTTGATCAGTACTTTCTGTTTCTGTCCATCACTCAGCCCTATTCTGTTTTTTTTAAGATGATCATTTTATCATGTTGTCTTGTTCAGGACTGGTACGATGAAGGAACACCCGCTGTCTTCTGGATATCTGGGTTTTTCTTCACCCAGGCATTTCTCACAGGCAGCCTGCAGAACTATGCCAGAAAACACAGCATTCCCATCGACCTGCTGGGCTTTGACTTCCAGGTCCTGGACGACGGTCAATATCTTCACCCCCCAGAGGACGGTAGGCCGCTGCAGCAGAAACAGACCGGAGGCTTAGCTTTAGTTAATTCAATTTCAATTCAATTCAGTTTATTTATATAGCGCCAAATTCACAACACATGTCATCTCAAGGCACTTTACAGTTCAACCAGATCATACAGTCAAATTGATACAAAGTTTTCTATCTAAGGAAAACCAGTTGATTGCATTGACTCATTGACTCAAATACAATCCCCCACACTAAGCATGCTTGTAGCGACAGTGGAGAGGAAAAACTCCCTTTTAACAGGAAGAAACCTCCAGCAGAACCAGGCTCAGTGTGAGCGGCCATCTGCCGAGGCCGACTGGGGTTCAAGGAGACAGAAGCAGAGATACAGAAAGCAGCTGTAAAAGGCGGCCCCGTCCAGGAAACACACAGCCAGGCAGACGAGCTCCAAGGCAGCTCCCATTCCAGAGGACGAAGAGAGCACATCCACTCAGTCACGGTCAGAGAAACAGGACCACACTGGAAAACAGGCCGATCTCCAACATCTACAGGTGCTGGTCATAAAATTAGAATATCATGAAAAAGTAGATTGATTTCAGTAATTCCATTTAAAAAGTGAAACTTGTATATTATATTCATACATTACATACAAACTCATATATTTCAGATGTTTATTTTGTTTAATTTTGATGATTACAAATGACAACAAATGAAAATCTCAAATTCATCATATCAGAAAATTAGAATATTGTGAAAAGGTTCAAAATTGATGGCCCCTGGTGCCACACTCTAATCAGCTAATTAACTCAAACCACCTGCAAAAGCCTTTAAATGGTCTTTCAGTCTAGTTCTATAGGCTACACAATCATGGGGAAGACTGCTGACTTGACAGTTGTCCAAAAGACGACCATCGACACCTTGCACAAGGAGGGCAAGACACAAAAGGTCATCGCTAAAGAGGCTGGCTGTTCACAGAGCTCAGTGTCCAAGCACATTAATAGAGAGGCGAAGGGAAGGAAAAGATGTGGTCGAAAAAAGTGTACAAGCAAGAGAGATAACCGCACCCTGGAGAGGATTGTGAAACAAAACCCATTCAAAAATGTGGGGGAGATTCACAAAGAGTGGACTGCAGCTGGAGTGAGTGCTTCAAGAACCACCACACACAGACGTATGAAAGACATGGGTTTCTGCTGTCGCATTCCTTGTGTCAAGCCACTCTTGAACCACAGACAGCGTCAGAAGCGTCTTGCCTGGGCTAAAGAGAAACAGGACTGGACTGCTGGTGAGTGGTCCAAAGTCATGTTCTCTGATGAAAATAAATTTTGCATTTCCTTTGGAAATCAAGGTCCCAGAGTCTGGAGGAAAAGAAGAGAGGCACTTCATCCACGTTGCTTGAAGTCCAGTGTAAAGTTTCCACAGTCAGTGATGGTTTGGGGTGCCATGTCATCTGCTGGTGTTGGTCCATTGTGTTTTCTGAGGTCCAGGGTCAACGCAGCCACATACCAGGAAGTTTTAGAGCACTTCATGCTTCCTGCAGCTGACCAACTTTTTGGAGATGCAGATTTCATTTTCCAACAGGACTTGGCACCTGCACACAGTGCCAAAGCTACCAGTACCTGGTTGAAGGACCATGGTATCCCTGTTCTTAATTGGCCAGCAAACCCTCCTGACCTTAACCCCATAGAAAATCTATGGGGTATTGTGAAGAAGAAGATGCAATACACCAGACCCAACAATTCAGAAGAGCTAAAAGCCACTATTAGAGCAACCTGGGCTATCATAACACCTGAGCAGTGCCACAGACTGATCGACTCCATGCCACGCCGCATTGCTGCAGTAATACAGGCCAAAGGAGGCCCAACTAAATACTGAGTGCTGTACATGCTCATACTTTTCATGTTCATACTTTTCAGTTGGCCAACATTTCTATAAATCCTTTGTTTTTATTGGTCTTCAGTAATATTCTAATTTTCTGATATGATGAATTTGAGATTTTCATTTGTTGTCATTTGTAATCATCAAAATTAAACAAAATAAACATCTGAAATATATGAGTTTGTATGTAATGTATGAATATAATATACAAGTTTCACTTTTTAAATGGAATTACTGAAATCAATCTACTTTTTCATGATATTCTAATTTTATGACCAGCACCTGTATAAACAAGGGTGTTGATAGAAGCAGCACAGCTGATGTTTCTCTCCAGGATGGCGTCACAGCCAAACAGGAACAGACGAGGCAAAGCTACTCTGAGGAAAAGCAGAGAGAGCAGAAGGTTAGAGATTGAACTAACAGATTCTGCAGAATAGGAGAACAGAGAGAGAATGAAGCAGAATGATGAAATGGGGGTCCCTATGTCCTCCAAAAGTCTAAGCCTATAGCAGCATAACTATAGAGATAGCTCAGGATAACCTGAGCCACCCTAACTATAAGCTTTATCTAAAAGGAAAGTTTTAAGCCTAGTCTTAAAAGTAGACAGAGTGTCTGCCTCACGGACTAAAACTGGTAGTTGGTTCCACAGGAGAGGAGCCTGATAACTAAAAGATCTGCCTCCCATTCTACTTTTAGAAATTCTAGGAACCATTAGTAAACCTGCAGATTGAGAGCGAAGTGCTCTGTTAGGAACATAAGGAACAATCAGATCTCTGATATAAGATGGAGCTTGGCCATTTAAGGCTTTATATGTGAGAAGGAGGATTTTAAATTCTATTCTTGATTTAACAGGAAGCCAATGAAGAGAAGCCAGAATAGGCGAGATATGATCTCTCTTTTTAATTTTCATTAAAACTCTGGCTGCAGCATTTTGGATCAGCTGAAGGCTTTTAACTACAGTTTGTGGACTTCCTGATAGTAAAGAATTACAATAGTCCAGCCTTGAAGTAACAAATGCATGGACTAGTTTCTCAGCATCACCCCTGGACAGGATATTTCTAATTTTTGTAATGTTCCTCAGATGAAAGAAGGAAATTCTAGAAACCTCTTTGATGTGGGATTTAAATGACAGGTCCTGATCAAAAATAACACCAAGATTTTTTACTTTATTATCTGAAATCAGTTTAATCCCATCCAAATGAAGTGACTGGCTAATCAGTTTCTTTTTCAGAGACTCTGGTCCAAAGACTATAACTTCTGTTTTGTCTGCATTCAGGAGCAGAAAGTTAAGAGTCATCCAGGTTTTTATGTCTTCAAGACATGCCTGTAATCTATGTAATGGGTTAGCTTCATCTGGATTTATAGACAGATATAGCTGGGTATCATCAGCGTAACAGTGGAAATTAATCCCATGCTGTCTAATAATTCTACCAATTGGGAGCATGTATAAAGTAAAGAGAATTGGTCCTAGCACTGATCCCTGTGGTACTCCACAGGTAACCTTTGAGCGTGTTGAAGATCTATCATTAACATGAACAAACTGAATTCGATCAGATAGATAAGATTTAAACCAGTCTAGTGCTGTTCCTTTAATTCCAACAAAATATTCAAGTCTTTCTAAAAGAATATTATGGTCAACTGTATCAAATGCAGCACTAAGATCCAACAGGACGAGCACAGATACAAGTCCATTATCTGAGGCCATGAGAATATCATTAGTGACTTTCACCAGAGCTGTTTCAGTGCTATGATGAGCTCTAAAGCCAGACTGAAACTCTTCAAAAAGTTCATTATGGTGGAAGTGATCGCAAACTTGTTTGGCAACTACTTTCTCAAGAATTTTGGATAAGAAAGGAAGATTGGATATAGGTCTATAATTGACCAAGTCATCTGGGTCAAGAGACGGTTTCTTAAGCAGAGGTTTAATTACAGCAACCTTAAAAGCTTTAGGTACATATCCCTGTAACAGAGATAGATTAATCACATCTAAAATGGAGGAGGAGATCAAAGGGAATACCTCCTTAAATAACCTGGTTGGAACTGGATCTAACATACAAGTTGAAGGCTTAGATGAAGACAATAATTTTGCTAATTCAGAGAGTTCAACTGGATCAAAGCAGTCTAAACCCGGTTCAGATTCCATGACTACCTCAGGTACAATCGCGGATAGAGGAGTGCTTATGATCTTATTTTTAATAAGATCAATCTTATTTATAAAGAATCCCATAAAATCATTGCTGCTAAGAGCAGGTGGAATGGACGGTTCAACAGAGCTATGGCTCTGGGTGAGTTTGGCAACTGTATTAAAAAGAAATCTAGGATTATTCTTATTCTCCTCTATTAATGAGGAGAAGTATGCTGCTCTTGCTTTACAAAGAGTCCTCTTATACAGCATTAAACCATTTTTCCAGACTAGGAAGGACTCTCGCAGGCCTGTGGAGCGATATTTTCTCTCCAGTTTCCTAGCATTTTGCTTCAAAGTACGCAGCTCTGCATTAAACCAAGGAGCAAGCTTTCTATTTTTAAGGGTTTTCATTTTCAAAGGAGCTGCGTTGTCTAAGGCAATACGCAGAGAACTAGCAACCCCATCAACAAAATCATCAACCTGTGAAGGGGAATAAGCTAAGCTTTTGCACTCTGCAGCACTGCTCAGTGACACAGAGGAGAGAGAAAGTGAAGCAGATTCTTTAAAATTTATAACTGCACTATCTGATAAAGATCTACTAAAATTGAACCTTCTTTTGGGGGAGGAGAACTCTGTTAAAGTAATCCTGAAGGTTATTGGAAAGTGGTCAGAGAGGACAGGGTTGTGAGGAAATACTGTTATTTCTTCACATTCTATGCCGTATGTCAGCACAAGATCCAAAGTATGAAGATGAGAATGCGTGGGACTATTCACATTTTGAACAAAGCCAATAGTGTCTAAGATAGCAATAAAGGCTGCTCTTAAGCTATCGCCTTCAATGTCAGCATGGATGTTAAAATCTCCCACTATGATGACCCTGTCAGTATTTAATACCAAATCAGAAAGGAACTCTGAAAACTCATCTAAAAATTCAGAGTAAGGACCTGGTGGACGATACAAAGTTACAAAAAGAAGAGGTTTTCTTGCCTTGAAATTTGGATCAGGGAAATTAAGGGTTAAATGTTCAAAAGAGTTGTAGGTATTAATTGTTTTGGGAGTAATCAGTAAGTCAGACTGGAAGATTGTTGCTACTCCTCCTCCTCGCCCAGAACTTCTGGGGATGTGAAAATTTAAATAGCTTGAAGGAGTTGCCTCATTTATGCTCACATAATCCTCTTGCTGCAGCCAGGTTTCTGTAAGGCAAAACAAGTCAATGTGATTATCACAAATCAAGTCATTAACTAGTAGACTTTTAGAGGAAAGCGATCTTATGTTAAACAGACCGCATTTAATTGTTTTAACTTTTTCCCCAATTGGAGTTATTTTGATTTTAATTAGATTGTCATGATTTACTCCTTTGGGAATCTTTGCTAATTTATTCGATTTTGGTCGTGGGCAAGACACTGTCTGGATGGAGTAAAGAGTGGGTAACAGTAGAGAAGCTGCAGAGATGTGTGTTAAACTAAAACTCTGCTTCCTGGTCTGCACCCTGGGTGGTCAGGGTTTTGGAGGACTAATAAATGTGGCCAGATTCCTAGAAAGAAGAGCTGCACCATCCAAAGTGGGATGGATGCCGTCTCTCCGAATCAGACCAGGCTTTCCCCAAAAGGATTGCCAATTATTAATGTAGCCCACGTTGTTTTCAGGGCACCACCTAGACAACCAGCGGTTGAATGACGACATGCGGCTAAACATGTCATCACTGGTCAGATCAGGGAGGGGACCAGAGAAAATTACGGTGTCCGACATTTTTTTGGCAAACTTACACACCGAAGCAACACTAATTTTAGTGACCTCCGATCGGCGTAACCGGGTGTCATTACCACCAGCGTGAATAACAATCTTACTGTATTTAACCTTATCCTTAGCCAGTAGTTTCAGGTAGGATTTGATGTCGCCCGTTCTGGCCCCCGGCAAACATTTGACTATGGTCCCTGGTGTCTCTAATGCCACGTTTCTGACTATGGAGCTGCCAATCACCAGAGTTGGCTTCTCAGTGGGTGTGTCACTGAGTGGGGAAAACCGGTTAGAAACGTGAATGGGTTGGTGGTGACCAGTGGGCAGAGATCCACGACTATGCTTTCTGCGTACAGTTACCCAATCGCCTGGCTGCTCAGGCACTTTTGGAGGACAGCTACGTGGGGGGCCTACTTTAACTCCTGGATGTTCAACAGCCTGAAGCCTGGATTCTAACTCTGACACCCTCGCCTCCAAAGCTACAAAAATACTACACTTATTACACATCCCATTATCACTAAAGGGGGCAGAGGAATAACTGAACATCTGACACAGAGAGCAGGAGAGAGGAGAGGAAGAAGGAAGAGTTGGAAAAGAGTCAAGGGAGGGAGAGAGAGAAGCCATAGCAATGCTAAGCTAGCGCTAGCCTAGGCTAGCTACTCCTTGCTATCAGAAATAAAACCGTGTGAAACTGACAAGTGCTCAGTAGAAAAGTGCAGCAGAAGGTGCTATGTTTTAAAGTAGTCAGTTAGAGTTACTTAGATACAGAGATATCACAGAGAAAATAACTTAACTTCAGATGGAGATCCTCTGAACAGCTGCACACTCAGTTAATCCAAACAGGAAGTGAACAGTTAAAAGAAGGAATCTTCCATCTCCTGTCAGAATCAAACTAAAGAAAAATGGAAGACTAAGAATAGAAAACAAATCTACATCAGGCTGAACTGTTAGAGTGGCAGAGATAAGTAGGAAGTTAAAAGAAAAACCTTTTTGCATTCAGCTCTGCATCGGCTTCACTGTGTCTGCAGCTCAGCTGTGAGAAAGTCTCATCCTCAATCAGCCCCCAGCTGGGCCCACATCATGCTAACGCTGCTAACGCTGCTGAGCTGCAGCTCCCACAGTGAATCTGTGATGCTGAAGCCCGGCAGACAGTCAGTGGGTTTACTGCCAGTCTGATAAAGATCGCTCCGAACCAATGATGTCTCTTTTGTTAGGTGTTTACATCAGAGGCCTGTTCCTAGATGGCGCTCGCTGGGACAGAGACGGCAACTGTCTGGCAGAGTCCTTTCCCAAAGTGCTGCACGATGCCATGCCGGTGGTAAGGAGCTCTCACACACAGACGAGGTGGATGATCCATACGCTGATTGCTTTAGAAAAAGAAACTGAATCTGCTGAAATCAGTCATGATCTCAGGTCTGAAATCTAAAATCTCTAAATAGAGTTTTATTCAAATGTGGAGCAGATTTTCACATAAGTTTCAGTGATTACCCAGGATCAAATTTCCAGGTCAAGAAGAATTTAGAAGAACTTCAAGTACTTCTAGTCTGGCTTTATGAAAATATCACCACATATTAACAAACCTGCTTCAGTTGAAAACATTTTACACACTGGGAAAACGATCCAGAAATAAGTAAAAATGGCTTAAATTAAGTTTATTTATCCTTAATTTGAGTAGGTAAATGAGATTGTTTGCCAACGAAATTATTATTTTTACTCTTATGATAAGATAATTAGATAATATGCACTTGAACTAAAACAATGCAATTGTGTTTTCTTATTTTAAGTGTAAATTGTCTTGTTCCATTGGCAAGATGTTTCTTTTACTTTCTTAATCCAAGAACAAATGCACTTATTTGAAGAAAAAATGACTTATCTAGATTTTGATTTTTTTCCAGTGCAGGAACCATGAGCTGTAGCTGTCAGCGTTGCTTCACTTCCGTTGGAGTTCTGAACAAACTCTAAAAAACTGAAACTGAAAGCACCTCCTTTTTTTTTTTGTTTGTTTAAAAAAAACCCCACAAGATTAGACAGATGGTTAAAATCCTCAATTTTGCATCTTTGCTTTCAAAGTATTTCAGAGTGGCTGTCAAACTACTTGTATAATTTTCACACAGCGGTTCATTACCTTGTGGCAATAAGCCGTTGTTCTGTCAGACCAACATACCCATATGCTACGTTCACACCGGACGCAGCAGGCGCCGCAGAAGCAGCGAGTTTACATGCAAAGTCAATGGTTGACGCGCGTCAAGGCGCAGCAAAAGGTCCCGCGGCGCGTTTTGAGCAGTAGGCGCAGCGCGTCTGAGCAGCTGAAGCAGCGCGTCGGGCGCGTTTAAGCATCTGACGCTCGTGACGCGCCGCAAATGCGCTGCTGCTCGAGATGGAAAAATTAAACTTTTGCTGCTCGACGCGCCGCATCAACCAATCAGAGAAGCTGATCTGGGAGCTGGCAGAGAGACAGACACATCGCTGATGATACAGAGCGCTCTGATCACTCCTCTGAAACAGTTTATTGACGCATAAATTAACTTAAATGCTGAAACCTGCCGGCAGAATATGTTCGCTTTTATTATCCTGCTTCCTGCAGTTTAGATTATTTAGATGAAAAACACCTACCGGCTGCCGCGGTGAACCGCGAAGAGGCGACCGGGCCAGAGGCTGCTGTTGAATGGGATTCCTACTGACAGCGCACCGCCGGTGTGTGGGGGTCTGAGCGGCTCCCACAGAAATAATATTGGAAGGCAGGATGGTAATCTGGATGAACTGACTGCACTGATTAAGTTTTCAGGTGGATTTTCTTGCTTATAAACATATTAAAACTACTTTATTCCCACTGATCACAGCAAATATAGCTGCAAGGCAAAGAAAGGATAGAGTAGCTCCGCCCAACGCGCGTCAGACACACTTTTCCACCGCGCAGCCAGAGCAGCAAAGCTGCTTCAGCCGCGCGTCAGAACTAACTGGTACAAGCAGCAAAAAGGAAGCAGCAGACGCGATTTTGCTGCTTTTGCTGCGTCCGGTGTGAACGCAGCAATAGTCAATACCCCTAAATTGTTTTTTGTACATGTCTAAAGGGATACACGCCCGTCGAGGTAGTTTAAAGTGTATTTTTGTACAAAACTAAAGGGATAAATAGGGATAAACAAAAGGGATGCACATGCGTACTGACTATGTATGCTCCTCTTACCTCCACTAATGTTCAAAATGAATATCAGGGGCTGTGGAACGACACATCCCAACTGATATCAAGTTTGAGGTCTTTTATTAAGTCTGACACTTTCTGTAGACATTATTACACTGCAAAAAATCTAAATCCAGATAAGTCTTTTTTTTCTTAAAATAATTGCATTTATTCCTGAATTGAGGAGGTAAAAGAGACATTCTGCCAATGGAAGAAGACAATTTACACTCAAAATAAGAAAACACTATTGCATTGTCTTATTTCAGGTACATATTATCTAATTATCTTATTATAAGAGTGAAATTACTCATTCCATTGGCAAACTATCTCATTTACCAACTCAAATTAAGGGTGAATACACTTAATTAAGGACATTTCTAGATTGTTTTTTGCAGTGTAGCTTCCAGCAGTTGATCACTTTCTTTGAGCGAGTTCATCTAAATCTAAACTGGTTATTTCTCCACTCACCATCCATGACATAATGCTTCTACCACCAACATACTTGTTGTTATTGTATCCAAACAGCGAAGTCTCTAATACTTCCTCCTGAAAGTTTCTGATGATCTGGGAATCTGCAGCAGTTCAGGCGTCTCTCCATCCTTAGACTTTCTAAATCCACCGTTGTCCTTCTTACATGCTTATTGGCCCTTTAAATGTTTCATTTTGTTCTGAGTGAACAGATAAGCGGCACAACCTAAGAGATTTACACCAATATGGGGTCAGTTTGAGCCTGTTGAGGTTGGAGAAAACCCCACATTTGGTGTCACTGCAGGTTTTCTATTTGTTTTTACTTCTCTGTTTTGTTGCAAGTCTGACAGAAACACAGAGAAAACACTGGAAAGTTTTTTTTTTTTGTGTTTTAAAGTTTTCTTTTAACATTATTTCCTTGGGTTGTAGATGTGGGGTTTGACCCACTGGTGTGGTTTTTAATGTGTAGCAGTAATACTGTATTGAATTTGCTGCTTGAAGCAGAAAATGTGAAGAAAACCAGTTTAAGGCTCCTTCGCTGGATGTCGTATCCTGGACAGTGGAGCATAAAGCCACAGGGATGCAGTTTATTATTCTGCTCCTGGATGTTTCTCCGTATGTCGGAATGTGGACCGCCACCACCCAGACCGGATCTTCAGTGCTCTCAGCTCCTGGTTCTCTGGAGTCCCTGGAGATGAGGCTCAGTTTTCCTGCAGGAAACCCGTCCTCCTCTGCTGCTCGGTCTGATGTGGATCTCAGGAGCAGGAGGACAAAGATGGAAGCAGAGCTTCTTTCTTGTCTCCTTTCTCTGAACATGAATAATGCACCAAGGCTGGCTCGTTAAATATTCATGCATTTCAGGGCAGCTTATTAACAGAATCAGTTTTAACAAGAACAGAACTTCATTAAAATGTGTTTATTATTTGTGCGGGTGAAAAGACACACAACAAAATGTGGCTTTGAAATGTAAATGTGCAGCTAGACACCCCCCTCTCTCTCTCTCTCTCTCTCCCTGCAACCATTACAGTGCTAAGGCTGTAGCTCAACCAACTGCTTTTGTTTTATTTAGTTTTTAGTTCCTTATTGGCCCAGTTTATCCCTTTTGCATAAAGCAGAAGTTCATAATAACTCCAGGGGATTCATGCTTTTACTAGTTCATTTTGTTTGTGTTTGAATAACAGAGATTGGGGTTAGTCTCTGCTGCTCCATCTGCCCTGCAGGTCCCATCCTCTGCTTCCAGAACATCTCACAGCTCTTCCACCTGTGTCCTGTAGATGTGGCTGAAGCCCATGAAGCGGCAGGATGTTCCTGAGAGGATGTGCTACCTGGCTCCCGTCTACAAGACAAGCGAGCGGCGAGGAACTCTGTCCACCACCGGACACTCCACCAACTACGTGGTCGCCATGACGTTGAACTCCGACGTCCCCCCCGAGCACTGGATCAGAAGAGGAGTCGCTCTGCTCTGTCAGCTCAGCTCGTAGCTGCAGCTTTGTTTCAGCACCAAGGTGTGAATAAAACGTTTAACACATGCAAAGAAATCTGATTATTATCAGTTTAATAGAATCAGATGATACGCACTGCAAAAAATGTAAAACTAATTAAGTCATTTTTTCTGAGAATAAGTGATTTTTCTTGAATTGAGCAGATAAGTGAGATACTTGGCAATGGAATTAGACAATTTACATTTAAAATAAGAAAAAAAACAGCTGCAGCTGCTTAATTTAAGTGCATAGTATCTTAAAGTAGCTGGTAATTCAGATTTAAATATCAAATCATTCTAGCTTAAAAATATAAATGTACTCTTTATCAGATCATATTGTCCCAAAAGTTAGAAAATTTCTGTTTAAAAAAAAATCTTGTCTTAAAATCTGTGTTTTTTTTTCTGTTATCTTATGCAGGCCAGTTAATGCTATGTCAGCTTGAACACCTAAATTCAGCCAATCATATATCAACAGTCATCTGTCAATCAAATGCTTTCGGTCATAGCTTCTTGATTCATATCTTGCAGCTAATAGACGCAACGGTTGAAATAGGAATTAAATCCCATTGAGTTCCTTCCCAGTGTTCTCGGGGATGGACGTCTGTGTCTTCAGCAGGCGTAGAGCTAACAGAACTGGCAGCGTTGCGAGGCAAGGGCTCAAACATGTACGGCTGGAAGCCTTCTACACCAAACCAAGCTTCTGCCACCCTGGCCTCTTCCGCAAAATCTTCGTCCCCGCTTTCCTCCTCTAGATAAAAATGGATGGAGGAGACTCATCCACGACCTCCGACACTAAACTCTCCTCCTCTTGCATGTTTCCGCTGTCCATAGCGTTCTTTGACAGTGTCTTTTCTAAGTGCTACTTGGTCTCAATGGAATTTCCCATTTGGAACTTAGTAGCACTTAGATGCTAACTGGTTAGCAAGATGCTTGCAACAAACCGGACACAACCAAACTTGCTTGGAAACCTTCCACCACAACAATCCCGCCCCCTTGATAATCGACCAGTCGCTTTCACTTTATTCACTCGCGTAAATTCGGACACCACTCGGGAGAATTTGGAAATGCAACGTTTGGAACAACCGCTTCCCTACGACTTTAAGGGTAACAATGCCCATTCCAATTGCAGATCATCTTATTTACCTACTCAAATGAAGGGTAAATACTCTTATTTTAAAATGTTTTACTGACCTTCAGAATGTTTTTGCAGTGTAGTAGAGAGCTCCTCTCAGTGGAACTCTGGCCCATTAGATCCGGGATGTTTTTTCAATCAAGATGTTAATCTAGAGTTGTACATTCTGACTCATTTATCACAGTAGAACCAAATAATGTAAGAATCACTGAAAAATCCTCCACTTTAGGCAAAGACTGACCCTAAAACAAGAAGAGGTGAATTTCCCCTGTGAGGAATATTGGGCTAAGACCAGCTGCAATAATGGACTGATAAAGCCAACAAAACCAGAATATCCACTGAAAATCCAGACGAGACCAAACTATGGAATCCTGTCCAGGATTGATGACCAAGGAGAAGAACAAACTCTCATGAGCCTCTCAGCAATTCCCCAGAGGCAAAGATATGGTGCCAAATAATAATAATTGAACTTTATTGATTGGAGAAATGTACCTCTGCATTTAACCCATCCCCTTGGGGAACAGTGGGCTGCCATCATGCGGCGCCTGGGGAGCAGTCAGGGGTTAAGGTTCTTTGCTCAGAGACCCAGAGTGGCAGTCTGTGGGAGAGGGGTTCGAACTCAGAACCTCAGGATTCCAAGCTCTATGGCCGCCACTCCTAGTGGCTCCTCCTGAATCCGAGGTTCAGCAGTTCATCCAGCAGGACCCTCTCTCCAACACATGGACGTGTTTCCTAGAGAAGCTGAAAAGGTTGATCCCTTCGCAATTTGATCTGACCCGTGATAGAGAAACCTAGCCTCGTGAGACCATCCTGATCTCGCGAGCTTTCAAGGTTTCACTCGCAGATCAGTCTGGAGACTCTCCGTTAAAGAAAATTTGGAGCCGTTCACCAAACGAACGTCCAATCAGCGTTGGCTTTGAGGCGGGTTGAGGTGTGACGCAACGAGAAGCGCGACAGTTCAGTCTAAAGAACATGGCGGCTTCAACCGATGAAACTAGCGTTAGCGTGGCTATCGAGCAAGTTTTATCGGAATTACAGAGTATTTCTTCACTGAAAGAAGAGCAAAACACTGCTCTGGAGGCTTTTCTCAGAGGAAAAGATGTTTTTGTTCTTCTCCCGACTGGTTTCCGCAAGAGTTTGATCTATCAATTGGCTCCTCTTCGTCGTCGCTCTGTTAGTACGTCATATGCTTCGTTGATCTGATTGGTTTATTTGGCCCGTCTATCACCAACATAGGCCAATCAGCTAACCAGTATTTTCGCCCCTTCCCAAAATTATTTCAACGGAAGGTTTCCAGCTGGATATGCGGAGCAAATCCATCTGGCGGAGTCAGGTTATCTCTACGGCACCTCTACAGTCACCATGGTTAAAAAACAAACCTCCAACCAGGGTTTCAGCATCTTCAAATGACTTTATTCTTCTTCAGCATCGATGGGCACCAACAGGCTAACAACAATAATGTCGCATTTTACAAGCATTTTACAAAACAAATATACACATTAACAATGATGGAGGCGTTGGGCCTTTCTTTCCTCTTTCTCTTGGCGAATCCAGCAGTGAGGAAGCGTCCTGCTTGGAGCAGAGGGGCTAATTCTGTCCATTTCAACAAACTAAATGAAAGCTGAAGCTTAAACCAGGTAAAAACATTCAGGTTCTGTTGGTTCCAGCTCTTCACCGACACATTTCCTTCCTCCATTTGAAGCCAGGATCTGGTCGTTTAGGTATTTTAATTGAGATAAAAATGTTTCCATATGTATTTAACGCTGATGTATAATGATTATCAAATGTTTCTCACACACTGATTTGATAAAGGAAACCCTGATGATTCTAAATTCAACACTGCAAAGACCCGCTTCTATAAACCCACATCCTGAAACCTAAACCCTGGAGTCTGTCTTCATTAGCAGGGTCCCACATTTGGACCCATTCTGACTAAAAATGTTCTTCTTATCCCAGATCTTCTGTCTTTAACCATCTTCTGCTGACCCCATTCAAAGTACTGGACTCATTTCCATTAATTGAAGGGATGTTTTTAATGTGTTAAGAGGCCTGCTTGGATCCACTAAAAATAAAACTCAGTGTTAAAGCATTAAGGTCTCTGTTGAAACCAACTTAGAATTAGAAAAAATGTATTATTGATTCAAATTAAGCATATCATGATGTTTTGTTGGTTCTGAAAGTTCAAATTTAATTTCCTTTTCACACAAATATCCTTCCAGAATTTCATAAATAGAACATTTAGTTTGTTTTATTATCTCAGAATAAGAAATAAAGCAAATCTTTGTAATCTCTCTGCAAAATAAGCAGATTATAACCTGGCAGGAAAATCTTTGCAGGAAGATTTTGGTTCCACATTTTAACTGACAGCAGTTTTAATTCCAGAGGCGGATCTAAACGTAGATTTTCAGGGTGTGAATATTTATACGACCAGGTTATTGCAGCTTCATGTTACTTTTTCTTTCAGTTAAACTGTGCAGATTAAATGTCAAATCCGGGGGGGAACGTTTCATTCTTTTAATTCTTAAAGAGCCGGGATTTTATCCTGGACGTTTTGGAGCCATTATTTTATTTGGTTCCGGTCTCTGATTGGACGGCAATAACCAATTAAACAAAGTAATGATTCCTGTTTAACCTACTGGTACAGTTTCTGCTGTGTGGAACATCTGAAACTGTTCTGATTATGTTCAAAAACCCGAGAACCATGATCAACTGCCGAGTCCGACCAGATGATGATGTCACACAGTGACAGGATAAATACACGGTGGTGTGCACTCTAGCAGGCCGCTAAGCTTATGGGCCAATGGAATGTGATGAAGACAGAGGGGCGGAGCCTATGAGGCTCCACCTGATGAAGCAGCTGGATTTAAAGGAAGAGCGACAATAATGATGTAAAAAAAAAAAAAATGGAATGATTCAAATGTTGCAGACAGGCGGTCAGTTTACGACAAAATTATTTTGGCTTCTTCAGCACAGATCATCTGCATAGATTGGAGCTGCAGCTGCGGACAGCAGGTCTGCCTCACGACACGTCGGTCTGATTTCACAGCATTAACATTTTTCTCATTATAAAAAACAATGAATTTTAAACATAAAACATGTTTGAGTTTGGCTTCAGATCGACAGATCTACTCAGAAACATGGCAGGCAGTCAGGTTACGCAGCTGCTCAGGATGCTGAACATGCTGAAGTTAAAGGCTTTGGCAGCTGCTCTTATAAACGTCTACGACTTCAGGTTCCCTACAAACGTCAAACAGCCGAGTTCTGCACCGATCGGCGGAGGAACGCCTCTGTTCTCACACCGCAGCTTCAGGTCGGCTCCTGCAGGCGGTGGGCGGAGCGCAGCGGGACGACATCAGCACACAAGAACAAGCCACGGAGACGGGACGCCGCATGAATGAGGCGAAGGCATGAAGGGCAAGAATGCTACAGGTGGGAGCGTCTATCCTGGGGAAAAGGGGCGGCAGCTTTGTGCTTCACAGGAAGAGAACGAGGAGCCGAGGAAGAGGAGGAGCAAGGCGTAAAGATGAGGAGAAGAGCGGACAGCTGTAGTTTGGAACAGAGACCAATGGAGCACGTGCAGGACAGCAGACAGGACACTTTAAGAAAAAAAAAAACACCAATACATCCAGCCGTCCACTTCCTCCGTCCTCCGCTAAAAGCCAAAATCAAACACAATGCGGTCCTCAAAGATGGCGATCAGCAGCATGATGCTGAAGCCGGTCAGCATGCCCACATTCTGCAGGATGAAGTGTCCCACTTGGCAGCGCTTGTGCTCCTCGCTGTCCCCGTGAAGCATCTCTGGCAGCTGTGCGGGACACAAGGAAACCAGTCAGAACCGGAGAGCGGAGGAAGAGAAGGTCAGAGCGGGACGGTCCCAGCCTACCATATCCACCAGAGCCACGTAGAGGAACATCCCGGCGGTGATGGCGAAGATCCAGCTGGTCACGTTGTGCGTGTACGTGCCCACCGCCGTGCCGATCAGCATGCCCACATAAGCCATGAGTGCCGACAGCACGTTGTAGATGATGGCCTGTTTTACACTCATGCCGGCCTTCAGCAGAACCGCAAAGTCGCCTGGAAGCAGAAACACAAGAGTTATAAATACCGCCGGAGCTGAAGAAGCATCTATCTGCACCGAGGGGGAGCAGCGCTTCTCTGCTACCAAACATCTGTTTGAAGACAGATGTTTGAGAGCAGCACATAATAAGAAATCCTGTCCTAAATCTGTACAGGAGGCCCTGAAATGACTACAGATATTTATAGCTCCACCTACAGAAACACTATTTATCTACTCCCTGCACCCCTCAGGTGGAGGTGAAGAAACAGGAGACTTTAAGGGCAAACTTGATCATATTTTAGAGCCAGGAGGTTCAGGTCAGTCACAGATATATCACAGCTGGACTTTTTATTTCCTTTTTACACACATTTTTGATCAAAACAGGAATGAGAACCCAAACTCTACAAAATATCCAATGAAATACTTTAGACTGCTGAGTGGCTGCTTCTTAGCAACATGGAAAAAAGGACAGAGTGGACGCTCTTTCTTTCTCCAAAGATCCTGTTAGCAGGAAATGTTGGAAGGATTTTTTTAATCCTTTAAATCAAGACTAAAAACACATTTGTTTAGTTAAACAGTTTAACTAAAACATATTTCTTTAGTCCAACTGTTTTTAATATTCTTATTTGTTTCTGAATTGTTTATTTTATTTTATTTATTTTTTCCTACCCGCTTTGATTCTGTTTTATCTTCCTGTATTTTAATCATGTAAACATTTTGCATTGTCTTTGTACTGAATTGTGCTATACAAATAAATTTGCCTTGCCTTGCCTTGTCTTGCCTTAATCGTCCTTAAAAAAAATTATAATGATAATTTATCATATTTCTGGCTCAGAGTGATAAAATATAGACAGAAGTAAGGAAAAACCTGAACCCAGAGGATGAGGAAACGATAAATTAGCTAAAGCAGGAAGTCAACAGCCAGACCACCGAGGTGGCCATACATATCGTTTATCAGCAGAGAAACAATTAAATAAATTCACAATTTGGGGAAAAGCATCACATTTATTATTTTTTTAGGTGAGTTACAGTCTGACTGATCTCACCAGGCCGAGCTCTAACTGCTGCTCACACCCAAATCACATGAAGCATCGTTTAGGCCCATTGAAGTCAGACACAAGCTAACAATAGTGTTCAAAGTGATGGAAGCAGCCATTCAAAATGGCTCTTCACAGTCAAACATCCAGCCAAATAGCAGCCTACTTCCCTGTAGCTTCCAGCCAAATCCCCTCCAACCTCCAGCCATTGGCCTTCTCCTGGGCATGCACATTTCTTTACTCCACCCTTTCACTGAATTACAGGGTCTGACCAGGAGATGGCGCTTTTCTTTAACCTGACGGATTTGCTCCGTATATCCATCTGGAAACCTTCCGTTGAAGTAATTTTGGGAAGGGGCGAAAATACTGGTTAGCTGATTGGCCTGTGTTGGTGATAGACGGGCCAAATAAACCAATCAGATCAACGAAGCATATGACGTACTAACAGAGCGACGACGAAGAGGAGCCAATTGATAGATCAAAATCTTGCTGAAACCAGTCGGGAGAAGAGCAAAAACATCTTTTCCTCTGAGAAAAGCCTCCAGAGCAGTGTTTTGCTCTTCTTTCAGTGAAGAAATACTCTGTAATTCTGATAAAACTTGCTCGATAGCCACGCTAACGCTAGTTTCATCGGCTGAAGCCGCCATGTTCTTTAGACTGAACTGTCACGCTTCTCGTTGCGTCACACCTCAACCCGCCTCAAAGCCAACGCTGATTGGACGTTCGTTTGGTGAACGGCTCCAAATTTTCTTTAACGGAGAGTCTCCAGACTGATCTGCGAGTGAAACCTTGAAAGCTCGTGAGATCAGGATGGTCTCATGAGGCTAGCTTTTCTTTAGATCTTAATGTCCACAAATCATGACACAAATAATATTTTAGTACAAAGACTGATGTTTAAAAAGTTATTGTAGGCAACCAGCCAAGGAAAGTGGGGAAATCTTTAATGGCTACTACTGTATGACTGATGAGCGTCTAGTCTCTATGGACGAGGGCAGATGCACCGCAGAAAGTAGCTTTGCTTTATTTCTTGTAATAAGTGGGGAAAAGGTAACTAAAAGAGGTCAATAAAACATCATCTGTGCAGTAATTTATTATCCTAATTTTAAATATTCGGCAGTTGTTCACATGCAGGCAGATATAGTGCCACGAATCCCATTTTATTTCCAATTTAGTCCATCCATCCATTTTCTGTCATGCCTATTCCAAGCGAGGGATGCTGGGTGCCAGACCCTTGACTGTTTGGAGGAAGCTGGAGTACCCAGAGAGAACACACACACTCCATGCAGAAAGGAATCAAACCCAGAACCTTCTTGCTGCAAGGCAGCAGTGCTACCCACTGCGCTACTGAGCAGTTCAGAAAGAAACTATTTTAGTGGAACGATCAAAGCTCTAACTTTTCTTTGTAAATGAAAAATCCCTTCTATGTTTGTACGTGAACCTAGTGGAGTGTAACGGCTTCTTATGGTTTTATGCTGACAGCTCAACAGGAGGAGGGATCACAGCACGTCTCCCAGCCAACGCCTTGATCTGCTTCTTTGATTGGCTCTCAAGCTGAAAGTTCATATTTTCAGCTTCTGTCGCTCTGGATGTGCGGCGCCTGACGCTGGAGGACTCTGCAGCAGTCAATCCGTGGCGCTGGATTTTCAAACACTTCCACTATAGACTCTACATGTAATCTGGACGCTGCTGACGGTCCAAACATGTCTGAATGCAGCTGAATATCACAGCGGTGGGTTACAGGTGGTTCCATCCACACAGCTACAGCTCTCTGACGTTCCTCCAACTTTTTCTGCCTGGATCAATCACTACCTGATGCACTCAGACATGAGTTTAAACGTAATACTTGAGCTACAGATGACATCAGAAAGTTCTACTTAAAGCACAGCAGAAATCCAGATTTCTTTCTTTCTTAGCAGCTGTGTGCCACGGCATATTTTAAGGATTACTTTAATGCTTTCACGTAGATTTGGATCCGTCCTTCTGTCAGCTGCTCTCCAAGAACTGCGGCTCTGTCTGCTCTCTGATATTCTGTATGATTAGAAATGCACGCCTCAGCCTTCCACCCTCTTCAATCATCGGCGGGCCAAAAGCGAATGGGCCCAGTCTCAGAGGAAACGCCCTGGATTTGGAGAAGGAGAGCTGAATGCTGAGAAGGGGAGGGTGGCCTACATTTACTGCGCGGCGTAACAAGCGGCCTCTTTTTCCTCGCTAATTACCACAATGAATACATTACCGCTTCGCTCTCATCCATCAATCAGTGGCGGGAGGAAGAGGACCAGTCTGCAGACTCCTCTCTTCAACTTTCAGCCGCGCTTCCTGCCTCAGACACGCCTGCTGCCGCCTCATCTACCGCAATTAACACACCCATCACTGCCAATTAGTCTCTCTCTGGGGGGCTGAAGAACCCTCATCATTATAATCATCTTTTCCCATCCAGATGCGGGTCGGGGGACAGATTCTGCGCTGCAGACGAGCCGAGGGGGGCACTCAAACCGCTCCGTCTGATGAGCACGACGGCGAAATCAAAGGGAAATTAGACGGAGACAAAGAGGGAGCGTCTTCTGCTGCAGGATGGGCTGAAGCTCAGAGCTGCAGCCATACATCTGGAAACTGAAGTTAAACTGAGTGAAAGTGCTTCTTCACTGCAGACAGAGGAAATTCAGAGGCACCACTGATCTGCTGAATAGAAAATGTTTTAGGAAAACATGTTTCTTCTGCTTTCAGCTCAAATTTTCTCTCTGCTCAGTTAAAAATTAAAAGATGATGATGATCAACGACAGGAGGAGAAACTAGACAATCCCAGACTTTGGCCGTTTCTCAATATGCCCTAGTACTGCTCCGGTTCACGAGAACAGCAGACCGAGAACGCACAAAGTCACAGGATGTTGTTCTCACTCCTTCCTCTTTACCCAGCATGCATCAGAGCAGACTTATCCGCTCTCCAAGACTGACAGCTGTCCCAGCATGCACTGCGGCAGCAGCAGCTTCCAGGTTAGCGCTCACAGAGCTCAGAGTATTAAGTTAAAAGTTCTCTTTTCTGTTGCTGCTGTTCAATAAAAGTACTTTTTAAGATCATTTGAGATGAGAACATTATATGTCTAAGCTTCACCTTATGGCCCGTTTACTGATTTAGTGCTTACTAGGGGTGGAACGGTTCACAATCTCTACGGTTCGGTAGAATTCAATTCTGCTCTGGAGTGTAATCGCATGAACCGAACGAAACACACGCGAACCGAACCGAGACAGTCGAACCGAACGGTTCGGGCGGTTTTCATAAACCGTTCCATCCCTAGTGCTTAATAAAAAAAAAAATTCCGAAGTTGAGAGGACGGTGGCAGCTTAAAGCAAGTTAAATTCAAGACTTTTTAAGACTTTTTAATGCCACTTGAAATAAACATTTAAGACCAAATTCACAAGAAAAACCCGCTTGAGACAACTTAACCCAAAGGTTTATTTTAACATAAACCACTGCACTAATGTTTCAAATTTTGAAAAGCTTCCCATACAGGAAGAAAGCTAAAAACACACAAATGACAGATATATTTTAACAATTATTTAACTGAATTCACAAGCTTTGTTTTAGCAGGGAACAAAACAAATCAGTTTTAAAGCCACAACATAACCAGTGCCAAGTCTTTTTAGCAGCTATTTTTCTTTGTATCGTTTTCTATGTTGGATTTGGTGATAAATGGAGGCGTTGCAGAGACAAGGGTGGAACTAAACTGAGAAATACCGGCTGTTTCTCGGTTTTGACGCTTTGTGTTTCGTGCTTCGCATGTGCGACTCCACTGCCTTAATTCCCATCGTTCCGAGCTTGAATGACTTCTTGCACAAAATCCACTGAGCCTCATGTACTTTCCCTGGTTTTAGTCATGGAGAAAACTCTTGGCTGGAGACAATTTTGGTTACATTTATACTTGCTCATATTTTCCAGACAAAAAGTTAATGGTGCATCTCCCAAATGTCCCGGCCACAACAACGCTTTTATTGGTTCCACTATCGGGATGAAACCAATAATGGAGAGCTGTTATTTTTTTTTATATATATATTTAAAAAAAAGAAGAATTTTAATGGTTTATTTAGATTAAAAAAATAAATCATAATAAAAATAATCCTATTTATGATGTTTTAAAAATTAAGACCTACGAAAGACTGATTTAAGACATTTTAATACCAATTAAGGCCTTAGTTTTATTTTGAAGAATTCAATGCCTTTTAAGACTTTTTAAGGACCCTGAGACAGACAGAGAGACGGACTGAATTAAAACTGATCATCCTGAATCCAACAGTTCCTCTGGGAGGAGCTGCTGGATGCAGATGAGTGCTCTGACAGCTGCACCACAACGCTCCATCCATCATCCTCCCCGACTGATACAGTGACTGACAGACACCAGCCGACCATTTTTTTTTTGTTGGGGGGGGGGGGGGGGGGGGGGGGGATGCTTTTTTTCTGTAATGAGAACATCAGATTTGCATATAGAACTAGGATACGGGAACGGACGGGCAGGTGGAGAGAACTGCTGATGACATGATGTCCGTTATCAGAGTACTTACCGAGTTCATGAGGAAGTTCGTGGCAGAAAACAGCCACGGATGTACTGATGCCTCCTGTGATGTTGGCGCTGAACGCGGCACCTAAGGAGATTCACACAGAGACACGGATTCAGCTCTGAGAGACTCAGATAAAAGGAAAAAAAACTGTTTAAGTCAATCTTCATATTAATAATAACAAAACCAACAGACATGTTCAGAAGGAAATCACTAAAAACCAAGAAATTTAAGTATCTGTCTTTTTTCCAGCGTATTTTGTTATCGTCATTACACTGTCACACGTACAGAGCAACAAAATGAACTCTCTGCATTTAATCCATTCCCTTGGGGAGCAGTGGGGGGTTAAGGGTCTTTGCACACCTACTCAGAGTGTCTGTTAGAGTGAGTCTTGAACTCAGAACCTTCCATTTCTAGTTTTTGTTTCAGTTAAAAGCTTTAAAACCATTAGCAGGTCTAAAGATGGCCGACAGAGGCAGAGCAGCAGTAACTAGGGGGGTTTATTCTGTGGGAACCATTTGGATCCAATCACAATGATGTGGATCTTCTGAAATCTAAACTAAGCGTGATCCATCTGCTCCTGATACAGAAATAAATAACATGTGAACAGATGTTTGAGATAAAATTGGATTTCATTATCGTTTCTTAACTGAAGGGATAAGTGAAGTGGATGGTTCTCCTTTGCACAGCTCTATTCTCACATAAATGTGCAATTAAGGAGGTAAAACAGGTAAAATTCAGCATATTGGCCTGATTTAAGTGTAATTTTAAGAACTTTCAGTGTAACCAGCAGTAGTGCTGGAATTCACAGGAGAGAGCCCTGAGTACGGAGCCCAGATATCAGTCAAAGGGCTTATATGCTCATAAAAAAAGGAGTCTGGAGTCTGATACAACTGTTTTCTGTATCATGTATTTTATATATGTTTATATATATTAAGGTTTTTTATGTAACATGTCATTTTGTACTCTTGTTTTTCCATTACCTTTAATTTCTTATTTGCAAAAAAACCTTTTTAAAGAATAAAAACAGTGGTTGATTAGAAAAAAAAAACTTCTATTTTGCTGGTGAAGATTCTCAGTCATTCCAAAAAAGATAAAAAACAATCCACTGGACTTTGTTTCCAAGTCTGAAGACGACAAGAAACTATCTTAATTCAACATGTCAGGAATAGCGTCAAGTTTGACGCTTTATACAGTAAAGGAGTTCTGGTTGCGATGAACCCCAACCCCTTTACGGGGGAATGGAAGATCTCTTCTATTCAGCCATCTTTAACGACCCTCTTTCAGAGACATAGACAGGTATGGGGCATTGAAGGCTAACAAATCCATATATATCCATTGCTAATGTCTGTGACCTGAAGTAGACCATAGAGTAGGATCATTTTTAGAGACTTGGGGGAGAATAATCTGCAGTGAGCAAAGAACTGATCTACTTAGACTCAATGATGGGGAATGACTGACACTACCCCCCCCCCCCCCCCCCCCCCCCCCCCCTCTTACTAATGCATGGCTGGCTCTTGAGTTCTTGGGGCCAGAGTTTGCAGGGGAGGAACCAAGACCAGTAAAGCGGTTTGATGAGGTGGAAGTACAGCCGTCTGATTGCAGCTCCTCACCTATAGCGAGGCCGTCGCTGAAGTTGTGCATGCCGTCTCCCATGATGACCATCCAGGCGATGCTGGCGATCCCAGCATCCTTCATCTCCTGGTCCGAGTGGCAGTTCCCTCCGTGGGAGTGTCCGTGACCGTGGGAGTGTCTGTGCTTCCTGGTTTTCTGGGCGGGGTCCCTGGTGGGAGACTGGGGCTCCTTTGTAGGAGCCAGCGGGGTCTTTGTGGTGGGGGAGTCGGGGGTCTGGAGCTCTGTCAGCTGGGTGTCGTTGTGAGTGTTGTCGCAGGAGATAGTTGAGTTCTCCGGGTCTGATCAGAGAAGAAGAGTTTAGGGGGACGACCGTGGAGCAGATGGAAGGACCTGAACCACTAAAGAACCTGCTCACCGTCATTCAGAGGCTTCAGGGTCAACCACTCTGCGTCTGAACGGCGGTTTAGCGTGTGATCCGACAGCTTCCTGCCGATCTTCCTCTCCTCGTTGTTCTTCTGCAGTTCCTGTGAGGAGCGATGATCCACAGACATTCATCAGATCTTCATGAACAGAAACACCAAACCAAGCGTTTCCTGCCAGACTGATCCGTCTGTAGCGCCTTCGACTCACCCTCTGGTCTTTGAAGTGTTTGAACATGCCGATGCAATGCTCGATGATGAAGAGGAGGTAGATGCCAGCCAGTGCAGTGAGACCCTTCCACACGCCATCAAAGGCGGTGACCATATCAGTGGTATCGCTGTCTCCATGCTGGCTGTGGTCGTGTTGTCCCTGAGCCTGCAGAGGACGACATTAAAGACTTTAAAGTGTCTGCTCCATGATTTTTCATCAAATAAAAAAATGCCCGCGAGTAAAATAAACATACTCCCATGTATGTTAAACTACTTCTGCGCATGGTTTATCTACCACCGTACAACAAAATCACACATGCACCAGAAACTGCTGCTCCGAGAGGAGAAAATCGCTCTCCGCGGAAACCCTGGATCATTTCCGCATGTTTTGCTGCTTTGAATTTAATCATCTCGCGCATGCTCTCTACGATCTCCAAGGGACTCAGAGCGGAGCGAAGGGAGCCACAGCGGAGGCTGTAGGCTTTGCTTTGTGCAGGCGGTCTGGAGCGCAGCGGGGTGGAGCGCTGACGGAGTATGTGGGATTTCGGGGTTAGCATGACATGTTGGTCGTGTTGCTGTTAGCTTAAACAAAACGTGTTGCACAATGCTTGCACACTGTAGCACTTTTATCCACCACTTTCTTTCCGCCGTCATCGTAGGTCACTCTAAATGCAAAGTGGTCCCATACAGCAGACCTATAAAGTGCTGCTGGCGCGTCTTCCAACTCCTGTTCTTTCCCACTCGCCATACCCACACAATTCTCCACAACAACTGATTATTTTCTGCTACACCCGGCTACGCTGCTTCGCTTCTTCTTCTTGTTTACTACTGGTGGTTGGCTTTGGTCGCAGTACCGCCACCTTCTGCTCTGGAGTGTACACGCTTCGCCTATGAGAAAAAGGAGCAGCACATGAACCGAACGCAACACACACGAACCGAGACAGTCGAACCGAATGGTTCGGACGATTTTCATAAACCATTCCATCCCTAATGTATATATATGATATATATATATACATATACATATATATATATATATACATATGTATATATATATATATACATATACATATATATACATATATATATATATACATATACATATATATATACATATACATAAGTGTATATATATATATATATATATATATATATATATATATATATATATATATATATACACTGGTTTCCCAAACCCATATAAAAAACTGCAAAATCCTTCGTCAACTTTATCTTCCACAGGCTGCAGCCATGTCCCGAATTCCTTGTTTTACAGCCGATTTTGTCGAAATTAGCATTTTTTCTCTGCCTCGAGCTTCTTTTCCGAACACACGGCTTTACCATCAACCGGAACCAGTTATATCCGATATATCTGAGGAATTGTTTTAATAAATGGATTTTGTTTTTAAATAAAGCATTTTAAATGCCACAATAATCACATTTAATTAATTTTAATACCAATTAAGGCCTTAATTTGAAAAAAAAATCTATTTTAATGACTTTTAATGATTTTTAGTGACCCGCGGAAACCCTGTGTTTTGACAGGTTGGGCAGAGACAAACTTCCTCTATAAGCCTCCTCCTGATTGGACCTGACACCACTTTCCTGATCACGTCTTCAAGGCCCAATGAGGAGGAGGCTTAGAGAAGACATTTCTCTCTGCCCAACCTGTCAGAGCACCTTTTCCTTCACGTAAGGAGAAAATACAGGTGCTGGTCATAAAATTAGAATATCATGAAAAAGTAGATTGATTTCAGTAATTCCATTTAAAAAGTGAAACTTGTATATTATATTCATACATTACATACAAACTCATATATTTCAGATGTTTATTTTGTTTAATTTTGATGATTACAAATGACAACAAATGAAAATCTCAAATTCATCATATCAGAAAATTAGAATATTGTGAAAAGGTTCAAAATTGATGGCCCCTGGTGCCACACTCTAATCAGCTAATTAACTCAAACCACCTGCAAAAGCCTTTAAATGGTCTTTCAGTCTAGTTCTATAGGCTACACAATCATGGGGAAGACTGCTGACTTGACAGTTGTCCAAAAGACGACCATCGACACCTTGCACAAGGAGGGCAAGACACAAAAGGTCATCGCTAAAGAGGCTGGCTGTTCACAGAGCTCAGTGTCCAAGCACATTAATAGAGAGGCGAAGGGAAGGAAAAGATGTGGTCGAAAAAAGTGTACAAGCAAGAGAGATAACCGCACCCTGGAGAGGATTGTGAAACAAAACCCATTCAAAAATGTGGGGGAGATTCACAAAGAGTGGACTGCAGCTGGAGTGAGTGCTTCAAGAACCACCACACACAGACGTATGAAAGACATGAGTTTCTGCTGTCGCATTCCTTGTGTCAAGCCACTCTTGAACCACAGACAGCGTCAGAAGCGTCTTGCCTGGGCTAAAGAGAAACAGGACTGGACTGCTGGTGAGTGGTCCAAAGTCATGTTCTCTGATGAAAGTAAATTTTGCATTTCCTTTGGAAATCAAGGTCCCAGAGTCTGGAGGAAAAGAAGAGAGGCACTTCATCCACGTTGCTTGAAGTCCAGTGTAAAGTTTCCACAGTCAGTGATGGTTTGGGGTGCCATGTCATCTGCTGGTGTTGGTCCATTGTGTTTTCTGAGGTCCAGGGTCAACGCAGCCACATACCAGGAAGTTTTAGAGCACTTCATGCTTCCTGCAGCTGACCAACTTTTTGGAGATGCAGATTTCATTTTCCAACAGGACTTGGCACCTGCACACAGTGCCAAAGCTACCAGTACCTGGTTGAAGGACCATGGTATCCCTGTTCTTAATTGGCCAGCAAACTCTCCTGACCTTAACCCCATAGAAAATCTATGGGGTATTGTGAAGAAGAAGATGCAATACACCAGACCCAACAATTCAGAAGAGCTAAAAGCCACTATTAGAGCAACCTGGGCTATCATAACACCTGAGCAGTGCCACAGACTGATCGACTCCATGCCACGCCGCATTGCTGCAGTAATACAGGCCAAAGGAGGCCCAACTAAATACTGAGTGCTGTACATGCTCATACTTTTCATGTTCATACTTTTCAGTTGGCCAACATTTCTATAAATCCTTTGTTTTTATTGGTCTTCAGTAATATTCTAATTTTCTGATATGATGAATTTGAGATTTTCATTTGTTGTCATTTGTAATCATCAAAATTAAACAAAATAAACATCTGAAATATATGAGTTTGTATGTAATGTATGAATATAATATACAAGTTTCACTTTTTAAATGGAATTACTGAAATCAATCTACTTTTTCATGATATTCTAATTTTATGACCAGCACCTGTAAGTCTGATGACAGAGACGCTTGAGTGTGACCGCTGGTTAGAAAATTGTACCGCGGTACCAACTGCGCCTGAAGAGCGATTTTCTCCTCTCGGAGAGGCAGTTTCTCGCACATGTGTGATTTTGTTGTGCGTGGGTACATGAGTGAGACACTTGTTAATAACTTTTAGTCCATCTTTTAACTAATTTTTGGATTGGATTCTGATTGGGGGTGAATGGGACTCACGTGAGGCAGCAGGTGAAGTAGAGCGTCTCCGCTGAGCGTGCCCACGGCCAGCGCCACCAGGAAGGTGAGCAGGAACTTGAAGCAGGACTGTTTGAGGATGGGAACCAGAATCACCCCGAGAAGAGAGAGCAGGCTGATGATGGTGATGGAGACGAAGCCCCAGAGCCAGACCCAGACTGTACAGAAAAGGGAGAGGCAACGAAAGTGATGAAGGCGAAGAGAAAATCTAGACTAGAACATAAGGATGCAGGAAGGATCAAACATGGATGCTGAGTTGGAACATATAATATCCAGGGAGGAGTTCTGATTTCATACATAATAACTGTGGTGACCCAGGAGCTCAGGTCAGAGAATAGAGAAAGGGTGGACACAGACCAGGGGTTCCCTTTCTTTATTCTGCCCTGCAGGGTCACACCTGGTTTGGGATTGAACCTCCAGCTGCATGTTTCTCATCCCTCAGCAGCCTGCTGAGGGAATCCAATTATTTTTTTCCCATGTAAGAAGACCTTTCTTCCATGTGTCCTTGTGATGACATGTGACGCCTAAAGGAAAAAACGCAATCTGACATTTCTGCAGCGTTAACCTCATTTTTCATTCAAGGCTGCAGTCATGAGACGTGAAACAGAAACGAAGAAGTGGAAAAGGTGCGCGATCATTTAAAGTGTCAGCCTGCCTGTCGGCCGCCTCCACGCACAGCGAGTTGGCGGAGAAAAGTTTGTGATTCTCCCGTCAGAGATGACCGAAGGTTTAATGTAGGATGAAATTCAATGTCAGAGCAGGGCGGGGCTGGTTGCTGCGGAGACGCTCACTGTCAGCTGAGGAGCTACAGAACCAGCAAGAAGCTCTGGGACACTACCCGCCCTGATCAACTTGAGTTTTTATGTTCTCTTTGCATTCTGATGCTTTCTGTGTGGCAGACGGTTGCAAACATGCTGCAAATACCGAAATGTTCAGTAAATATTAAAGGCACTGCAAAGAGAAAAGTAAGTTAAAGGGATAGTTCGGGATTTTTGACATGAATCTGTATGGCATCCCCATCACCAGTGTCATGCAATCACACTGACTTACCCCTGGCAGCATCCTGTGAGCAGAGTTGTCGTCCAGCTTTGGTCAAGCCGAAAGTAGTCCGGCAGGTTTGCTAGACCCAGCGAAATAAAACGTTTCTCTTCCCAAAACATTATGTGTTCAAAAGAGTGCTATTTTTGCATCCCAAAAACATTGTAGTGGAAAAAGTCACACGTCGTTATCACTTGGTCCTATTTTCTCTCTGTTCGTATCAGTGCGCGCCGTCATTCTGACAGCGAGCTCAACTTTTCCAGCTCATTTCAGTGCTAACTTAGCAGCTGTGTTTACAAGCAACGCCACCGAGCTAGCTTTAGAGCTAACTTGAAACAAGTGCACCATGATTTGTCGGCCACCCTGGATATCGCAGCTCCAGCTGTGGCTCCTGCGGCTCCGGCTTCAGCTTCCATCACTTCTCTGTCCACCCTCTCTCTTTCTGCCCGATCTAACTCCATTTGTCGAAGTTCATCGTCAGTGTACTCGGGTTCATAAAGATATCCCTTTGGCTCTAAGTGGAAGTCGATGTTTTCCTCGTCGCTCTCGTAGTCAGACATCTTCCCCAGTAGTAAACAATCGCGAATCAAACAGGTAGGCCCTAGCTGTCAGGTCATGGTGTCGCGCGGAACCAATAATGGTGAGCCATTATTTTTCTTTTTTATGAAAAAAAATAAAAATTTTGTCAATTTTTACGTTATTTAGATTACAAAAATAAATCGTAATAAAAATAATCCTATTTAGGATGTTTTAAAAATTAAGACCTAAGAAAGACTGATTTAAGACATTTTAATACCAATTAAGGCCTTAGTTTTATTTTGAAGAATTTAATGCCTTTTAAGACTTTTTAAGGAGCCCTGGTATTCCCAGGAAAGATCACAAAGCTGATCACAAAGTTAAGAGTGAGGGAAAAAGTGTGATTGCAGAACTTCTGGATAAATTAGAGGAGAGATAGATTTAAAGGACTAGTACACCCAAAACATGATTAGCCTCACCCCCATGCTGAACAACACTCTGGAGTACTTTTTTGATATCTCAAATGCATCTGGAGATCTGGGAGGCTTCTTGCTGTCTGCTGACATTCAAATAATGGAGGTCTATGGCGCCCGAGGCAGAAAGGTCCATAAAAGTCCACAAAAAACGTGTCAATATTCCTCCATACTGCTCGTCCAATGTATTCCAAGTGTCCTGAGTGGGTAGCGTCCATAATTTACTCGAAACGAAGTCATTTAGAATGTTTTTAGAGCATAAACAGTGGAGATGTTGCAGCAGGCATCCCTCATGACTGAGGGCCCTGGTCTGTGTGGTAATGATTGGGTTTTTCAACAGGACAATGCTGCAGCTCACATTGCCCGCCTGACAAAGGAGTTTTTCCAAGAGAATAACATCTCTCTTTTGGACCATCCTGCATGTTCCCCGGATCTAAACCCAATTGAGAACATTTGGAGATGGATGGCAAGGGAAGTTTACATAAATGGACATCAGTTCCAGACAGTGGATGCCCTTCATAAAGCCATCTTCAACACTTGGAGCAAACGTTCCCACTAGCCTCCTGGAAACACTTTTTTTTTTTTTTGAGCTATGGTCTTAAACTTTTGATCAGCTGAAACAAATCATGTTTGAGTGTAAATGTAGTTTTTAATTAATTCCCCGCTCAAAAGTTTTTGTCTCTTTCTTCTTTTAACATTGTGAAGCTCTACTTAGAACCTTGTTTAGATCCAATAGTGCAAAATGATTCTTGCAATTTTTTGACTGGTCTTAAGATTTTGATCAGGAGTGTATTTAGGGCAGGGGTCACCAGCCTTTTTAAGGCTGAGGGCTACTTCATGGCTACCGAGTCATAGGAAGGGCTACCAATACTGACCTATGAACTGGAAGGATCAGTGTTCACCTACAGTAAATCTCATCCAGAAAAACTCATTTTTATTCTTATTTTATTCATTTCTAATTTTCTTTTTAATATTGTCATTTTGAAACCACTGATATGATGAAATAGTTAACATGATGAAATAATACATAAATGATTAAAAAGAAGAGCAACAGAATAAAAAACAAAATTAAACTTAACCCACTGAGTGAGTTCTTCTGTTTTCAGAGGACGAAGAGCGCACCCCATGTGGTCCTTGAGGGCCCCTTGGTGCCCGCGGGCACCGCGTTGGTGACGTCTGATTTAGGGTCACATAGTCCTTTTTTTATAGTGGGCTAATATACTTAGAGCCCGTGTTGCCACATGCGACTCTTATAAGACTTACGTTTTTGTGGCTCCAGACAGATTTGTTCTTTTTGGTCCAAAATGGCTCTTTGAGCAGTTTGGGTTGCCGACCCCTGACATAGAGCGTCGCAGGAGACCGCATTTAAATATCGAGGCATAGTTAGGAGGGCCAAACATCACACATAACCTTCGCACTTTTATTTCACTGTTGTCTTCCTGTTTTCATGGTGCCTTACAGAGAAGCTTTTACAGCTCACTGCTTTCCTATTTGTCGCCATCAGAGCGAGCAGCCCTGAGAGGCAACTGTATATCAGCCAGACAGTCCATCACCGGAGTTCCCTCACACTCATGCAGCTCATTACCTTGATGCAGGTGTGGTTCTGAGGTGTGCAGAGGGGCTGCAGCAGAGCGATGGAGGCTGGTGATAAAGGAACAAAAGAGAAGAAATGGAGAGCGACTGGTCTGCGGCGTCTCTCCAATTACACGTCTCCTGTGAGCCATGGCTCAGAGAAATGGCCCACAGTGTCGCTTAGGCCCTCCTAATTGGCTCAGCAAAGAGAGGGGGAGTGAGAGCCAGAGAAGGACCGGTACATTTTCTGAGCTCCCCCGTGAAGGCCAGCAGGAGGTAGATGATAGGCAGCTCTGCAGCGTTTCCTCATGTCTACGCTCCAATCTTGGCGCGCCATTTCTGAGAGTCTAACTCCTCTAGTTTCCCACTAATGAGGAGCCATTGCTGCCCTTTTGACTTGTTTGTGCCGTCTCTCCTGTCATTACCATTTTTATGACTATTGTGAGCGGCAGCGTGGGGCTCCTCCGGAGGGGACCCTGTTTAATAATTGAACATCCTCACAACTGAACTTAAATGTCTGCGGCTTTATTCCGCGCCAGCTGAAAAACAAAACGTTAAAGTTCAAATCGTTGAAGCTGCAATGATTATCTGTCAGCAAAAGCAGATTTTTACCACTATTTCTCATTAAATTAGGCTGAGCAGAACATTTTATGACCCCCCACCTCTCGCTAAGGTGCACAGTGTTAATGACGACTTGAATGGCTTCACAATTTCCAGGAAACTTTACAGTAAAAAGTAAAATAAAACTACTAAGCAGAATCATTATTTAAACAATGGAGTATCATCCTTAACACTGCATGTATAATAATATAAACTGATACACAATTATTAATAAAGAACTTAAATTTCTTCCATTTGCACGGCGATTACAGGTTCGGCTCTTATCTGTGTGAAATGCTTAAGGTTTTATGAGTTTTATTTCGAGAAGTCGTTACTGATTAACTGAGCAACGCTGTGATTTTTGGTTTCAAATGCAAGTAAAACTAAGAAGACTGGAGTCCTTAGAAAGTTAATCAAACTGAGACATTTTTCCTTAAGCCACATTCCTGGCTGGATTTTATTTACCAACTGTTGTAGATATCTTAACATAACAATTCTAAATACCCCATAGTTTTTATAAAGCTGTTGCTGTTAAAGTATGAGCAGTAAACCTCTAACACGTGGAAACCTAAAAGGTTTTATTGTTGCCTGTCACAGCAATGAATGGAGGGCAGCGTATCCCATCGCAACACATATCTACATGCCTAAAATACAGCTAATGTTTGACGTATCAGCGAATGATAGCTTATAACATTACATTATCATAGCTAATATGCCAACAATAACAGAACGTTTTTTTTTAATGTCATACATTTTTATATTAGCTGGTCTGTTAGCATAGCTAATGTTATACTCTCTGTTAAAGAGGGTGTAGGTACCAGACCCGCTCAATGACAACATATGGCAACTCCACTCGGACAAACTGTATGGCACCTGTTTATTAAGGATCAAATCTCTTGGAATCTCAACATATCATTACCTATATTTTCTATTATTTTACATTTCATTTGCGATCTTAA